CTGGCTGGACAAACTGACACTGCTACGGTTGACTGTAGATGATGTTCCATGAACATTCTCTATCACTACTGCAGGATTGGACACTTGACTATTGGTGGTTCCTGTGACTGGTGCACTCTGTCCATACCCATTATAACTATCAACTGGTTCCTGTTTAACACTGGGTTCTCCACTCGTATCTTTTATCATCACCACTGGTTTCTTAGTTGTTGATTTCTTTGCTATCTGATTACTTACTTTCCCAAGCGATTTTTCAGTGAAAGAAGTTTTCTCTACAATCAATGCTTTCTGTGATTTTGATTCAGGAGCAGTCTCTTTCTGGTGAGTCTTCAATATGTCTAAAATATCTCCATGTTCCTCTACTTTGTCATGATTAGATGGATCTGTCATGACTTTCACTGGCAAGTTACCATTGTCCACAGCAGTGGACTGGCTTGTTTTCAATTGCTGTGACTGAGATTGGTGGTTTAACATCACAGGTTTAGTTCCTAGGGCAGAGTGAAGCATACTTCTGGCTTTATTCAGAGTGTATGTGCTAAATTTTTGAGATATTGAACTCTTCTTCAAATCTGAAGATTCTTTTGTCTCTGACTGGACAGCTTGTAGTTGAGGATTTGAAGAGCTATTGATTACCTTGTTGACCCTTTCACTGGATTTTGTGGAACTTGTGATGGTAGAGTGAGGAGTTGTCTCCCCTGAGGATCTAACATTAAAAGTAACGGTTATTTCATTGGATTCTTCCTCACTGACACTGGATGGTTCATTAAAATTTTCTGAATTTTTTTCCCGTGCTGATGAGCTTGAACTTTGAGCAACTTCATCCACTGTATTAGAGGGTATACATACATTATGTATTTCTGTTTTTTCAGAAGAGTTGCTGGATGATGTAGTTGTCTCTGGGGAAACTTTCTCCATTTCAATTGTCTGCGGCGAGTTGTGTTGTATTTCTGTCATCGTTGATGAGCTGTTCTCTACTTCCATTGTCTGTGGTGAGTTGCGTTGTACTTCTGTTGTCTGTGGCAAGCTGTTCTGTACTTCCATTGTCTGTGGTGCATTGCGTTGTACTTCTGTTGTCTGTGGCGAGTTGCGTTGTACTTCCATTGTCTGTGGCGAGTTGCGTTGTACTTCTGTTGTCTGTGGCGAGTTGCGTTGTACTTCCATTGTCTGTGGTGAGTTGCGTTGTACTTCTGTTGTCTGTGGCGAGTTGCGTCGTACTTCTGTTGTCTTTGGCACTTCCATTGTCTGTGGCGAGTTGCGTTGTACTTCCATTGTCTGTGGCGAGTTGCGTTGTACTTCTGTTGTCTTTGGCGAGTTGTTCTGTTTTCCAGATGTCAGTGACAAGTTGTTCTGAATTTCCGTCGCCTCTAATGAGGTAGCACTATCATAACTGGTTACCTCTGACTGTAATGCAATACCTCTCTGTGGAATATTTGCAGACATAAGAGGGTCACTATCACGTTTTACCACAGTTGATATTGCAGGGTAATCACTGGGTGTATAGTCTTTACAGTCGGTGTCCTCATCTTGATGGACATCTGAGGAAGAATTCGTTCCTTGTACAGTTGTGACTACATCAACTTTGGAAGAGATCTCATATCTCACTTCTACGCAAACATCTGAATCTGCACCACTTACTGTTGTTACCTTTGGCAAGTCTTTGTGACCTCCAGAGGTCACTTCCATGGCAGTTTCTGCTGACACCTGGCTAGTCACAGGAGGTGACACCAGTTCCTCATTACTTAATGAGTTGTGTATGTTGTCTCCTGACGTCATCCCCAAGGAATCTGTGGCAATGCTTTGTACACAAGTAATCTGTATCTGACTTAAATTACAGGACGAGTCAGCTTCTGAATCTTCTGTCTCCATGGCGATGTCAGCATCTTTTGAATCTACAGTCCCAAAATTTGTATGTAATCTGGAAATAGCACCTTCAATATTTTCGATAGTTCCATCACAACTAGGCTCCAGAAATGTAGTGCTATCAACTGGTATGTTGTTTTCTGGAGTCTGGTGACTGGCTTTCTCAATGGCGATACTTGCCTCGTTACCAGGCACTGATGTAGGCTGCACATCACAGACAGGTGTCTGAAATACAAAACACAAATGTATAAATGATTAACATGATGATGGACATCTTCTAAGTCTTTTCATTAGTATCTTTTTCAAGAGTGTGAATGATAGAATATATTGAGATGTGATTACCTGATACCTACACATACATGGTAAAGACTTCAATGTTTTGTTAAATTACACCTCTAATTTATATTAGGATATCGTCTGTACACCCTGCTAGGTCATGTTTGTAAAACTTCTGAATCTTTTATCAAATAAGAACAGACAAAGCTATTTATTCATAGGCTGATTTCTGGACCTTTATCTAGGTTTAAATGTTTGGAAGATGAACAAGAATGGGAGACATATACCAAATGAACTTGTGAATCAATAAAGATTTAAACAAATTGACTTACATCAACCTGATGTTTTATTTCAGCAGATATTTGGTCATTCTCTTCCGTTTGACGAGAGCAGTCATCAGATATAACACAGCTGCTACTTGTCACTCCATCTACAGTTTCTACAGCAGATACATTTGTATTGATATAGGGTTTTTCGTCATCTTCAGCTTTCTCATCAGAGGTGATCGTTGTACTGACATCAGAAATTTCATCATCTACAGCCGTCACATCAGAAATGACCATAGCAGTGCCAACATCAAGTTTTTCAGTGACATCCATCTCATTTTCAGACGACATCTTCCCATCAACTTCAGAAGATTCTAAGTCCATAGCTTGTTACTAAGACGCAATCATCAACTGGAATGTAAAGCAAACTGAATGAAGAGAGCAGAAAGTGTTCATATGGGAGTCAAAAGTCTAGGTACTAACAGCGCTAATGGCATTGTCAATCCTGCTTTCAGGAATTCTGATCAATACACCTAGATTTTGACATCCAATTCAATTTGCTCAGCAATAGTCTAGTTTGTTTTGTTTTTCTCTTAAAAGCAAAACACTTGGTTACTATTTAATGGTCCAGAGAGAGGGATGGGGAATTATTTTTCATTTTACTCCTTCCCATTAAGATACTGATCCCATCAAACTGCATATTGAAAGGGTTTGAAGTATCCAAAACCTGGTAACGTGTCAGGGTTGTCTATGGGGCAAAGACTTTTCAAAGAGGGAGTAGTATTGGAGAAATAAATAGGTCACCTTATGGCAAACCAACCTTGCTTATCATCACAACTGGCGAGAGTTTCCATTAAATCTAGCGGTACATGTGCTTGTATGCTTGCCTTAAGAAAAAAAGATGACTAGTTCAAGTCCAAATTTTCCATTAGGGTTTTTATGTGGCAATAAACCTGTACTTGTTATATGTATAACCAAATATGGTGCATGATCAACCCTGAAGTCTCATTTGATTTACGAGACCATGCAGAAGATACATTGCCAAAACATGTTATCAACGTGGTCAACAGTCATTTCCAATTTGAGTTACAGTTACAGCAATAACAGAGATTTGGGAAAAAGATCTAACTGAATTTTGTTGTATCTTGTATCATAATGGGTTGTTTTCATAGGGTTTATGCCTGTCCTCGCTCAGTCAAGGTCATAGGAGGACAGATGTTGAGAGGATCACTAAGAGTGGAAAACAAAGCAAAAAAAGGTAAAGACTGGAGAGAATATATAGTCAGAATCCATTAGGGGCATCAGATCTATTTTGTGATGTTCCCTTAGTGGAAGACACAAAAGAAAGTTCTCAACTCTGCGAGGGACCCACTTTACGTCGCCTCCTATAATCATGTTGTGGATTGTAGCAGACCCTATTTTGTGGGCTCTCCCATGTCACCTTCAACCAGAAGACATTGTGATCTGGGAAACAACCTTCAACCATGTGGGCATGCAATTTAACATTATGGGAAAAAATGTTGTTAGAGGTTTGCTTAAATAACATAACATAACATCATGTCTTAAGTTTATTTCACTGCTAAATCAGTATTGTATTAATTTTCAGCAAGCAAGGTTTTTGTTTTATTCTGGATTGGGAGTCAGTTTGGCTTCAAATCAAAATGTCTGAAAAATATGTATAACTCATTCCACATTCTTAGTTTTCCGGAGGTAATCATGAACAAAACCTGACTTCTATTGATAACTGTCTTATAATATTGATATAAAACCATTTTCAATTATATCACTCTTTCTTTATTTGGTTTGAGGATTGATGCGATGTGAATACTGGCTGCAATACATAGCGCTCGGTTAGAGAGAATTGCTCTTTAGCTATTGCTCGATCACTGTAGTGTGAGAGACTTGTAAGCCAGAGGATACAGGTTCGAATCCTTGCGGAAGCATTGAAATAAGTTATGACAACTGTTACATTTATAACAATCGTGCGAATGAATAAAATTGTGTCGTATTCTATACGTATACTTGAGTGCATTATCTGGAGTTTCAATGTATAGTTTAATAAAATTGCTTTTAATAGAATATATACTTTTTTGATAAACTATTAATTTGATATAATCTTTATTATATTCAATATTGCACATTCCACTTAAAATCAAGTGTATTCACAGAGTTTGAATATATAAAGTATTGACAAACCATAATGGTTGTTGGAGATTTTTGCTTAAACTAAGTGGTCGTATTTCCTTCAACATGGCGTCGTTGGTTGGTCGCTGTGGGGCGGACACACTCCATAAAAGATTAGAGTAGATGTTAGTCATGCAACCTGACAGGGTCTTGATAGTCTGTGTGCATCCCTATAACTTATTGTACTTACTCATTAACTATAAGCATATCCTCCGTATACCATTCGTTTTGCAAACAGTAATACGGACAATTTACAATGATCGATCCAGATGCATTATTTACACCAAAAACAACCCACGTGATAGTTCCCACAATTCACCCGCGTGTTTGAAACTAATTTCATTCGGATTGTTGTTTCCTTTCGAATCACCTCTGAACTAATCCATCGTTCTGAGCGTTAAGAAAATGTAAATAATGGCTGCCCGCATGGTTAGGCGTGGACCTAATATCTTGTAAGAGAACGTGGTTGTTTGAATGCAGGTAAATTGTTGCTTGTTTAGATATATGTGTAAGACGCTAACGACATGAATATGAAGCAATTTGAGTAACATCCCTTACACATTACAAATTTACAATGTCCCGACTACTTTCGGTCTAATAGTAGTCAGTTAGTCACTGCAGTAACGTTTTCAAATACAGTTTAAGTTATATGTCGAGTTTACTGTGTTATGAAAACAGACCCAAGTTTCAAATATTGCTTCATCAACTTAAAACAACCGCATGTTAAATCATGTGTGGTCACAGTCTTCTTCTAGAAACACTGTGACCAATAAAAGTCGTTTTAGGGTCATTTTTTCCACCTTAAATACCACTATCAGTCTATTCTAATGAATCCAGTTACTTTCAGACACTAGCAGATTATATTTGTGTACTGAGGTATAGTTTCCATATATTTATACACACTTTGTAATGTTAAGTTTTTGTTTCAAATTTTAATTATTTTTAGTATGATTGTATTTTTTTCTAACATGTTATCATTTAGGGTTTTTAATTTTAATAATAAATAGTAATTGTTAACATTAATTCCAAACATGGTTATACATGTCACTTCCGCTGCTGTTCAAACCCAGAGGTCATCCAGTCAATGTCACAGAGTAGTCTGAAGGGTTCTGCATGACTGTCAATGTCTATTTATATTCCTCCTTATCATATTACACAAGTAAAAGTATATATATATATATATATCAGCCTTCATCTGCATGAGCTTAACACAAGATATTCAAATCACATTCTGTAACAAAAGATTTTCGTGTGCTCATTTTCATAGCAGACAAATTAGGTTTTTCAAATTATATTATTAAATAACATGATGATTTACATTTGTTATACGGACAAAAGAGAAAGGATACTGCGAGTTTAGTCTGAGAACCTTAACTTGTCATGATATTCTTAACTTTGTTGGCAGTTTCATTATTGGTTGGGAGATGATGTTGGTCTTTGTTGTTTTTAAAGTCGTCTGTGCCAGTTTTCAAATCTGTAAAGGAAAGTGATAGCTGAGGTTGTATTTATTGTAGAATTCAAGATTTATTTATTATTCTGTGGCAAGAAGCTATATATATTCAGATTATAGCTCCTTTTGACTCAAAAAGATGACAATTATGTGCGAAAAGAGGTCAAAACACAATAGAAAGCATTCTTACTATGATATTTTTACATTTCTGCGGTATATTCTCTGTTTGGCCTTACCAATAAAATTGATGTTTAAACTTCAGTAAATGTCAAGTTTAGTTGTGGGAAGCTGAACTCACCATGAAATTTAGTCTGAATCTGCTATTTTCTGTAAACTTCCTGTAGTTGACAGACTTTCTCGCAAAATTGGAATGAGCTGTTTTGCTATTCCATTAGTAGTTAGTCTCTCAGTGCATATAATGTCCAGTGAACACATGTACCATTTTTTAAGGAGAGGAAATATAGAGAAAAATGCTTTCAAAATGTAAACATAGAGATAATTTTTCTGTATTGTTGTTAACTGATGTGTAAACTCCATTTGTAAACAGATATATAAACATAATGCACAAAAGTCATTTAAAATATCCATAAAAAAAACTGCAGATTACATGCCAGTAAACAACGAAAAAGAAAACTTTTTCTTATATAATAGACAGTATGTTACACTCAGCTAACAGTGATACGGAGAAAAGTGATCTTAACATCAATCATAATGCCCAAATAATGTCCTGACAATTGAAAAGAGATTGGTTACTTACAACTGATTAATTTCAGTTAATTAATAATTGTATGTGTTCTGTGTAATTTGTCTTAGCACAGTGGCAACATCTGGCATTGTTTTACTGGATGAGTTTCTGGTAAATTACAACTATGAGCTGATATTGATATAAATTACGTAAGTCATGTATGTAACAGTGTGTTGTTGATATATTCTAAATCAAAGTTTTAGTTTACACTACACAACAAAATCAAGTAGACTGACTACAGTTTGTTGGGAAGAAATGTCCTCCATGAAATGATTAGATTTCTCATCTCTTTCTATTGCTTGTGTATTTCCTCCTTTTTAGCTTGGATAAGGTCTTTATAAGATCTTTATAAGGTCTTTATAAGATCTTTATAAGATCTGATTTTGACAAACCAAATTGAATCTCTACAATGGTGTGTTTTTTGGTAAAAATATGAAATTCAAATGAAACGAAGTACATAAGTAATTTGCTGGTTGATCAAGGACATGACTATATAATCTGACTTATTGTGAACATGACACTCTGTAGATACACATGAGAGGCACAAGGTAGCATAGGGGAGATTAACTAAAACTTATTTGTGATAGAAAGTGATCAGTATTAAACCCTACCATATTTACCTACAGGTCACTGACTATACAAACCGAGGTCATTAATTACAAAGTAGTATTATTCATTCCCCGGGAAAATCAGTTAATTTGCATATTGCCTTTACAGTACAGGTAACACATTGTAGTTTCTGTTACATAGGTAAACCTACTTAGCTGTCGTTACAGGTAGTTACCTGACGATATCTCCTCATCAATCATTGTCATTGGGAGTTCTTGTTGTTCTGTTTGTTTGATGGTTTGTTTTGTAATTATTTCAGCCAGCTATCAGGTATTTCTGTAAGGGTCCGACATACAAACATACAGATGGTAGGTATTTCTGTAAGGGTCCGACATACAAACATACAGATGGTAGGTATTTCTATAAGAGTTCTACATACAAACATACATATGGTAGGTATTTCTATAAGGGTTCTACATACAAACATACAGGTGGTAGGTATTTCTATAAGAGTTCTACATTCAAACATACAGGTGGTAGGTATTTCTATAAGGGTTCTACATACAAACATACAGGTGGTAGGTATTTCTATAAGGGTTCTACATACAAACATACAGGTGGTAGGTATTTCTATAAGGGTTCTACATACAAACATACAGATGGTAAGTATTTCTATAAGGGTTCTACATACAAACATACAGGTGGTAGGTATTTCTATAAGGGTTCTACATACAAACATACAGGTGGTAGGTATTTCTAAAAGGGTTCTACATACAAACATACAGATGGTAGGTATTTCTGTAAGGGTCCGACATACAAACATACAGATGGTAGGTATTTCTGTATGAGTTCTACATACAAACATACAGGTGGTAGGTATTTCTATAAGGGTTCTAGATACAAACATACAGGTGGTAGGTATTTCTATAAGGGTTCTACATACAAACATACAGATGGTAGGTATTTCTATAAGAGTTCTACATTCAAACATACAGATGGTAGGTATTTCTATAAGGGTTCTACATACAAACATACAGGTGGTAGGTATTTCTATAAGGGTTCTACATACAAACATACAGGTGGTAGGTATTTCTATAAGGGTTCTACATACAAACATACAGATGGTAGGTATTTCTGTAAGGGTCCGACATACAAACATACAGATGGTAGGTATTTCTGTATGAGTTCTACATACAAACATACAGGTGGTAGGTATTTCTATAAGGGTTCTAGATACAAACATACAGGTGGTAGGTATTTCTATAAGGGTTCTACATACAAACATACAGATGGTAGGTATTTCTGTAAGGGTCCGACATACAAACATACAGATGGTAGGTATTTCTGTATGAGTTCTACATACAAACATACAGATGGTAGGTATTTCTATAAGGGTTCTAGATACAAACATACAGGTGGTAGGTATTTCTATAAGGGTTCTACATACAAACATACAGATGGTAAGTATTTCTCTAAGGGTTCTACATACAAACATACAGGTGGTAGGTATTTCTATAAGGGTTCTACATACAAACATACAGGTGGTAGGTATTTCTATAAGGGTTCTACATACAAACATACAGGTGGTAGGTATTTCTAAAAGGGTTCTACATACAAACATACAGATGGTAGGTATTTCTGTAAGGGTCTGACATACAAACATACAGATGGTAGGTATTTCTGTAAGAGTTCTACATACAAACATACAGGTGGTAGGTATTTCTATAAGGGTTCTAGATACAAACATACAGGTGGTAGGTATTTCTATAAGAGTTCTATATACAAACATACAGATGGTAGGTATTTCTATAAGGGTTCTAGATACAAACATACAGGTGCTAGGTATTTCTATAAGGGTTCTACATACAGAAAAATGGCTGGCAGGTATACTTTCATACAAAGATATGGTTGGTAAGATTTCCTGAGTGAGTTTTACAATATAGTTGGTGGGGGTTTCACAGAGTTTTCAATACAAAGATATCTTTTGTAGGTATTTCTGTGAGAGTTTTCAACAGGATACCTCTGGTAGGTAGTTCTGTGAGAGTTTTCAACAGGATACCTCTGGAAGGTAGTTCTGTGAGAGTTTTCAATACAAAGATATCTTTTGTAGGTATTTCTGTGAGAGTTTTCAACAGGATACCTCTGGTAGGTAGTTCTGTGAGAGTTTTCAACAGGATACCTCTGGAAGGTAGTTCTGTGAGAGTTTTCAACAGGATACCTCTGGTAGGTATTTCTGTGAGAGTTTTCAACAGGATACCTCTGGTAGGTATTTCTGTGAGAGTTTTCAACAGGATACCTCTGGTAGGTATTTCTGTGAGAGTTTTCAACAGGATACCTCTGGTAGGTATTTCTGTGAGAGTTTTCAATACAAAGATAACCATGATAAGTATTTCTGTGAGAGTTTTACATACATAACATTCTGAAAAAAAACAGCTATTCTTGTTGGAGTTCTTCACATTGATACAAGCATTGATTGTGGGACATATGTCATGAGATATTCAGCTGTTTCTGTAGAATTTCTTTTGATCCTTATCATTTGTGAAAAGAAGTCAGGTGTTTCCAGTCAATGTAAAAGATTGCTAGTCAGGTGTAAAAGATTGCTAGTCAGGTGTAAAAGATTGCTACAGTCCGGTATGAAAGATTACTGTAAAATGAAGGAACATTCCCTCAGGTTTTGTTATCCATCACATAAAATTGTACATTTTAACCAGTGTTAAATACATCCTAAAGATAGGAAACTTATATTTATGATTCAGTATCAAAGTTTAGCCCACTGTTTACTTTTGGCCTAATTGGTAAAAAGGCTAAACAGCTAAAAGTTGTATGTAGATAGTAGTCTGTAAATCATTATCTTCATTACTTACAGGTTCACAGATACATCTGAGCTTCGAGATGACGAGATCACTCCTGGTGTTGTGTTTTATTTGGTCAAATCTGGTACTGCCAGTTCATGGAGATGGATACCCTCCAGGCCATCTACTGCCCCTAGGGAGCCACATGCCTCCAGAGACAGGGATACCAATGATGGGCAAGTTTCCATCCCCATGGGTATTCTATGATGAATTCGTAAAGAAGTCACAGCCTTTGGTAATGAGGAAAGTCCTGCTGAACAATGATATTCCTGCTTTTCAGAAATGGACAGATGCTTATTTAAGGTAAAGTCATTTGGTTTTGATGAAGAGTTGACCAATGATTTGTAATGCTTCATTTAATGTATATTAACTTTTTCCTCGGGTAGCTATCACTTACTATGGTATATATAGTTGGTTCATTCTGTAGTGTTGATATTTAAGGGTTGTCCTAATTGGTACTTACTCACAAGGATTAACTGAGGTGCTTGCCTTAACTATCGATTGATATCCATTTATCCATGTGTACAGACATATATAGATTATAGGGAAAGTTTAATCATTGTAAAAATGTTTGCCAGACATTTACAATGTATAAGTTTTACACTAGCTCTTATAGTCACAAGTATACACAATGTAGCCATATTACTGCTAGCTAGGATACACAGTTGCTCTTAATTCATACAATGTATATGTTTTTATAGTAAATTGACTTGGATGTTTGGTTTCAGTGATATCTTCGGCCATGTGCCAGTGGAAGTTGAGAGTAATAAGAAGGAAGATAGAGAGAATGGAACCATGTGGCACATGACTTTGGAAAAATACATCAGTGTATATAAAAAACTGAATGGCTACCTGGTCACAGATTTACCAGATTCAATGAAAGGTAATTTCTTATTGTACAATGATGTGCCTGATATTATACATACAACATATCATGACATTTTAATCCTCTCATTCATATAAAGGACATGACTGCAGCACTCGTCCGGTCATCATGGATGAGTGAAAATTGTCTTGGACAACTAGATTTATCTTTGTCAGTCGTCCGTCAGATGAGTACTTTTTTCCAATGATATTAATGTTACAAATTTCAATAAAAATGAAAAGAAAATTTTAAACAAAGAAACGTGTTTATGGTACGTCGAAAACAAAATATTCCAGTCTGCACTCTAACTTTTGATTACACCGGAACTCTCATGACATCAAATATAGCATTCAGAATACCTTAGTCATTTTCCCGCGGTCATACTGATGTCAGGTGCTCTCGTTCTTAACAGCACCTAGTCAGTCGGATGTAAACAAACACTACGGCTAGGCCTAAGTCGTGCACAATGTCTGATGCAAAGCAGCCATCACTGCATAGTTTTTTCACTAAAACTTCAAATAAAAATAGAAAAAAGTCACATGTCACATCCTGGCTGATTAAATTCGCATTTCATAGCTGAATTTGGACAAGTAAATTTCCAATCCGGATGAGTAAATTTTTCAGCCCACCAGTCATGTGCCTAGTGGTTTAAAATATTTTTCTAGACCCCTGAATTGTTTGTCTTTTCCATTATTCCATATGTCTGTCTGTCCTTGCTTCTGTCTGTCTGTCTGTCCAGCCCTCTGGCATCATAAAGCATGCCTTCAATAACAATCAGTTATTGTAGGTGTAAAAGTAGTCACCATTTGTCACATGGAGCTCACTGTGAGCAATACATCGTGTTGATCACTTAACTAACCCTAGGTAGAACACATCTGGCAGGAGTTACATGATGAATGTTGCAGCCTGTTTCATTATCATTGCATTAAGACATTCTTGAACAGGAATGTCACTATAACTTCCAAGCTTCACATCGGCTTCCATTAGAAATATTACAACATACCGGGTATATAGTTTTGACAGCTATGAATTAAAATTAATTTTTAACAAAATTTTCTGCCAGATACTGCTGAAAACTATTTTTGTTGTATATTTGCATTATGTTTACCTTGTTGGAACTGTCTTTAATTAATATTCCTTTACTTGGTGAAAAATCTACAGAATACCACAGCTTTCTGTCTAACCATATGTTACTGTATATATATAAAACTTGTCCTATTTGTTGGTACACATGATAATATGGTAACAATAATTTCTTTCCCATATTGATGTAAATTGCTGACTAAGGAAAATATTGACACTATTAGCTTAAAGAGATAATAATTCATGTTCAAAATATCTTGACACTTTCTTGAAAAGGCTGACTTTCTGAATGGGATATGTTTCTCATCTGAGTAAGTGAAAAAAAGTCAGTTCAAATTAGAAATGGTCAGAGGGAGACGATTCAGTCAATGGACAGTTATATGACTTATAGTGAAAGGTGCATGTTGAAAAATTATGAATTATGGAAAACTTGTGAGGAAATCTATGCTTTCAGAAAACACAGTTGTATAAATACCAGAACAGTTCTTTGGTTTTGTTTGAATTGGTGTTGTGACCTTACAGTGGACCTGAAGGTGCCCTTGACCTTACAGTGTGGCGGTTTCCAGGACAACCTGCAAAGCATCATCATGTGGTTCAGTAGTGGCGGTACCAAGTCCCATCTTCATAACGATGGCCTGGACAACATTAACTGTGTCTTGGATGGCACTAAGGAATTGGTCCTCATTGACAAGGTAATGACTATGTATAAAATTGCATATGATGTATGCATAAGGATGGCAGTTATTGTAAAAGCAAGCAACACTTACCGGTACTATGTCTACACAGTCAATCAATTTCATTGATAAACAGTTTATAATTAGGTCATCCATTGTGCCTCAAAAAACTATTAACCTATTTTGGTGAAATTGAAACCTACGGCCAAAATTGCCCGCTTCAAGGGGACGTGAGAGGTTGTGATGATAGGGGTCACATTTACTTCTATTGAAATTTTGAAAATCTTTTCATGATCCTCCACCAGATGGAATAGTTTGAGTTAGCTTTAATAACAAAATAATTTCTCTGACATATGTAAGTGCAACAAAAACAATGGTTTTTATAGAAATCTTGACTGTTAATGCCCAGGAGTCTCTTGTTTCAATTTAACATATGTTTTGAACCTGATCTCTGCTATGATGAAGAGAATTATCTGACCTGATATCACCTGAAATGTCACATGTTTGGTGTTGATCAGGGTATGACCTGAATTAATCTTCTCTCTGAGCAGTTATTCACAAAATGATTGTGATAACACAAGGTCCTACAAATAATCTTACCTAAAGCTAAGTTACACCTAAACGAGTATCATTAAAGTAAGAGAATAGTCAAAAAGCAGCAGAGCCATTACATTTACACAATTTATAGACTCTTTGGTTTAGTTTTATCTCCATAGATTATTTGGTATGGCCCTAAATTGTTGTTAAGTTTTCTGAAGTTAGGTTATAAGGAAGTTATGTAGAGAACTCCATAGTTCTGACAAATGGACAGATGACGGACAGGTTGTTATGAAGTTATAGAGAGAAATCCATAGTTCTGACAAATGGACAGATGATGGACAGGCATGGCTCTCACACCCCATTTTGGGACTGGGGCCCGGGGCCCGGGGCCCTTTGAATTGGGAAAAATAATGGTGTTTTCCTTAGAATTAGGAAAACTTGGGGTCTAAATTGGGAAAAAAAGATAATATTTTGCATTGGGATTCGGCCCCAAATCTGGCAGATCGAGAGAGAACTCAATAGCTCTGACAAACGGACAGATGACGGACAGGTTATAATGAAGTTATGTAGAGAACTCCATAGTTCTTACAAACGGACAGATGACTGACAGGTTATAATGAAGTTACGGAGAGAACTCCATAATTCTGACAAACAGACAGATGACTGACAGGTTATAATGAAGTTACGGAGAGAACTCCATAGTTCTGACAAACGGACAGATGATGGACAGGTTATAATGAAGTTATAGAGAGAACTCCATAGTTCTGACAAACGGACAGATGACAGACAACTGATTTGTTTTTTACGTCAATGAATGAGGTCACATATATGTAAGGCTTAATACCCTGATGAGACCACACAAGGGACACTTCAAAGTATCAACTGATGTACCAGCCCCAAGGATGTTAGAGTGTGTTACCTTTTGTGTTGGCCATTATAAACCTTAGAGTACAGCAGTCAGGCCTACCACCATCACCATATCCTTATTATTTCTAATTTTATATCAACAGACATTTTGAATGCTTTGCTTTAGAGATGAAAGATGTACTTTGATATTCCTGCAGAGGTTGGGTAACTTTCTCATACTGTTGATAATTATAATGTAAAAGATATATCAATGGCATAGTACTGTGTCATATTTTGGCTGGTACTTCTAACAAGTACATCAATATTTGTATTGTGAACCATACTACCCTGTCTTTATGCCATTGTTAAGTTTGTTATGATATTTATAAAGCATGCCACTTTTGTTGTTTTTACAGAAATATGATTATATGGTAGAGGCAGATGGCTGGATGGAGGACGGTGCCTTCAGCCGAGTTAATGTGGACAGAGTTGACATGCATGAGTTCCCTAATTTACAAAAAGTCCCCTGGCACAAAGTTGAGGTCAACAAAGGCGACTGTCTATTTATTCCATTTAGGTCAGTACAAATCTATGTAATTCCAGAGACTGAGACCAAGATGTTGATTTTACTTCAAATTCTGTTTCTTATTTTTTCTACTGTAATTTTTTTGGTCTCAGAATTGCTGTTAACCAAGGGTGTTTAAATATTTTTTTAAGTTTGTTATTTGTATGTGGAGTTCAGTACATTATATACTTACTGTGTGATATTCTATCCTGTAAGGTTTGATCTTAATATATTTGAATCATTAGGGCCATAACACGGAGAAACATGTAAATGGTGGACAAATAGAGCAGCAAGGTCATTGATGATCATATTATCTCCCTTTGATGAGTCCTTTCAGTGAGAGTGACAGGCTTGCTTTACAGCCCACCTGTTGATAACAAAGCCCTGTTAGCACAGGTCTCTGATTTCAGGCCCTTATGTAATGCAAATAATAGAAATTCAATATTTATATAATGACAACCTCCTGATAAAGGTCACCTGTTTATGACAGTCCCTGTCTGTACAGGTCACTGAATTTTATTCAAAGTTATGTGTGTTTCATGTGATCAACTATTACTGTAGGTGGTTCCACCATGTGCACTCATTACCTGGTCGTAACTTGGCCTTGAACTTCTGGTTCCATCATCGGATGTGGTATAATACTTCCCAGTGTGAAGACATGGACCCCTACACAGCCTCTCCCAAACCCCTGGTGCAGTTTAATTTCCCACAGCCTATTGAAGAAGCCAGGTAAGCAGGTTGACAGACTGTATGTCCTGTGTAACAGTCTTAACTACTTACCTGTATGTTATCTTCTGGTATTTAGGTCACTTACAAGTTAATTATATACTGTAAATAGGTACCTTATGTGATATGTTGGAGGAAATATCATTCATGTTAATGAAGGAGTTCACTCTTGTTCCAAATACTTGATGTTACTTGAAGGGGCACTGTCGTTTGGAAAATGCTGTGATATCTGGAAGAAGCTTATTGCATAAAAAAATCATCCTCTTATGTTACTTGTAGAGGTTTACTACTGAAAGGGAAACACCTTTGTTACTAATAGGGGCTCACTATTGTAAAGAAATACCTTTGTTACTGATAGGGGCTCACTATTGTAAAGAAATACCTTTGTTACTGATAGGGGCTCACTATTGTAAAGAAATGCCTAAGTTACTGATAGGGACTCACTATTGTAAAGAAATACCTTTGTTACTGATTGGGGCTCACTATTGTAAAGAAATGCCTAAGTTACTGATTGGGGCTCACTATTGTAAAGAAATACCTTTGTTACCGATTGGGGCTCACTATTGTAAAGAAATACCTCTGTTAATTGTAGGAGCTCAACTTGTAGGGGCTCACTGTTGTGAGTAAGCACCTATGTTACAGGTAGATCACTGATCACTGTTGTAAGGGAGTAATACCGCTTGTACTTTATGAGTTGTTTATGTTTTTTGAAGGAAATCACTAATTGAAGGTAATAATTTGACTGTCTGCTGTTGCTAATGTTATTAGTGTCTGTTGTAGGAGCTTACTACTAGAGTCAATGGAGGGAAAAGAAAGCATCACGAGAGAAGATTTCTCTACGCTGTTTGGTACTGATGTGAAGGATAAAGATGAGATAAATAAGGTTAATATGCTTCTTACTTTCCTACCCTGAGAAATTAATACTTTGCATTTCTGTTGGTAAACATGATTTCTGTCTCGCATACGACAGAATTTGGAATTGAGGCTTAAGTGTTACTTTTTTGTCAGCAGCTGCAACATAAACATTTGTGTAAAACTCACCATTGATCCATGTTATTTTCATCAAACCTGATTCAATTATACAAAATGTATATATAAGCAAAAGCATTTCAGTACAGGATTTCAGTTTTGAGTTGATCCTATACTTGAAGGTTAATTGGTTAATTATCGCACTATTTAGTTATGGTAGTGTAAATCTTTATTCATCCCAAAACATTTCTGATTCTGAATTCTTATTACAGTCCATGTTCAATATTGCACTTTCTTGATTTATCCTATGTTTATATAACAAATACAACATTCTAGCTTATTTCTGCTGATCAGACGAATGGAAACCTGCAAAATAGTTAAATCCATGAAAATCTTGTCTCATTTATAATTTCTTGTACATTTACATTAAGTTTTACCTGTTTTACTATGTATGTTTGAAAGTCGTTTGTTTTCCTGGTTCTAAGGTTTGTTTTGTGTTTGTTTTGCAGTGTTTTGCGATTATTGATGAGGACAAAAACGATTTACTTGAGTGGCCTGAATTATACAAGTTTAATTTAAGCGAGATGGTCAGGGACTTCCCTGACTTGTTTCCTGCTATGAACCTGGAACATGATGAAGAAGATGAGGTAGAACATGAACAATCAGACGCTGATGGACCAGGAGAAAGTGACTTTATCGTTGACGATGATGATGATGATGATGATGATGATGATGATAAAGAAAAAGAAAAAGAAAAAGATCTCAAATTTGCAGAAGAGGGAAAGGAAGATGAAGATTTTAGAAATGAAATGTATTCTGAAAAACAAACATCAAACGAATTTCAAAGCGAGACAATTGACAATTTTGAGGGAGGGATACATATACACCATGTAAAACATGAAAAGGAGAAGGTGGAAGTGAAAGTAGAAACGGATCCCAAAAAAATGAAACACGAGGAGCTGTAGCTAACAGTTGTTGGAAATAGGAAAAAGTGCCATAATAACATATTTACCTCACTTGATCTAAAGATTGAGTGCGTATTTTCTCAAATTAAAAAAATATTCGGATCATTTGAATTTGCATTGAACTGTAAAACTAATCCTCTGTGGAAAATGAAGTTAGAAATTGCTTCGAAAATGACTAAATTGTGGTAGAAAAAAATAGGTTATGTATGATGTGGCAGAATATTATGGAAGTGTTGTGATAAACCTTTATTATTGAACAGCTAGCTGGAATGTTGAACTCATATTGAATAATATCATTTTTCTACATAAATATTGATTATTGTGCAGCCAACTTTAATATAGAACAAACTCATATTGAATTGTCTCCTCTATACACACCCAAGTCATTCAAAAACCAGTACATTCCATTGATGTTACCTTGTACCATAGCATTTGCTTTTTTTTCAATTTCTTGCTTTTTTTTGCTTTTTTTAATTTTTTGTTATTCAAATTATTATACAGGTTGTGAGGTTTGTGTGATATAAAATCAACCTTGACAATTGTCGTTGAGATTTTTGTTTGTTAATTGGAACCAAATACATCCAATATAGGTAATGTTTAGATAATAAACATCTGTTGCTTCTATTGTTTATTTTATATTGAGAACAATGTGACACTCTAAAGTTGTGTTCATCTTTTAATTTGACTAAAATCATTACTAGAAATGTCAAGTTTTCATATATTTGTAAAATTCTGGACATAAATCTGGAGTACCAGTGTGGTTTCATATTTCACTTGCCTAAGTAAAACTACTATACATGGATGTGTTGACTGGGTCAGATTGCTAAAATTGTCCAGAAAAAAATATGAATTTTAATAGGTTCATCTGTACCCGAGTATTTTTAAACACCTGTCATAAAATTTGACGGGATGCAATATGGTATGACTCTGTGCGGCCATCATAGAATCACAATGTTGTGTTTTCTACACAGTATTTTGATTTAGCAAATTTTGAAAGCATTGTTACTGTTTATTTCTTTAGCATTTGAATTTTGTACGGAGATCTCTTTCCTGAGTTTTTCACCAATTCTCTGTATAGCCGTTACATGAAATTGTATTGTGATTTTACAAGCTTTTGGAAGAGTTGTTGCCATCATTTTTTTTCAACAACACTTTCATCCTGAAAAGATATGTGATTTTGTTCCAATGAACAGCATTTTTATCCAACACTTTCAGTTTTCCACTCATCTGTTTATAACTTGGTACACTAAATTGCTTTATCATTAAAACATATCATTGATTTCCACCTAGACGTTGTGACTCATTATCACCATTTCTGTATTTGTATTCTTTTTGATTCAATAAGTCATCAATATTTCTCTGACATTGGACGAGATTATAGAGTTCTGTCACAATATTCTTGTTCAATGTGGGATGTTGAAGTCATTTAAGATATGATTGACTTAACAAGTGGCCTGACCATTACTTTTTTTATCACAGAAATTGCAATAGTTCTGTACTGCGATCATGAATTTGATAGATTAAATTCTATGCAACTCTCTTATCAATTTTAGTTCTTGTATTGTACTTATGAAAGGTGAAGTGATTTCTATATTCCTATACATTTATATAAATCTTACTCTATTTTTGTTATCAATATAAAACGGAAATAAAGCCTTTACGGGAGATTGATATAATTTGACTTTGGTTTTTTTTCTCACCTGACCAGGAAGGTTGTGATGTTTAAATCTGTTGCTACATCTGTCTTTCATCAGTTAATGCACATTTTTTTCAATTTACACTTGAAGTTTATGTCACAGGTCAAAAAAAGAACAAAAAATGTTACATAACATGTACATTCTAATATACTGTATACATGTCAACAATCAGATTCTGTGAATGGAAATAATATAACGTATTATTCGGTAGGTAATATTTACCTTCCAAAACCCAGTAGGTTTGGTGAAATGTCTCATTTGGGAATTTCCGTCTGATAGTGCGGGTTATGTACTGGACCCCAGAGGATACGTTCAGTACGTACGGTCCTGGCTAAAGTGCGACGGGCTCGTGTAAACAGGTTTTATATAATTTTACTTTCATACTCCACTCACCCTTGCATGCTTTTCCACAACTCCTTACAGACTAATTTACATATAAGACGAAAACAACACCAAATATGGACACTGACACAACACGTTTAAGACTCACCACACTTTCCAACACAGTGGACAAACACTAATGACACAGATAATGCTAGACACTTTACTAATTCAAATAGTAATTCTATCATATTTAGACAGTTTATGAAAGCATTATATCCCCTCTTACATACTTAACTTGTGTGAAGATTTCTGTTTCCAACTGATCGCTTTCAAGCTTGGTGGGCCTTATTTCTTCGATATGAAACTGTTTTCTTGAATGTCATTTTCGTCCAACAATTTCAAAAAAATATTATTGTCCATTGTGTTTTCCTGCCTTTTATTATGGACAGATCGCCTTCCTCAGTTTTTAACCAATTTCTTTGAAACTTGGTGGGCTTTATATCCATGACATAAAATTGTGTTTTCCCATGTGACAATTTTTGGATGAGTTACAGCATTGAAGTCTTGTCAAGTGATTTCTAGCTGTCAGGTTTTTGTGGATCTCATTAAAACTAGATATGCTTTATCATCCACTAGCATATGTTGGAAGGAGCAAAGGAAATATCAAAACAGATACCACAGAAATTGATAGAACCAGGATCTTAGAAGTGTATTCTTTACCAACTGGTGTCACCTATTACTATATTGTATTATTTTCAGTCTCTAAAACAACATCTAATGTCAAAGTTTCATCACTTTATGGGCAAATTTTTAGAAAAGAAAATGATCAAAATATGAAAAAAATAAATTAGCTTGTAAAACATTGAAAATTATAGACAAAGAATTTATTCAGTCTAAACTGATGTATAAAAAAACAGGAAATACTGGGTATATATAGGTTATCAGCTAATACAACTTTACATTTGTAATGTGGCTGGTATATACAAGTAAAATCATCAGCCAGAATGGGAGTCTATAGGAAAATGAGAAATTATACAAGTGTAGATACTGGGCAAGGTACCCACAGCCTTTTCCGTCTATCAACTTGGTTATAATCTACTTGCAGTTCATTCCAAACAAATAAAAGAGTTCCGACCGGAACTTCTCGCGCAGGCGTTTACATTATGTGCACACCGGCGGGTTTATTATCGAACGCACCCAATGGTGACTGCATTGCCGACAACATCATGAAAGTGAAGTCATCAAACAGTTGTTTGGGTTAAACTATTGTTTCGTTTGACTTTTGATATAATGTTGGCTTCGATTGAAGGAAGAAAATAGTCACGTGATCTTCTGTGTTGGTATGAAATCTGCGTTATCTTAAATGTTGGGTTTAGCGAACTGGCGAATACACATCCACCGAACTGCTGATGGCCATGGAAATTTAGTACACACACCATCATGATTGAATTTTGTACAAAGAAACGTATGCTTATAGCTCTCTTCGGCTTACTAAGGTAAAATGTTTAACATCGATTATGAATGAGTTGAAGTGTTGAAATTATAATACTGAAACGAACCCTACCCCCTCTAAAATTGCTACTGAAATGGTCTTTACCAATTTTTTTGTCTGTTAATTGACGATTTAATGTCATTTTTCACATTTTTATGCTGTTATTGATATTTACACATTTATTCGTTATGTTCATCTTTATATATGGTGAATATTGATATGAAATTATCGTTATAGATACAGTCATTCTCAGTCTAGAACTTGTACAGATGAGTACAGTACCTAGTGAATGTCTTAATTCACTAATTGAGAATTTTTGATAATTATCTTTGTATTATACACTTGACATCCCTGTCTAACAATTCATTCTGATTGACCGACTGAAAAGGATTTGGGGGAGGGTTCAGATACAGACACAAGCTGATGATGATGATGATGATGATGATGATGATGGTTTTTCGTCTCCCAGACACAAGCCAAACAGACTCTCTTTTATATCATATTCAACGCGCCAAATAATCCTTAGGTTGAGACAAAGACACATAATGAAATAGGGGACCAGTAACTAGACAATGATCTGTTATAAGTAGTTATCTAATTATATAACCTCATCTGATGTGATAATGGATTGTAAATTTTCATAATCAATCGTCAGGATACATTTATATTTTCTTGTGTTTTAGTAAAACTTAGCAAAAGTCATATTATGCATAATTAAGATCCCAGTTATCAATAATATTCATTCTTTTGTTAATTATAGGTACCTTTAAGTTACAAAAAAGAAAATATTACTGCTTTATAGAGAATGCATTCACTTTCTATGAATACTGAATCTACAACAATTCAGTTATGTAATAGATTAACTACATTGGAAAGCCAATGTGTTTTTAATCAATATATGATTATGGATTTCAATGGATTTCTGATCACTATAGATAGCCCTTCAGACAAACTTTATGTAAACAGAGTAGGTTGGTTAGACTAGTTAGAGTTAAATATACAGTCAATGTCTCTCTATGGATTATCATGCCTGAAACTTGGGTTATATTCTGGTTGGAATACTCAGTAGGACTGTCATTCCTTATTCTGTTACATACAAATTTATACATTCCTATATTTTCCTGACAATTTTTTTCCTTTTTGCTGCTACCACGTAGAACAACATACAGGAGGCCTGTACATGTTATCCAAGTGATTGGGGGTAAAGTGTCTCGCCCAGGGACAGTGGGATCCTTTATTTTAGCATTGTGACAGACAAAAACTGCCCTGAACATACAGTTCAAGTGAGATTAAAAACTGCCGTACTGATTTGCATGAACACTTGCAATGGTGATTCTACAACATGCATAACATTGTGTCTGAAAATAAGAAAATTCCTTCACTGCCTGCAACGATTTTGGCTCCTGGGTCTAGACCATGACACATTAACTTTGCTTTACCTCCCTCTATTGTCTGTCATCAGATATTGCATGGGAATAAATATCATATGGGAAACTATCAGATAAAGAGGTTTTACTTCTAATTCATTTTAAACAGATCAATGGCAAAAACAGTTTACATTGTAATGTAGACACACCGATATGTAATAGGAAAAACAAACACAAAATAGTGTCTGAACTATCTAGTGGAGTTTGGAGTCAATCCTTTCCTTTGATAAAACTATTCTGTTTGATTGATATCTTCCTATATTCCTTTATCAATTTGAATTTCATTATTTTCAGTGTGTCTTTTGTTATTCTGCTGGTACAGAGTGCCTGGTCAACCCACCATTCCATAGGGGACTTCAACACATTACAAGGTACATGGTACAAACTGATATCACATCAGGAATTCAATACTAGAAGATATAATGTTTGAAAGAATACCTTTTCTCTTGCATTTAAAGTGAACATGATTTCTTTTAGTTTTGAATTAAAGTTGTAGATCTCAATTTAATACCTGTTGTCGAAACACTTCTCATGAGATGACCTATCGCATGCAGAGGATTTCCTACTGATATTCAAATTAAGAGGTCAAGGTGAAAGCATACATTTTTTGCATTGATTTAGAGTTACTTCAACTCCTTACTTGTGAAGCTTTTCTGAAAGTTAAATACATAGTTAATCTTCATTTATCAAGATAAAAGTTATCCATTATCACAGGTAAAAATCATTTCTGGACTGTTAGTAAGTTATCCTTTCACAGAAGATTTCAACTTTATATGATGTCTACCCTTGTGATAAAGAAGAACGGTTTATGGAGTACCATACTGTTTCTACCACAGTAAAGTTGTACAGATTTGTTCTCCTAGAAATGAAACAACTTCTATTGATTTTGAATGTGACTTGGCCATGTTGGCAATGAACAAAGGAGGGTACAGAATTACTTTGGTAGTCTTATCAAATATTTCAAAAGTCGGTTATAATTTTGTATGAAGATATTCTCTTGAACATTTCTTGTTAAAAAAAATGTATAGGGAGTCATAAGTGCTTGTTGACAGTCATTAATACTGTACAGTCATGTATGAGCTTAAGAATGTTAACTCTCTTGTCTTGAATCTTATATTTTCCATTTATTTAAATAGGGAGAAAAAGTAGAAATGAGAGCTGTTTATCAGGAAAGGAGAAAATAGTGGAAGCCTGTCATGTCTGTTCCAAGTTAGAACTGGTGAGTAATGGAAAGCTAATATCTGCTTTTCTTCTTGTGGGACAATTAATGATAACATACAAACGCTTCACTCAAATGTCCATCTCCGAGCAGCAATACCTAGGAGGTATTTGATCAATTATGATTAAGAAATATTGAATCAAGCTCGATATTAATCATCAATGCAAAATTTATTGTATGGATATTTTACTTTTCTTTATACTGTCAGATAACAAACATAATATAGTATAGCCAGAACTCTAGATTGTCTTGTTCTCTTTGTTCTGTTCCAGAAAAGGCAACTGTCTTCCTGTGTGAATACCGGGTATATGGAAGTGATTGAGTGTGAGGATAAAAAAAGAATCCAAAGAAAGTTTGTAAATCTTTATATTTTTATAATTAGTTGTGTACATTCATGTCTATTATAGTAAAAAATAGAAATATTATGCCCAGTAAAATGAGATTTCCTAAGGAATAATGGCATTTACTACTGCTTTGTTTCTGATTAGATCATAATGTTCTATAAAATGATTTTTCACAAAAAGATAAGTTTGGAATGCAAACAAACTTTACTAGACCCAGAAGTGCTAATTATAGACTGACATCTGGCATTCATCTTTCTGTCATTATTTTACTTATTTTTACTCTTCCTAGAAAGATAGAAACCCCTGAAAGGATTACATTGCTATTTTAAAATATAAATACAACTTTCCATACTCTTAAATGGATTGTGACATCTAAGGTACAGGACCTTCATTAGTGACTTTTATCATAGTTATTGTAAAGGAAATATGTGTTGGTATGATATTCAAAATGGTTGTCATGGTGGAAAAAATGTTTGAATTGCTGATTCTTCTCATAAGAAAGTTAAATTGAAACAGGACTTTCATTAAGGAGATGTGTTTCACTGCCAAACATTCCTTCCATGTCCATTAAATTTAAAATTCAAACCCATGTCAAATTCAGAACTGCCATCTTATGTTTTCATGTACAAGTTGTTTTTAATTTACAGAGGTCACTAGTTGAAATGCTACTGATAATCACAGCGTATGATGTGACTCTTGTAGTCAAAATAATGACAGTGACACCTGTGATAGTACTAATGTCTGTCTGTTGTAACGACACTACAAAAGTTAATACCAGCTGAGCACCTGTTCCATCAGGAACACTCGTTATAAAACTGTGAAACACGTATCATGATTTCTTGTGTTTTAGTGTACTAAAGTTACATGTTGTTTTACTTGCAGATGCGACATTGATCCACACATCCACCAGACAAGATTCTGGGTGTTTGAGCTGATATGTCTCCTGGTTGGAGTAGCATCCTATACTATGGTCAGAAAGAGACAGAAAAGACTAGACACATCCCTAATGGAGAAAATAAACAAGCAAATCTCTGAAGGAGTATGAGGTTTTGTGATGGACTCATTGTATATGTGGCTTTACGGGAAATATCATTCAGATTATTTATGGGAGTGACAGACAACAATTGTGTGTATTAATAATGTGTGATTTTGTATGCAAATCTTACACTTCTTCAGAACAAACCTGTGACCTGTACATCTGAACCAGAGGAGAATTGTGACTTGATGAGGAGTGTGAAAGGGGAAATAACTCTGATATACCCATCAGAACTCATTAGTGTCAAACATTGTTGTGTATATTAATGTTGAGTTAATTAAACAATATGTTGGTTAGAATCACTTGTTGTGGTTTAGACATTTAAATACAGTGTCATAATGACAACTGGATCTTTGGTGCTGGGTACAGCTAGTGTAAGTCATATAGCTGAGTGTTAGTGTTTACAAAGATGGTGATTGTCAAAATTATGATGAAATGACAGATTTTATATTCATGACATTTTTTGTTGAACAAGATTTTGTTTGAAGAAAAGTCATTGTGGCAAATGTACAGAATAAATGAAAAAAAGTGTTTGAAAGCTTTTTTTATAATTTTCTTTCAATGCATGTAATCTTATCACAGTAGGTAGGAATTCACAAAGAAAGTCAGTGTTATATACTTTAGAATGAAGAGCAGTTTAAAGCAACAAAAAAAAATTGCCAGGATTTTGTGCATAACTTTCAGATAATCTCAACCTCCTATGCTGGATAAAAAAATTATCTTCAAAAAAAACCCACAGCATGCATCTAATTTTGCAAAAGGGATTGAATGTGTTTGAAAATTATTTTCCGATATAATTTTTTTGTCATCATTAGATTCAAGGGAAAACATAAATGTCCTATTCATAGAGAGGTGTTTTATCTGCTTTGCAAACTAGTATAAAGCTTCTTGTTTACTTAAGCATGTGTAGAAACTCCAATATGTAGAATTTGCCTGTTCGAGTTGCCTCCCCATGTCCAATGTTTTTATTTGTCCAGTGTTTTTATACACCTGTCGAAAGACAGGTTGTGCTATGTTTTCATGTGAGCAGGCAGGGGACGGTCAGACAGACAGGCGGGCACCCTTAATGTTTGCTTGATGACTTAATTAGTTTTCATTGGATCAATTTCAAACTTCACTTCGATTTTTTAACTGTAATCCACAGACTTATTGTCCCTTATTTAATTATCAAAACATGTCCAAGAGATATCGCAAGTAGTTTGTAATGAAGCAACTTTAAACTTCATAAAAATATTCAAGGAAGTTGGATGATTGCAATTTTTGGACCAAAAGTCATCGCTATGTTTAATTACAGAAACAGTGTCCTCTTGATATTGAAAGTAGTTTCCAATATATCAACTTCAAACTTCATGGAATGGTTCAATACCATGTTAGCTCAGACAAGCTTGATCTCTGTAATTTTTGGACAGTAATTCATGGTGTTATGGCCTTTTATTTAATTACAGAACAAGTGTACGCTTGATATCAAAAATAGTTTTCAATTGATCAACTTCAAACTTGAAGATTTGTTTCCATGATAGCTCAGACTAGTTTTGTCACGGAAATGTTTGGACAGTAATTCACAGAGATATTCTGTTTCCTATCCATCTTGTATCTATCATTTAAACACATTGCACTGTTTCCCTCTAAACTTGTTGACTCATTATCACCATATAAATATCTTTGTTATAGGACAGGCAGATAATGTCCACCATGGGCACTCTTGTTAATTTTCATACATTTACACAGACTTATTAAAGTGCTGACTTGATCTAAGACATCTCATTGTAGTAGATGCTGACTACCTCAGCAATACTGGGAGCCTGTTGCATGCCATCCATAGACATTGGGATACAGTTTCTAAGAATGACCTTGACCTTTGATCTCGTGATCTGAAAAGCTCTTGAGACCAGTTTTTCTATTCATATAAGAGTGAACTTGGCCTTTGATGCCTGGACCTGAGAGACAATACAATACATGTGTTTTCCTTCTGATCTCTGAAAGTGGCAGGGAATGAAGGATAATAAACGTCTGCACTGAGTTGTATTTTTTTCAAACAAACCATATGGCCCGTAATTTTTATGAAGATGATACCTTTCACTATTTATATACACTGTAAAGATCAAAAAAATTTAATCTGAAAAGTGATAGGATGTATAAACATCATCCAGTATTTATTTATTAATTAATTTATTTCAATGCCTCCGCTAGGAATCGAACTAGGACTCATGGCGTACTAGTCTGATGCTCAACTGATCAAGCTAAAGAGCAGTTCTCTCTAGCCAAGCAGTATTTTGTGGCTAGCTTTTTACCAGGGCTACACATGATATAAATGACAATTTAGATTGTATAGGTGTGGTCACATACAAACTGCAGTGTTAACTGACTCCAATTATACAAGGTCAATTGAAATTAGATTATATCATATGTTGTGCAAAAGGAACTCTTAAAGTGATATGAATAACATATTATCCAATCTTGCTAAATCATAGTCACTTGTCATTAAAAGTATTTTAAAAATGGTTAGAAAAAGCAAAAAAATACTGTGTACTTTTCATCATTGTGTCGAATTGAATAAATCTTTTCTATGATTTTGGAATATTAAACCAATGACATGAACATGTTTGAATTTCGAAAAAATGTCCAGCACTGTGTTTTATACGTGATATTAAGAGTGTTGATTGTTAAAATCAGCGAATGGAAATTTGAAGATAATGAGGAACATGCATCCTTAAGGGCATGGCATTTAAAGCATCTGTATGATAAAGATTATATCCCGTACTTTCATTATCAGACGATAAGTGAAAGATGACGTTGTCGAGTGTTGCGGTCATCTGTTTGACCTCTTTGGTCGGCATTCCACTTACGTATAGCGTTAATCTATTTAAGGATTATGTCACAAATCCTCTGATTATCCTTGGTATAGGCGGGTTTGCAATCATTCTGGTGGCTCTTCTGCCATATCTGTACGCCCGGAACACCGACATTCCCAAGCGAGATCCATTCTTTTACGGTACGTATCATTGCATGCATCCTATTTATCATATCTTTATAATAGTTTCTGAAATGTGCTGTGGCTCAATATGCTTCGCATGCGTTTAATCCATGAAATCCTGCTCCTTATCAAAACTCGGACTTGAGCAAGTCTGCCGGAAAAAGATAGTGCTACACTAATTCATCGTGCCACTTTTTTCTGTGCTATGATACATAAAACAAGTCAGCTGCTTACTGGGTTTTCCTGGCCCCCGCTTGTAGAAAGTATATGTAGACAGATCTCTTGCCTACCGTTTGACCTGGGGTCTATTGATGTCTGACCCTGTTGATGGCAGATGGTTGTGACCTATATGACAGTTCTTTTAAGTGTTCGAGCCAAATAATTACCTAGTTGTTGAGGGACAGAGGGTGTAGGCCAAGTGATAGGCTGGTCCCTTAAGGACAGAGGATTATACCCAATAATGTTCAGGTCCAATTGAGGGACAGAGGGTGTGGGCCAAGTGATAGGCTGGTCCCTTAAGGACAGAGGATTATACCCAATAATGGTCTGGTCCAATTGAGGTTAAGGGTAGAATTTGATATGGTAGAAGCCCAGTAATAGTCCAGTTATGTAGGGGTGAAGTGAATGCAAAGGATTGTGGCCCAGTATACTGGCCAGACTGTTCATCAGGACAGAGGCTAAGGGTCTTATGATGAGCTGGTTCTTTAGGAACAGAAGATTGCTAATTGCTAATAATGGTCAGATATTCTCAGGAAGGAAAGGTTGATGCCTAATAATGGTCAGGTCCTCTTGAGGGCCATGGGTTGGTCTCGATAATGATCTGGTTTTCAACAGGACAGGTCCCGATGATGATCTGGTCTTTTTGAGGATGGAAGATTTGAGTCCAATAATGGCACAATATTCCAGAGAGCAAACGTTAAGGTCTCAAAAATGGTCTAGTCCTTTTAAGAGCAAGGGATGGGGCCCAGTAATGGTCAGACTCTCATCAAGGGAGAGAGTATGTGCCTAACAATGGACTGGTACTCTTGTGGACCAATGATTACTGCACCTAATAATGGTCAGGTTCTCTTGAGGCTTCAGAGGGTTGGGACACAAAAATGGGAGACTGGATATTGGGACAATATTAGTACTATTACTATAAGTAAGAATATTTAGAAAAGAGTTATTTGTTAAATTCTTTTATTATAAAGGTTTCTTTGTGTGTATAGAATTTATTGTAACAGCTAGGGTCATATGAGGACGACAGTACTGTGTATAAAGTTTACATTTACAACAACATAATCTTATAAATATATGCAGACACCAGGAAACATGGTAAGAATTAAACCATATTGAAACCATTATTTCATCCAGTTGCATTTCCCTAACATTGTCCTACACATTAATGAATTGTGACAAGTGCAATGTAATTGACATATATTTAAATGCTTTCTTGCAGCCTGGAGTCTGTTTGCCTTTGCCTGTGTAGTAGATTTGATAATTGCTTTAGAGAACGATGGCATCATCCACAGTTTCATGGCCTTTTATCTACTGGAGGGGGAGCCCTACCTCAAGACTACACATGGGACTTTTATCAACTACTGGGATGCTTTCGTACACTTTGGCCTGTACATTTACATCCTTACACAGAACTCTTACAAGTAAGTATCTTATACAACTATTGAGGAAGGTATATACACCTCTCTGTCTCAATACATTTACATCCTTACACACAACTCATACAAGTAAGTATCTTATACAACTATTGAGGTAGGTAGATACACCTCTCTGTCTGTACATTTACATCCTTACACACAACTCATACAAGTAAGTATGTTTTACAGCTATTGAGGTTTGTAGATACACCTCTGTCTGTACATTTACATCCTTACACAGAACTCATACAAGTGAGTATGTTTTACAGCTATTGAGGTAGGTAGATACACCTCTGTCTATACATTTACATACTTACACACAAAATATACAAGTAAGTATCTTTTACAGCCATTGAGGTAGGTAGATACACCTCTGTCTGTACATTTACATCCTTACACACAACTCATACAAGTAAGTATGTTTTACAACTATTGAGGTAGGTAGATACACCTCTGTCTGTACATTTACATCCTTACACACAACTCATACAAGTAAGTATCTCATACAACTATTGAGGTAGGTAGATACACCTCTCTGTCTGTACATTTACATCCTTACACACAACTCATACAAGTAAGTATCTTATACAACTATTGAGGTAGGTAGATACACCTCTCTGTCTGTACATTTACATCCTTACACAAAACTCATACAAGTAAGTATGTTTTACAGCTACTGAGGTAGGTAGATACACCTCTCTGTCTGTACATTTACATCCTTACACACAACTCATACAAGTAAGTATCTTATACAACTATTGAGGTAGGTAGATACATCTCTCTGTCTGTACATTTACATCCTTACACACAACTCATACAAGTAAGTATGTTTTACAACTATTGAGGAAGGTAGATACACCTCTCTGTCTGTACATTTACATCCTTACACACAACTCATACAAGTAAGTATGTTTTACAACTATTGAGGTAGGTAGATACACCTCTCTGTCTGTACGTTTACATCCTTACACACAACTCATACAAGTAAGTATCTTTTACAGCCATTGAGGTAGGTAGATACACCTCTCTGTACATTTACATCCTTACACACAACTCATACAAGTAAGTATCTTATACAACTATTGAGGAAGGTAGATACACCTCTCTGTCTGTACATTTACATCCTTACACACAACTCATACAAGTAAGTATGTTTTACAACTATTGAGGTAGGTAGATACACCTCTCTGTCTGTACATTTACATCCTTACACACAACTCATACAAGTAAGTATGTTTTACAACTATTGAGGTAGGTAGATACACCTCTCTGTCTGTACATTTACATCCTTACACACAACTCATACAAGTAAGTATCTTTTACAGCCATTGAGGTAGGTAGATACACCTCTCTGTACATTTACATCCTTACACACAACTCATACAAGTAAGTATCTTATACAACTATTGAGGAAGGTAGATACACCTCTCTGTCTCAATACATTTACATCCTTACACACAACTCATACAAGTAAGTATCTTATACAACTATTGAGGAAGGTAGATACACCTCTCTGTCTGTACATTTACATCCTTACACACAACTCATACAAGTAAGTATCTTATACAACTATTGAGGAAGGTAGATACACCTTGTCTGTACATTTACATCCTTACACACAACTACAACTATTGAGGAAGGTAGATACACCTCTCTGTCTGTACATTTACATCCTTACACACAACTCATACAAGTAAGTATCTTATACAACTATTGAGGAAGGTAGATACACCTCTCTGTCTGTACGTTTACATCCTTACACACAACTCATACAAGTAAGTATCTTATACAGCTATTGAGGTTTGTAGATACACCTCTGTCTGTACATTTACATCCTTACACACAACTCATACAAGTAAGTATGTTTTACAACTATTGAGGTAGGTAGATACACCTCTCTGTCTGTACATTTACATCCTTACACACAACTTAACAAGTAAGTATGTTTTACAGCTATTGAGGTAGGTAGATACACCTCTCTGTCTGTACATTTACATCCTTACACACAACTTAACAAGTAAGTATGTTTTACAACTATTGAGGTAGGTAGATACACCTCTCTGTCTCAATACATTTACATCCTTACACACAACTCATACAAGTAAGTATGTTTTACAGCTATTGAGGTAGGTAGATACACCTCTGTCTGTACATTTACATACTTACACACAACTCATACAAGTAAGTATCTTATACAGCTATTGAGGTAGGTAGATACACCTCTGTCTGTACATTTACATACTTACACACAACTCATACATACAAGTAAGTATCTTATACAACCATTGAGGTAGGTAGATACACCTCTCTGTCTGTACATTTACATCCTTACACACAACTCATACAAGTAAGTATGTTTTACAGCCATTGAGGTAGGTAGATACACCTCTGTCTGTACATTTACATCATTACACACAACTCATACAAGTAAGTATGTTTTACAGCTACTGAGGTAGGTAGATACACATTTGTCAGTACATTTACATTCACAAACAAGACTTGTACAAAGGAGTATCTTGTCCAACCACTGAGATGTTTTCCTGCACTTCTATCTGTACATTTCCTTTCTTAAACAAGACCTGTACATAAAAGTATCTCGACCAACCAATGTGATGTTTTTGTACACTTTTGTCCTCTTCAAAATGACTACAAGTAAGAGGTCAGCTAATAATTCTGCATATTTCAGACCAACCTTGTAAGATGACAATGTTGATTAACTCTGAGCATTAAAAGGTAATTCAGAAGTGACTTATTCTGTGTTGTTTCAGTGAGAAGTACAGGAAGGCCGGTCTGTACTGGGTGGGATCCATCACCAACAGTCTGCTGCTGATTCTTCCTGCTGGACTCATTGGTAGGTCAACTTATCATCCCGTTCAGGGTCATTGGTAGGTCAACTTATCATCCCATTCAGGGTCATTGGTAGGTCAACTTATCATCCCGTTCAGGGTCATTGGTAGGTCAACTTATCCCGTTCAGGGTCATTGGTAGGTCAACTTATCCCGTTCAGGGTCATTGGTAGGTCAACTTATCATCCCGTTCAGGGTCATTGGTAGGTCAACTTATCATCCCGTTCAGGGTCATTGGTAGGTCAACTTATCATTCCGTTCAGGGTCATTGGTAGGCAACCTATCATCCCGTTCAGGGTCATTGGCAGGTCAACTTATCATTCCGTTCAGGGTCATTGGTAGGTCAACTTATCATCCTGTTCATGGTCATTAGTAGGTCAACTTATCCTGTTCAGGGTCATTGGTAGGTCAACTTATCGTCCCGTTCAGGGTCATTGGTAGGTTAACTTATTGTCCCATTTAGGGTCATTGGTAGGTCAACTTATCATCCCGTTCAGGGTCATTGGTAGGTCAACTACTTATCATCCCGTTCGGGGTATTCGGTAGGTCAACTTATCATCCTGTTCAGGGTCTTCGGTAGGCAACTTTATCATTCTCTCCGTGGTCATTAGTGGATCCTTAATTCATTGATAGATGATCTTGTTATTTGCACTAAGGTCATTGATGGGTCACATGTTCATTACCGTTGAATTTATCAGTAGTTGATCTTATACTAAATGCAGCTTTTTACCCTAATACAGATATCAACCAAACTATGTATAATTTATCATTACAGGTGAGTATGGAGTAAGATGGCCGATCCTCCTCAATATGCCCTACCTGTGTATACCTGTGTGGATGGGGTACAAGTTCCTGAAAAATGCACCACAACTCAACACTCAGCACCAGGTAGCCATGACAAAAGGGGTTTTGAAGTGCCTTTTAAGTTCAATGGTTTTGTTTTGTATTTTATTTTGTTTGTTTTTTAATGCTCTGTCTTTTTCCTTTGTCTAACATTGTTACGCATGTCCTATTGGAAGTTTATAATGTGATTATTTTCAGAGTAGTGATTGAAGTAGTAATTAGTAATTAATTATGAGGGCTTCCAAATAAGAGTAGATGATACAGATCACATCCATTAGCCTCAGCACCCTAAATCCTAATGTCCTATTGGAAGTTTATAATGTGATTATTTTCAGAGTAGTGATTGAAGTAGTAATTAGTAATTAATTATGAGGGCATTCACATAATATGTCACAAGTACAATGTATATAGAGGATGAGATCTTTCGCTAGGCCTTGTGATTAAGTCCCTTGATCACAACTACATGTACAATACAGAATGACTTGTTTTGTTTGTTCAGGGTGACAGTGATGAGAGCGGAATGCGACCTATTCAAGAGAGACCTATGGATCTGCTGTTTATTGTCACTTTTGTAGCTGCTATCTGTGTTCACACACATGTACAGCAAGTCTGTGTGTTACACTGTACACAAGTCTACAGATAATGTCATTGTGTTACACTTGTACACAAGTCTATAGATAATGTCACTCTGTTACACTGTACACTTGTACACAAGTCTATAGATAATGTCACGTTGTTACACTGTACACAAGTCCATAGATAATGTCACTGTGTTACACTGTACACAAGTCTACAGATAATGTCATTGTGTTACACTGTACACATGTACACAAGTCTATAGATAATGGTGTTACACGTACCAGTGTAACCTGAAGACATAGTCTTACTCTGTCAAAAAGTCAGTTCATACAAAATTCTATAAATAAAGTCAGTACTTTGTTACACTGTACACATGTACACAAGTCTATAGATAATGTCACTGTGTTACACTGTACACAAGTCTATAGATAATGTCACTGTGTTACACTGTACACAAGTCTATAGATAATGTCACTGTGTTACACTGTACACTTGTACACAAGTCTATAGATAATGTCACTGTGTTACACTGTACACTTGTACACAAGTCTATAGATAATGTCACTTTATACACTGTACACATGTACACAAGTCTATAGATAATGTCACTGTGTTACACTGTACACATGTACACAAGTCTATAGATAATGTCACTGTGTTACACTGTACACAAGTCTATAGATAATGTCACTGTGTTACACTGTACAAAAGTCTATAGATAATATCACTGTGTTACACTGTACACTTGTACAAAAGTCCAAAGATACACATACTGGCAATATATTTTGTTAAATCATTTTAATGCCATTTGTAATGTCTCTCATACAGCTTTCTTTAAAAGTATAATGGATTTGTTAAGTTACATAATTTGGTTTGATAAGATGCAGAAGATACAAAGCTAGGTTGCTTTTTCAGTTAAGTGAAAGCTTTTGACTTCAAACATAGGTAACAAATTAGAAATAAACTTCTTCAAGGGAAAGTAAAAAAGATTGTTAACTTAAAAAGATCATTTCAAGAGTTGCAGTCATGTGAAGTGGGATTCTAATGTGTTTCAAATGCTAACTCTGCTTAATGGCTTTTACATGTACTTATAGGCAGTACTTGGAAGTCCTGCAGAGGTAGCCAAGGACTACCTACAGCAGTATGAACCTTATCTTACCGATGGTGTGGCCTTCCCAAAAGTACAGGTAAGTCTCTAGCTAGGGACCACTTACAGCAGTATGAACCTTATCTTACAGAAGGTGTGACCTTCCCAAAGGTACAGGTAAGTCTCTAGCTAGGGACCACTTACAGCAGTATGAACCTTATCTTACAGAAGGTGTGACCTTCCCAAAGGTACAGGTAAGTCACTTACCAGGGACCACTTACAGCAGTATGAACCTTACCTTACAGAAGGTGTGACCTTCCCAAATAACAGTCCTTACCTAAGAACTTTATCTGTTTTATCTGACAAACAAATACACAGAGTGCTAGTATAAAATGGATGTTATAGTCCTTTAGACAATTAATGTATCAAAGTGAATAAATTTCCTAATAACTTACAATTATACAGGTATTGTAATTGGTAAACAAATATTATACAGTGTCTTCTACAGTGAAATCTGCTCTGACATTTGTTGCTCTTGGAAACTACCTGGCTGCCTTCTTCAGCCCTTATTATGGCCAGTGAGGGGTTGATGACAAACTAGGTATGAGATTCAGCCATTTCACATATATATAATACTGTAGATGAGAAGTATTTATCAACAAGGATAATGTATGGATGGATGTGCCCTTCACTTACACACAATCTTGATTCCTCCACAGATGATGTTGTATTTGTTCTACTTTGTGCCCTACTATGTGATGGTCATCTCTGATCTGCTGTATCCAAGTGGTCAAGCATGGGTGGTGGACTGGTCACTCATAATGGCTGGAGCTGCAGGCGAGGTGGGTTAACAATCAAATTTTCTGTCTGCCTATGGAATAGGTTAAAGGGAGACAAATTATATTTCTCTAACCACATACATGTACTAAAATTTGGTGTGACAATCAGTGTGAAAAGCTATGTTTGTTGTAATCAGGCAACCTCCTCACATGAAATCTGTCCTCCCAACAAGGCAAGTTCCTCCTCACAGAGGCTCACTTGTTTATCTGTCCTCTCAACAGAGCCAATTTTCCCATAGTTGGTCTTCATTAATCCTAAAACCCTGTCTCATCCATAGGTCTACAAGGTTTGTATCTTGTTAAGGCCAAACTTTACTTGTAATTCTCTCTATTCTACAGGATTTCTTTACCCTTATTGGGGCTTCCATTTACCTGTAAATTTGTTCCCTCTGCAAGGCTAGTTCCCTCTTATTTGAACCTCCATTTTCTTGTAGCTCTCTCTTCTCCACAGAGTTACTTCCCTTACATTGTTCACCTATTAATCTGTCTGCTACACAGGGCCAGTTTTCCCTTATCGGAGCCTCTATCCACCCGTATACTCCTGCCATCTCGCAGCTTCCTCCGGGAAACCACATGCTATTCTGGATTGTCAATGGAGCTCTGTTTGTTGTCCCTCATCTATATGCCTACAGGTGCGTTACCATGTCTACTAAACGTTTCGTTGGTACACTCAGGACAAATGGCCGAGCTGCTCTAGAACATTCTCAGGACAATGGACTGCTGTATGATAAAAACGAATCAGGAGGTGGCACTTCAGAATCAAGATATAATTTACGAAATCGACACAATCGCTAATTTGATCATCTTTAATGCCAAAATTCTTGTCTTGAATTTTGTTTTTACTAATTTCAGGTTATATTCATTTAAAATGATGTCATCGTTAAATAATTTAGTTAAGTTTAATTAACAGTACAAACACCAGTGTTCTTATTTGTCTATTACATTCTAATGAGTTAATCAACTCCAAGAAACCCAGATAAGCCCTATAGTTACATTTATAATTCATTCATAATTCTTTTCTTTAAAAACACTCTATAAGATTTAACTGGAAATACCCAAAGATGGGGTGTGGGAAAATTTAATAGGATCCACTCACCCACTATGATCTATCAAAGAAGTAAATTAATTGGGGAGGGGACTAAGAGTTCTACAATATTTCATATTCACTCATTTACATAGAAGTAAAGAGGTTGTTGATGATGAGAAGAGTACATACGTATGCTGGGTTTACTTTCATTGTGACCAGGTGGTAGCTTAAACAGGATTTTAACTGGTGGATATCACCACCCATTTAAATATACACACATGAACTTAGTGTTCTATATTATTGATTTTGAGAGAGATTGGTATTCATAAGTACACCTTTTTCTACATTGTGTGCAATACATCTATTTGTTCAGCTATCTTGCCCTTTAAACATTTTTACCAGTTGTTTTATTAAAAGCTGGTTTCCAATTGATGGTACTATCAGTACATAGATATGTGATGTTTTTAAACTTGTGTCCACATTGCTGATCATTGACCACAATTTTATATTATCAGGGAATATTTCAACTGGACAATCCAAATGTCAAAATCAAATTGTTATGTGTTCACTTTAAGCACATGTCAGGTATTTTTAGATGTTTGTTTTTTTTATACTGGTTGTTGCCAATGTTCTATAACATTTTAAGATAAAGTGTGATTTGTTTTAATTTCCTGCCTCCATTAGGATGTAGATATTTTTATCCCATAACCTTATACTGGGTCAGAGATCATACAGTGAATTTCTAACATTGAATGAGAAATTATACTTTGCATTCATACAAGTAATTTTATAGATAATTATATGTTCAAAAAGTGTTCACGAAATACAGAATGAAAGTGTTAACCTTGTTGCTAAATGCCTTCCATGACCTCAGTATTCATATTGTGTGGTAAATGTTCTTTAATGCCGAAATTTTATTTATGATTAATGTGAGATACTGATTCCCCATACAGACATGATGTCAGTATAGAGGTGATGTTTATATGATGTCAGTATAGAGATAATGTTTATATGATGTCAGTATAGAGATAATGTTTATATGATGTCAGTATAAAGGTGCAGTTTATATGTCAGTATAGAGGTGGTGTTTATATGATGTCAGTATAGAGATAATGTTTATATGATGTCAGTATAGAGATAATGTTTATATGATGTCAGTATAAAGGTGCAGTTTATATGTCAGTATAGAGGTGGTGTTTATATGATGTCAGTATAAAGATGGTGTTTATATGATGTCAGTATAGAGGTGATGTTTATATGATGTCAGTATAGTTTATATGATGTCAGTATAAAGGTGATGTTTATATGATGTCAGTATAGAGATGATGTTTATATGATGTCAGTATAGAGGTGATGTTTATATGATGTCAGTATAGAGATAATGTTTATATGATGTCAGTATAGAGGTGGTGTTTATATGATGTCAGTATAAAGGTGGTGTTTGTATGATGTCAGTATAGAGGTGATGTGTTTATGATGTCAGTTTAGAGGTGCTGTTTATATGATGTCAGTATAGAGATGATGTTTATGTGATGTCAGTATAGAGATGATGTTTATATGATTTCAGTATAGAGGTGATGTGTTTATGATGTCAGTATAGAGGTGATGTTTATATGATGTCAGTATAGAGGTGATGTGTTTATGATGTCAGTATAGAGGTGGTGTTTATATGATGTCAGTATAAAGGTGGTGTTTGTATGATGTCAATATATATATAGAGAGATGATGTTTATATGATGTCAATATAGAGATAATGTTTATATGATGTCAGTATAGAGATGTTTATATGATGTCAGTATAAAGGTGATGTTTATATGATGTCAGTATAGAGATGATGTTTATATGATGTCAGTATAGAGGCTGTTTATGTGATGTCAGTATAGAGGTGATGTTTATATGATGTCAGTATAGAGATGATGTTTATATGATGACATATAGAGGTGATGTGTCCTCATTGAACTGTAATTGTAGCCATTAACTGTCAGCTTCAAAAGTATAAATAGAATGTTTTTTATATCATTTTTACATTGTCTACTTTGTAAATTTCTTGCTATAACATTTTTTGACTGATCAAATTAAATCATCACAGAGTTGTTAAGAAAGTCTGTTTTTTCGATAGGAAGGATAAGTGATTGAACAAGACTACTATTTAAGATAACTCACCTAGTACATTAATTCATCATTTTCCTGTTTATATACTCTATAATCTACAATAAAACAAGTACACTTCAGGCTTTCATTATTTATTATATCGCCAGTGATGGAACATTTTTAGATATGATAATATGTTAGTTTGGCAATCACAAGCACACACCTCTATAAAAAAGTAATATACCATATAAAAGACACCATTCTGCCTCACGCCTACACCTACAGGTGTTTCCAACATAACCACAATGATTCATGTATTGTTGTACATATCTATTACTAGTTACTATTGGACAAAGGTAAACACTGAACTGTAACTCAGTGCTTGTTACCTAACCATATACTTAGGTGGTAATCATACTTACATTTTGACAGTCATCATACTGTAATTTGTTACATAAGTGTGGTGAAGTAAAACTAACTGCAGTTAGTTAACTAGGTAACAGGCTATAGTAACCACAGTAACCTGGAAAAGTAATGTATGGTTAGGTAACCAAGAAGCAGGCTATAGATGATAACCTGGTAATGTATGGTTAGGTAACCAAGAAGCAGGCTATAAATGATAACCTGGTAATGTATGGTTAGGTAACCAGGTAGCTGGCTATAAATGATAACCTGGTAATGTATAGTTAGGTAACCAGGTAGCTGGCTATAAATGATAACCTGGTAATGTATGGTTAGGTAACCAAGAAGCAGGCTATAGATGATAACCCTGGTAATGTATGGTTAGGTAACCAGGTAACTGGCTATAGATGATAAACTGGTAATGTATGGTTAGGTAACCAAGAAGCAGGCTATAGATGATAACCTGGTAATGTATGATTAGGTAACCAGGTAACTGGCTATAGATGATAACCTAGTAATGTATGGTTAGGTAACCAGGTAGCTGGCTATAAATGATAACCTGGTAATGTATGGTTAGGTAACCAAGAAGCAGGCTATAGATGATAACCCTGATAATGTATGGTTAGGTAACCAGGTAACTGGCTATAGATGATAAGCTGGTAACGTATGGTTAGGTAACCAAGAAACTAACTATAGATGATAAGCTGGTAATGTGAGGTTAGATAACCAGGTAACAGACTACAGACAGTAACCTCGTAAAGAGAGGTTAGTTAACCTGGCAACAGACCTTAGATAGAAATTGGAAATACTGATTAAATACATGCAAGTGAACTTGATAAAATGGCTTATTAGAGCTGCTACGAAAACACTCACAAGCTCTTTCTCAGATATATCCACACAGTGATTATTGAGCTAGATTGAACAGCTATTAACTAGTTGATTAAATTTCTTATTGACTTATCTGTTTATACTGTGTTAATATGAGGTTTAATTTGTGATATGTTCCTTTTATAGTGAAAAAGATGAGGCCAATAGAATGTATGAACCAATCAAAACAACACACTGGATACATACATGTACTGGAAATTAATCATTTACCTGACAAAGTACAGGTAATAACTCCATCACGCAACATAAAGATATGATAAAAACATGATTACAGTGTGTTCATGACCGTCGGTACAACAGGTCAAATAGAGAGAAGTATCTTGTCTTCTACAGATACACAGCATGATTTGTAAACCAACATAAAAATACTTAAAAGTTGGTGCATTTCATCAACCTGAACTTGTCTAAGATATACTGTGTATATAGGAGTATAATTACACATGGTACACTGACTGTTGGAAATTCTACATGATGACACTCCATTAACTAGCTTCATGGATGTTACAATCAAATAACAACATATGACAAGTAATATCATAGTACACATCTAGGACATATAATTTGTTAAATTATTCTTTAAAAGTTTAATGGAATCATATTTAAATGTAATAAAAACCATCTATAAAATGTTGAACTTAATAAGTTAATAACAATGAGATCACCTCATAATAAATAAAAATCAATTGGAGATTTATATATATACATGTACCAGAATGATAGTTGTGTTCTTTATATAACAACACTGTCTATAAAGGAGTTGAGACTATTTCACCATCAGCCACTCACTGATATACACTAACTAAAACCATTTTCTGCTTAATTCACTAGACATATGTATAGATATTAGGTAGAGACTAGACATATGTGTAGATATTAGGTAGAGACTATACATATGTGTAGATATTAGGTAGAGAATAGACATGTATAGATATTAGGTAGAGAATAGACATATGTGTAGATATTAGGTAGAGAATAGACATGTGTAGATATTAGGTAGAGAATAGACATATGTGTAGATATTAGGTAGAGAATAGACATGTATAGATATTAGGTAGAGAATAGACATATGTGTAGATATTAGGTAGAGAATAGACATATGTGTAGATATTAGGTAGAGAATAGACATATGTGTAGATATTAGGTAGAGAATAGACATATGTATAGATATTAGGTAGAGAATAGACATATGTATAGATATTAGGTAGAGAAAAGATCACAGAAACCCTCCGACGATTCACAAAATAATATCACTACTTAAGGTTACACCTGACAGCTTAATCATCTGTAGGTGTGTGACAGGAAAATGTAATGGCCAGTTCGGGATTGAAACAAGAGACCGATATAAACCTTACAAGCTCCAAACTATTGACCTTTCTGGTCACTAGAGATTGACCAAATCTAGTTTTGTTACATCTAAGGAGCACAGAAGACCCTAGAGAACCATGTGTGGGTACAATTAAGAGGATATAACATAGACTAGGTCCTCCAAAGCCTATATGGACGCTATGATAAGGCATATGATAATACTCTTCTTACCTCTGTACATACATTTTATTTGACAGTTAAAGTCCTGAATACTTCATTTTATATGAAACTGCTGATAGATAAAAGGATATCCGGATTGACCCATGTCACCAGAACACAGATGTTTTTCAATAAGACAGCTCCGAGAAGTAGGACGAGTCAAGGAGATGGATACCTGTAACCAACCAAGGAACCAAACAGACTGATCCAACCTATTCCAGCATGTCAGCTAGACAGGTGCACTCCCACATTGACATCAATATAAATTTTGTATGAAGAACATGTGAGAACTGAAATTATAATGGGTTGATGAAAAGCAATACTATCTCTAATTAAAAAAAACAACAGAATATTTCTGTCTGTCCATCAAGAAACTGGTTATACAAAAGGGCAACACATTTGGGCACACAATGTGTTACATTGTATATATAAATGTATATAGGCACTTATTATCAACATATAAAACATTATGGAAGATGTATATCACAGCTTTAAACTCACACACATTCTAACATATAATTCACTATTCAGTGACTGGACATCACTTTCTCAGGCAGATGTTTTCTGACAATTAATGGAAATGATATTCCTAGGGTTCTTGTATAATACATATTTATTTCAAGTCACAGAAAAGGATTATGAAAACAATTATTTTGAAATTAAAATTTTAGAATCTGTCTGAAAAGCTTAAGAATACAAACTAAACTAACCCAACTGGTTTTATTTTGTGAGCAAGACAATCAATCTCAACAAGTTGGGGATAAGTTGTTTATCACTATGTGTGTCTCTTCAAGACAAAATTGTAGAATATTTCTTCCCCATAAGTACTAGCAATGTGGACACATAGGATTGTTGTACCTCTAAATTTATGACATCATTAACAATGGCAATACATTATATTGTGATGTCATCAATAGTTAATTCACACGCTTGGCTTCTTGACCAGATTTTATTTGAGCATATAAAAAGTCTCTTACATAAATCAAATCTGCTTAAATCTGCAACTAGGTTCATTTCCAAGGGATAACACATACATTGTATATCTGTATTGTAACAATATCTGCTACACTTAATAAATCATTACGGCACAAGTTTGAGTGAACTGTCCCATACTGATGCTATTCCTGCAGCAGAGGATATCAATCCGAGGAATCCCTGAGTGCCGGCAGATGCGTCCACCTTCCCGAGAGTGGACAGCGGTAAAACCAAGTCTGCTAAGTTTTTAACCAAATCCAGCATTACAGGTTTATTTTGCATTACAATTTTCCCCACAATGTTTGTGTTGTGTGATCTAGAGGTCCGCTTGCTGTGGTCAGTGTCTCCGTTGATCTGCTGACCATGTTTCTCCTGTGATTGTTGTTGTCTCATCTCTTCCTGTACAATGTTCACAAGGTCATATACATTTCTCGCTAGATTTAAAATCAAACTGACCACCCAGAATCTGGCAGATATTTGTGACCACTTCTTCTTGTCTGTGGTGATAAGTCCAACATTGTGAGCATATATTATGTGATCAAAAAGCAGGAAGCAGGCTTGGTTAATCTTTGACATAGTGATGGTCAGCCTTAACACCGTATCCTTAATGTGGAAACTCTTTAAAGCCGCCTTGACAAAGTCGAGACTTTTACCAAAGCGCAGCACTACAATCAAAAAAATATAGCATAGTTTTTCATCTCAAAGTATTTTATCAAGATGTCTTGCATAGCAACGTGAATCAGATTATGTCATATATAACTTTTCACAATCTCACACATTCATAAATCTTTTAAAAATTCTTTAAAAAACTTGACAATGTATTAAATGCACCACATAACAAATACTTAAGTTATGGTTTGAAATAGAGAATAAACTACCAGTTAATCATTTTACTACATACATGTTACACTGGACATCAATTCTTAATTTATCTTTATAATATACAAGTGTACACTTTAAAGACAAATCAAAACATGAAAGCAGATAAAGATTTTTCTATTACCAATTCAAGAAATTTCAAACTTTACTACAGCCGTCTAAATGGTACCATGGCTCTATCTTGGATTTATTGACCTTTATTGAAAAGTATCACTTATATAGGACTTTATATACGTAGAATTTAAACATAGATTTTTATACGTAGAGAGTAAACATTTAATCTAACATTAAGATTAGAATATACTACAACAATCTTACATTTCCTGGTCATGCTTAGGGAGGATTCCAGTTTCTTGAGTTTTTCCACCAGCTCGGGACCTTTTGCATTCTTATGAAGATGCCACCATACCAATTTACTGCCATACTGAATGAGTCTGTGAAAATAAGAGATAATCTGCGATGAAGTCATCTTTCATATTCTGAAGTGAAGACTATTTTCAAAGCTGATAATTGGTCTGCATTCCCCTGTTGTTAACATAAGCAAAATGTTAACATAAGCAAAATCCAGCCAGACAGATCCATTTGTAAAATCACACATAACAAGTTAGTTTTATCACAGAATCCATATTATAATTAACATAAGTGCCCAAATAAAACTTGCAGTGGTAAACGAAGCTTATGGAGATTGCATTTGTGTGGTATATAGGGACGAGTCTACATTGAACACATTTACAAAAACTTATATTAACTGTGAGAAAAATAATTTTGTTGCTTTTGTTAATAAATGTGGTGGAAAAATACACACATATTGTACCAGGATATTGAAAATGACCTTCAAACCTGAAAAACATTTATGTCCTTCCGACTTTTCAACAGATTATATCTCAAAAACATTCAAAAGCAAAATTATCATGAAGGGAACAGGGCATAATTTTTTATTTTTATCAGCAAACAGGATACAGCGAGAACAGGAAAAAGCATTGAGTATACATAAGTAGCAGGTAAGGCCTTAATGTGAAAAGTTATCCCTAGCAAGCATATAGGAGAGTTTGATCAGCCCATGTCAGCAAATTATGTCAATAAGTTATTATATAAAAACAATTTTTTCCATCTTATTGTAATAAAATCAGTCTGGGATGAATTCATGACTGATAATTAATGTTTGGTATCATTCTTACTGTAAACAATGAGTTGTATTAATGTTTAATAGGTTTTAATATAAATCTGGCCGTTCTAGCTGTCAGAAGTATTAATGCCTTGTACATAAGCTGCTCAGGACTTGTTTCCTAGATCCCCTCAATACCTTATTGACTTGCATCATCCGTAGTATAGCAATACATTTACAGTTTTTTGTTTAAGGTTTAATGTCCACACAAACAGCTAAGGTCGTAAAAGAGGGATGGGCCCAGTGCACCAAGTTATTGACTGGTATGTGTCCTATCTTTTAACCCCTCAGTGTACATGTATCACCTCATTATGGCTCAAAGCATTGTTTATGGATTAAATCACTATACTGATAATAATGTAGGAAAGTTGTACATTGAATCTAATCAATACTTAACAATTACTGTTACAACAATAAAGACAATTATTATGTAGATAATCGGTACATATAATGATCGCTGTAGATCTTTCTCGGTGAAAGGAAATGTGGACAGACTTATTTACCTCAGCCCTTATCACTAGTCAGGTCAGATCAGGCTGGGTCATTTATCCTACAAATGTCTTATCATCTGATATGAGAGTGTGAACAAGCCAGCATCAATTTGTGTATCATATGAATATTCATATATTTAATTTGATATCAATGATTCAATGATGTTCTCAATAAGGGGAAATGTGACACAATGAAATGCGCAGTGTATGTTAGGGCTTTTATTGGCTGAACACAGTATGAGCATGTTTAACTCGTCGGGTGGCGCAGTGGTACGCAATCACCTTTCACCTAGCCGACCGTGGGTCGATTCCTGGAACGGACGGGAAGAGGTAAAGGGTCACCTGCCCAACCACGTGGGTTTTCCCCCGGGTACTCTGGTTTCCTCCCACAATAAGACCCCTCGCACGCTCACATCCGGGCCAACATGAGTGATTAGTATAAGTTGACATAACTTGTTTCGCGATTGTTGTAAAATAAATAAAGTTGATATTTCTATATACATTTCAGTGAGCTCTGTTGCAATTATATTTACAGGGGAGATTTTACATCAATGTTCATTAATCAACTTGGAAACATTCTAGTTATATTTGCAAAGATTTTCACTTTTTCTTATCAGGTATGGAATAAAATCAATCTAAACAAGGTTTTTTTTTTAATTTTGAGTTACTTTCTTTTAAAATGTTTTCATCCTTTCATTTTGACACGTTGCAGTAATGGTCGAGTGATTGATCCCCACTAGGTCCTGATTTCCTTCTTGTTGCTTCCAGTTATGACAAGATTTAAATTAGAACAACAGTAACTACACATTGGTCAATCTTCAAATGGAGAGCAATGTAGAAAATATGTATGATGGTAAAACACTTACTGGTATACTAATATGTGAAGACAATGCTAAATTATGACATACATTGAAACTACCAACTAATACAAAACAGCTACATTTTAGGGACTAGGCTTTATCAAAATGTTCTACACAGAACTTGAACCTATTTCCAGCTTTACAATGTCGGAGACATGTTGTTTGGAAATTGATTCAGCTTTTAAATGCCAAGCTTACTTGTTAAACAGGGATTTCCATCCAGTTGGTCAAATTATTCAAGAAAGATGATCCTAAATTATGTAAAAAATTAATTAAAAGTTATTACTGGAGCTGTGTGTGACATCTTATAAACTTGTACAATTATTAAGTTTATCATTACATTTAACATTTCAAGTCTAATGTGTGTTGTTTTCTGCCACTTACCTCCTGTACAGTGATATTGCCTGGCACAATTTAAATAATAATAGTCTTTATGTTACACTTTTGTACTCTCATGTGTACTCAATTGTCTTTGAAATCTGTCTTTTTCCTCCTTGTCTTGTATAATGTAAGTTAACACTAAGGTGATACCTGAACATTTTGTATGTGTTATAATAGCCTTATGTTGTACATATGTATATATATATGTATTTAACTGGTATACTGATGAACTTCAAGGCTTGAAGTGAATAAACAATACAACTTTGTTGACTTCACTCAGTATAAACTTCACCAGTCCCTGAACTTAATTAGTGAAACCCAGTTTGTATGATTTTACAATGTGTGTATAAACACAGAAATCAAACATTTCACACACACGTCATCCCCCTTTTCCCAATATCTACTTTCACTCATTTCTTTACCCACTCTCTTTCCTCATGTTTTCCCCAGTATTATAGCAGGTGTAAGGACATTTAAATAAGTAAATAAAGTTTCACTTGTGAAATAATATTTGATAACTATATGTTACTTTAATTGCAGGAACTTCTGTTATTTCACAAGAAAAAAGAATACTACATTTTTGAACAGGAATCATATGATTTTCAAATGTGATTTCAAAAAAGTAGAAAAATAACCAATGGTATGCAAATCTTAAAATTACATGTATACATACTAGACTTATGTTTCGCTTCACTCGTAGAGTGTATTGACAGTAGAGTCCAGTACATGTACAAATATACCTGTGATGGAATTCATATTCGTGGTACGTATTCAGTACATGAAATTATTTTATTTACACAGATAGAAAGGAAATTTACATATATATCACTTTATTTTTTAAATTTGCTAAGGCGTGCAGAAAATGGTTGTCCTCATCCATCTATAAATAAAAGAGAGATGTGACATATTGTACATACATATAGATACCAGTACGTGTACAGTACAGTAACTGTCACTGTCAAGCCGGTCGACTCTGAACCGGGTCGAATTGGTAGATCTACTCGACGTGTTTTGAGCTCAAATAAAGATACAGTCATACTTACCTAAATAACTTGTCTCTGCCATTTGTTTGACCTCCGAACTTGATGATCTGTGATGCAAGGTCCTGATTTGTGGACATGTTGTCACTTTCTCTGCTTAAAATCAACTTAGTGTTTTACTCGCATGCTTGTCGTTGGCCAAAGTGCAAATACTGTGACTTCGGAGCATTTCGGATGTTAACCTAATAAAAGGTCATCAATCAAGGTAAGTCCGGTGTCGGCCTAAATTCCACCCTTCATAAATAAAATAGTTCCAGTGGCTTTATATTCTCACGTTTCTGACAATTTGATCTCTGTTTAGTGAAACAATTATCACTTAGAGACGTCTTTTCCGTTTTAATCCACTCTGAGGTACACACGCAATGTGGTAGTTGTAGAAGCTTGGTAAATTGCGCCGAACACCAAGGTGCGTTCGATTCAACAACACGAACCGGAAGAGAAATGTTTAGTTAGCTTAACGTTGTTTGATGAATTGAAATATTTGTTCCAAATATGTTGACAAGGCAAATGTTATTTATACCAAAATTCAAACATTTGAAGTAATTGAATGTTTATTTGCTGTTTGTTTGCTGGATTTCGTCTCGTAGAAGGCAGTATCATTTTGAAGCGGTATCGCCTAGTGTTAGCTGGTAGCTCACTGAACAACATACGGAAGGCCCGTTCACCGGCGTAGCGATAATGCATGTTTGTATTGTGAAGCATACACTCGAATTCCATTGAGATTTTTTTCTTCTTATTATTTTTTTTTTCTTTTCTTTGCCCCAGATCCCCACTGGTGCTCCGCCCATGGACCCTCCTTTGAAGCATACGCTCCTAAAAAACATTTGCTACGCCACTGCCGTTGCATCCTATCCAGTACAATTTGGGTAGAAAGTCTTCCATAGCCCGTTTATCAGAAAAAAAAACTGACGTCACGGTAGTTAATAGCGCTCAACTAAACACATGGAATCTTCATCCCAGGTTACATTGCAGTAGCCCAACTTTATACAATTCCATGTACATATTTTCTATTTTTCAATGGCTTCCGTTGTCCGATATGTTTAAGATACCAAGTAATATAACTGCAGTTTATTGTTATTTCACAGTGTACAGTTGGTGGTCAGTATGATTTTAAAACAAAGACAATAAAGAAAACAAAGATATATATATATATACTAAAATGGAATGAATTTGATTTGCGAGTCTGGCATGTGTTGCATTCGTTTCATATTATGGGAAAAATATAAAACGATAAATATATCATTATATATATACATGCCGGGTATTGTCTGCAGGGAAAAAAGGATACAGAGTCGAGAAAATAACAAGTACAGTGAACACTGATAATGTACAGACGACCAAGGGGTTACTGCTAAGCATCATCAGAGAAACACTGTAATCAGGTACCCGGTATTACAGACTTAGAAGTGCATGTGATGCACGGGAGAGATTAATGTCCTAAAACGACACTGAACCGAGAGATAAGATCCAATTTCGTTTTAAAAGAATATTATTATCTAAAGGGCTCCTAAGCAAAACGTCTTACCATGCACCTAGTTATTCAACTGCTTTTCATCTACAAGTGACATTCATGGGAGACATGAATGAATGCCAACTTGAAAAAGGAAAATTCAATGAAGCGTGTTAGCAATTGAACATGCCTTCATCTAGCTGGCGTTCATCATGCCTATGAACTGCGTCGCTTAGACTGATATCTAATTGCTTATTTTTGTTTTTTCGTTTTCTGTTTATATCGTCCACAAACAAGTTGAGAGCGAGGGAAGAGGCGGGTGGATGATATAAGGAATCACCTTTCTGTCTTCTGTTTGTCCATCTTCTCGCTTAGGCTTCAAGCGCTACTCCTCCTACACCGTTTAATAGATTTCGTTAAAACTTGGCACATAATAGTACAAGGAAGACTTTCATTTTCAAAAATCGAACAACAGAGATATTCTTGAATAGATTGTGATATTTAGCATGATAATTATCTCATAATCCACACGCGATACTTGCACACACCTGACACCTGGATATAAACCACTCCCTATTCGACATGTTGTACTTGAAGTGTCAGCTTTTAAAGCAAGTAAACCTAAATAAACAAAATTAAAGAAAGAAAAATGCCTACCGACCGACCCTGTTATTTTCAGCCGGAACCAGAGACATTTTCGGCCGTAGCGTTACATCCACAAGCATTTCAATATATCCTGGAGGGGAAGTAGGTAACCGGGCTGAAATGTTGAGAGCATTATATCACTCGGTTAGAGAGATATTCTCTGTACCGCTATCACTTCAGTAAACCAAAGGTTCCAGAATCGAATCCGAGTCGAGACATTCATTTGACATTGTCAAATCCCATCATAGGGGAGACAACCTCTATTTGCTTTACATCAATGCAATAGATATGTTACGGGAAATGATCAAACTGTCGTTGGCAGTTCATGAGTCAGTGAATCACAACACAAACTTTGGTAAGGTTATACCAGAGTAATGCCAACAATGGTAATTAAATAACAGTAATGTAGACCTAGATGCAGTTTTAGGGTTCATATTAATATAACTCGAACGCTGTATGAGAGTTTCCGATTTTTATTTCGACGAAATGAAGCCATGTCCGAGGGATCGACCTGTCCAGCTCTTTCCCAGAGCTTCATGTGGTCAGTGCGAGGGATGGAGGTGTGTGTAAAAATGTGACCACGCATGCGCCAACATGCAGTCACAGTTGCTCGATGACCTAACATTCCACTCTCTCACTCAGATGACATGACATGTACAGGCTAGGTCCGAATCATGTATTAAGAAATACCCTGTACAAATATGTACACACAGTCTACGTATTACTTAGCTTAGTGTGATATGTGGGGTAACCATGCTGGAAAATCAGAAAACAATGAGTATGACTTGTCCAATGGAAGTTTTAATTTGCAAGGAATTACCGTAAGGCTCATCAGAAACCTAATCGTTCACTTTAGCTAATAGTCGGACACTAAATTAGCCCAAGAGACAATGAGCAGCGAAACAGCCAACATATTTCCGATCATAAAGGATAACCTATTATGATATGGCAAGGGCGATAAACCATTCGACAACAAGGAGAGGGAAGGGGAGAGAGAGAGAGAGGGAGAGAGAGAGAGAGAGAGATAGAGAGACAGAGAGAGATAGAGAGACAGAGAGAGGGGGAGAGAGAGAGAGGGAGAGAGAGAGAGAGGGAGAGAAGGGGAGAGAGAGGGAGAGAAGGAGAGAGGGAGAGAGAGAGAAGGAGAGAGGGAGGGAAGGGGAGAGAGAGAAGGAGAGAGGGAGGGAAGGGGATGGGAGAGAGAGAGAGAGGGAGGGAGGGAGGGAGGGCGGGAGAGGGAGATTCAGTTTGTTCCTGTAATTCAGTGTAGTATATTGGAAGCTCTTCTCACTAAACTCCACGGATATAGACATATTACCAACCAGAAATGATTTTTATGATTTCATTCTTACATAGTTTATTTTCACATTATATATGTATATTTTTTAATTTCTAAGCAAAGAACTGGAACATTTTGCGATCATCTTGGCCCATCATTTTGTTTCTCGTGTTGACACACGGTGAAATGATGGAGCAGAGATTGTTAGTTTATTAAACCACACGATCTCGCTGCAGTGTAAGAGATGAAACATCATTAAATGTTGGCGGCCGGAAATTCCTTCCTGTAGAGACTCCGGTCTCGGAAACAGTCTGCGGAACAGGAGCGGGCATGGAGTCGTACGTTTTAGGGGTCTCCATGGGTGATGGCATGGAGTCGTAAGTCTTCCTCGACTGCCGAGTGGAGTAGTAATTGGGCGAAGATTCACGAGAAGATTCGTCCGATGGGGATATAGGTCGCACGTGCACACGACGTGATGAGTGATGACGTGAATATTGTGGCGTTGCAGTTCGTGATTTCATAACGCGATCCTCGTATTCGTCATCGTCGCCCGTTTCCGGAATGAAGAGAAGCCCCGCGAACACAGCGAGAATCCCGCCCAGGATGGTCAGCCCCATGGAGTACCCGGCGCTGAATGCAGCCTGTGACTGGACGTAAACCATCCATATGATCAGTCCTACTCCAAGTAAAACTCCTGAAACGATACCAAACGTAGGTCAGAAGAATTAGTGTTGCGTTCATAAACTGTCATTTGCTTTTCCAAAATACTGTATTCAGTAAGCAAGACATGCCATGTATGTCTTATTTGGTGAGAATAGTTTGTCATATATCACACTCGTCAGAAAAGTTGTACGTGACGTTTCGATAACTTCACTCTGTCACCTTCAACTTACAAATTATCAAAGTAGCGGATGTATACCTATGTACAAAGTGTCATTAGACGGAATGTCGAAGTGGTGGATAAAGGGAACAATCTTTTCAAATGAAAGGTCAAGAAAGCCATCTGGATATGCTTATCGGTCTGGTTCTAAACCGGGATGAGGGGGGTCATATGCATTCGCATATGAACAAAGTTTTCAGCTGGGTCGGATTTCGTGGACTAATACATACATTGTTATCAACTTTTATGGTTGATTACCGACAATAACTATTTTCACTATCATTTCATCTATCTACCATATTACGTGTTATACTGTAGTAAAGCCCAGATGTCCTGTGGATTTGATTAGCACACCCTACATTGCACAAGTCAGTGATCATACCTTGTATTTCTGGTTTATTGTCTGATGAAGGCGACAATGAATTCCTTGAAACGTTACAAACACATTCTAATTGTGATATACCAAATTTAATCACGTATATATGCATATATTTACGTATAAGGAAGAACATTTTTGATGATGCTTTGAATTTTTACTACTACTTTACACCTTAGAAACTGAAATGAAAAGACAATGAAGTTTTTTTCACTAACTCGTAGCCATGAAAGAATGCGGAGGTAACCAGAATTTGTATCGATTTTTTTTGTTCGGTGAATAGCTTAGGACACAATTACGTCACCGTACCAGGCTACATGTTTCCTGGTGCCATTGGAAATCAATTGCATGTTTGAAAAAATATCATAATGATTTTATTTTTATGATTGTAATTGAATTTAATTGGTTCCAGCAAACGATCAAATGTCTGTATATAATAGATATGAAAGAGTTCCACTATGTCATGCCAGGGATAAATTCATTACACAAACAGAACAGCATGTTATGAAGATTTCAAAAAACTTTTACAGCAATTAAATATCGAGCTGAATATTGAGTGTAAACCACATCGTAAATGTCACCCCAGTATATCTGTACAAGAACACCACACAAATAATCTATAGTAAGGACAATATCAATATTCTGCTTCTTTAAATGACATTGCGGTAAATTTTATATTAGATGGCAAACCTTCGCCTATTAAAGTTACTTGTAGTTGTAGATAAATGTCTCTTACCGCTCCCGGATGGTAAGAAACCTGTCTTCCCGGAGTTTTATCAAGGTACGCGTGTACACTATTGAATGGTACAAGTCCTCATACAGTGGCAGAGGTTTTGTTTTATTGGCAACCAATTCAAGAGGTCCAATGGGCCTGTATTGTTTACATGATATTCAATGCTTTTCACCAATACATTATCATTTCACGCCATTAACATTCAAAGTCTTGTTTAATGTAAAAAATCATTCGTGGGATATAACAAATTGTGTAGGACTTTGGCGATGGAGTCTTCCACCCAAATGTAATTATTTTAGGACTTTTGGTAACGAATGAAAGGAAGAATTTCAAAAGTTTGAACAAATTTGATCTCTCTGACTTTAGTATGGGCTACGGGGTTGTCTTTCTTTTTTTTTCATGATTCTAGGAATTTTGATTAGTATTGAGAAGAGGCCATTTAACGGGAAAATTTGACGCTCGGACGGATGGACAACGAATGCCGCATGACCTTATAAGCTCCCTTCGGCTAACATTCAAGTAACACTATACTTTAATGACCAAAAACATAACACTGGAAGGTTACCACAAATGTTCAGTGTTTCTTGGAATCAATGTAGCGACTAACTGGACTCGGTCGCGTGTTTGGTATTAATGTAGGACGCTATTTCTGTCGTCCAAGTAGCATTAATGCACAAACGTTCTTCAATATGCTACGGAATCTTTATTCATTAAGTTTCTTCATCCACCGTGTATTTCTATTATATGGAATCTCGCATCAGAGACGAAAGTACCCACCTATTGTGAAACAGATGACCATACACGCTATGACCATCCTCTGGTTCCTGGTGGTCTCAAAGAAGACGAATGCCCCTATAAGGAATGGCGCGATCACATACAGAATGAAGGCAAAAATCTCCACAGCTTGGGTGGCCCGGAATTTGTCTACAACACAGAAAACGTCATCACTATATGCTGACTTGTTGCGTGGAACCTGTCTAAAGAACGTAAAACGTCATCATTAGATGCTGTCCAGATGCATGGAATTTGTCTACAGAACGTAAAACGTCATCACTGAATGCTGTTCTGTTTCGTGAAATTTGTCTACAGAACGTAAAACGTCATCATTAGGTGCTGTTGTAGTCTAGTCAAACTACGGGTTAACATCAGATTCAACAGAATGTTTTCTTTTTGATGGATTGTGTTTATATGACATAAATCTGTGATCAAAGAAATCTCGATTGATGATGTTCGCTTATTGTTTACAATCATATTCTAATGGACTTGACTGAGTGACTTTGTAACATCCTTTAACATATCCCGTTAGATATGACTATGAGTAATTTTTATTATAGTGTTCGTTATTTGTCCTACAAACCTGAAAATTCACTGAACATTGATGTAAGTTATTGACACAAACGCACGCTATAGACTGTCAATAAGGTTCAATATTACATTATTTTATGATCAAATGAAATAAATTACTGATGATAAATGCGATCTGTCTGTAAACATAACTAAACGCCACATATAGAGCCTAAGGTTAAACTCTCAGAAGTTACCTGAAATGACTCTTTAACAGTACAAATGTAATTCATAATTTGTTATTGGTTATAAACTGTCATATAGCGAAAAAAATGCCGAGCTGGTTTACGAGGACTGGTGTCCATGAGATGTTGAATACGTTATTCAAAGTTAAATGTGGATTCATAAATACATTATATAACCTTCAATACGGATTGTAAAGACATCACATAAAATTAAAATATGGGCGTATCAATACTTTTTATGCATTTACATAAGCGAAAATTCTACATCACATCACAGAATTATAAAAACCTGAAATGTTCACAACTTTAACACTAAAGACAAATATGTCTATGGTTGTTTATTGTTACAACTATTATGATTAAATAGCAGTGTCTGTATACGAAGGATTAGTAGCTGAAGGGCCACTTTCGTGTCTTTTCACTGAAATTAGGTAACAGTAATGATCGTGGTACGTAGAATAAAGACACTCCAGAGCCAGCCTGTGTACAGGTTTACGTAGAGCTATTAAAATAATTACATACTCTCCATCTTTATTGGGCGACGTCTTGGGGGTCGGTATAGACAGGTTTACCTACCTTGTAAGTAAAACGACCGTACCTCATGACCGGTGTAGATGATGGTATTTAGGGGTCGGTATAGACAGGTTTACCTACTATGTTAGTAGAACGACGGTACCTCATGACCGGTGTAGATGATGGTATTTAGGGGTCGGTATAGACAGGTCTACCTACTATGTTAGTAGAATGACGGTACCTCATGACCGGTGTAGATGATGGTATTTAGGGGTCGGTATAGACAGGTTTACCTACTATATTAGTAGAACGACGGTACCTCATGACCGGTGTAGATGATGGTATTTAGGGGTCGGTATAGACAGGTCTACCTACTATGTTAGTAGAACGACGGTACCTCATGACCGGTGTAGATGATGGTATTTAGGGGTCGGTATAGACAGGTCTACCTACTATGTTAGTAGAACGACGGTACCTCATGACCGGTGTAGATGATGGTATTTAGGGGTCGGTATAGACAGGTTTACCTACTATGTTAGTAGAACGACGGTACCTCATGACCGGTGTAGATGATGGTATTTAGGGGTCGGTATAGACAGGTTTACCTAATATGTTAGTAGAACGACGGTACCTCATGACCGGTGTAGATGATGGTATTTAGGGGTCGGTATAGACAGGTTTACCTACTATGTTAGTAGAACGACGGTACCTCATGACCGGTGTAGATGATGGTATTTAGGGGTCGGTATAGACAGGTTTACCTACTATGTTAGTAGAACGACGGTACCTCATGACCGGTGTAGATGATGGTATTTAGGGGTCGGTATAGACAGGTCTACCTACTATGTTAGTAGAACGACGGTACCTCATGGCCGGTGTAGATGATGGTATTTAGGGGTCGGTATAGCCAGGTTTATCTACCATGTTTATAGAACAACGGTACCTCACGACCGGTGTAGATGATGGTATTTAGGGGTCGGTATAGACAGGTTTACCTACTATGTTAGTACAACGACGGTACCTCATGACCGGTGTAGATGATGGTATTTAGGGGTCGGTATAGACAGGTTTACCTACTATGTTAGTAGAACGACGGTACCTCATGACCGGTGTAGATGATGGTATTTAGGGGTCGGTATAGACAGGTCTACCTACTATGTTAGTAAAACGACGGTACCTCATGACCGGTGTAGATGATGGTATTTAGGGGTCGGTATAGCCAGGTTTATCTACCATGTTTATAGAACAACGGTACCTCACGACCGGTGTAGATGATGGTATAGACAGGTATATCTATCATGTTTGTAGGATGACGGTACTTCAGAATCGGTAGAGACAAATTTACTTACCATCTTTGTAGGATGACGGTACTTCAGAATCGGTACACACTGATCCACTACAAGTCTGGGAGATCCACAAGCCTATCCTTTTTTCGCCATTTGTGTTATTGAACATCCAAGTTGCCGTCGCGAAGCCGACCGTCTCAGCTATAAATCCGATGATGATGAGGACCAGAGCGAACCTCACCCACAAGGAGGCGGTACCACAGCACATTGTCTGAGTCTTCAGACAGTCAACAAGTCATCGTCACATGTCTTATTGTAGGATAGTACATTTTATCGAATACCGCTGTTCTGGAATTTCTACGTCTTCGTTTTAAAATCTTTGAATGTTTTCACTTTAGAAATAAGAGTCTTCAACTTTTAAGCTTGATATGGCCTGTGTGCTCTGTATGTAATCATTTTGGAACCTCTGTATCAGTTTGAAGATAATTTATCCACAATAAACACATGTTACAACTTTCTGGTTGCTAATGAATTGATTTCTGCAGAAAAGCTGCGTATTTGTACGTCGATGACCTTATGGAACGCCACCGTTATATCAAATCAAGGTATTAATCCTCGTGATAATCACAACAAGTTAACTTCATTCTTAAATATTGAACGGGTTCACGGTGAAAATACTGTCAGAGTGACACAGGTTTACCGGGGTATGACGTGCGAAATCTTTGGTAGTTAACGAGGTGTTAACGAAATCAGCTACGGTAAGAAATGAGCATGAATCGTTATTCACTATTTTCTATAACAAGTCGTTTTTAATTCACACCGTGTTACACGCATCAAATGTGCTTTAGTTGATAAAAAGGTGCTAACATTTAATACATTCTAAATTCAATTCATATTAACAAAAAGTTTAAAAGGACACCAGCCTTTCAGTGTCCCTGTTAAAACTCACAGCGCCTCCATTCGTCAACATGTGGGGTTCACAATGGAAGTCTCGTGAGTTACAGAGAACGTTAGAAACACAGTCTACTCAATCTTTACCGTTATTGGTTTGTTGTATCTTGGTAACGTTGTTTTTAAATGCGCTATGGTATCTGTTGTGGAAAGAAGCTCACTGATTTAATGGAAAGCAAACATCACTTATAACAGTGTTGTGATGATGTATATCAAACCGGTCTCCCGGGCTGTCTACTATATATCATAATAAGTATTTATACAATACTACATGGACCCTTACCTGTGTATTGCTAAAAAAATGGTAAAAATATGAAAGAATGGATTTTGATAAAGAAGTGTTTTAAAGATTTTAAAATTTCTTTGTATATAGATATATTGCTTCACGCATACTGAACCCTTTTTTCCGCTTTCATTTTAGATTTTCTTTATTTCTTGATAAAATCTCAATACTTATGAAAGGAGAGGAAAACAACAAAGGGATCAAGCAAAGATAGATAAATCAAAACGTTATCCGTCGGTTTGATTTTTATTAACATGGACACTCTTCAATGATGAAAACATGGACTATTAGACAGTGATGTGTTGAGATGGGCGTGGCCGTGTAGACGATGATAATAACAATGAATATCACACAGTTTATTGTATAAATGGACACAGTTATGATAATAGCGAGCCGGCCCTTACGTGCTTTACTTATATCTGGGATGCTGCTGCTGTTCCCGGGAATCAGTGAAACTTCAAACTCGACAACTTGCTGCAAATAAAACAACAAATAAACATAGAGGTAACAAGTAAACAACAGGTAATATATAAACGCAGTAAAACGTGCTACTTTAACATTTTCATTTAATAATGATACGTGGATGACAATGTGTAACGTAAACTAAGCATTAAAACATTTACATAATACGACTTATCTTTCGCTAAAACATAAGGATTATCATAAGCTATATATATTAATTTCCTGTTAAACAGCCAATCAGATAAGGGCATTGTTCCGCACCTATAACACTAAGTTCAGGTATAACGATAGCTTGTGACTATCTCTACCGGAGTTATCGTTCCTAACAGTCACAGTGACGACACTGGGGTACCGCTCGTGACTATAGATATATAATCGTTGACTATTCACACCAATCTCTACCAGAGTTATCGTTCCTTAACAGTCACAGTGACGTCACTGGTGTACCGCTCGCGACTACATATAAAGTAACGTTGAATGTTCACATCAATTTCTATCAGAGTGTTTTCGTTCATGAACAGTCACAGTGACGTCACTGGGGTACCGCTATGCATTCTGGGAGAGACTGTATTCACATTACCGCATTGGTAAATAGACTTATTAGGACAAGGCCCATCTGATGACAACATATCTATTGTTAGATGATATGTTGCAATCCTTATTGTAATATCTTTTATACATCAAGGTTAATCTTATTGTTGAAAATTAAAAACCATGTGAAAATTTAGATATACATGTACTAACTAACCTTGAACATCAACGGTAAAATTAGTAATAATACACCCATGAACCTTATAGTGAAAAGACACTGGTTAATTTCGCCGTTTAAGGCAGTCTATATGTATAACTAGTTTATCCTGAAAAGTGCGGAAAACACTAGGAATATGTCGGGAAACTTCATAAAAATACCACACACCACACCAGTGTGTGTGCCTGAGTTCAGGAGATTTTTGCTAATTATGTGAATATATGACTTCACTGGCCTCGAGTCAGGCGGATTTTGGTAATTTCAAGCATTTTCAAGTTCACAAAAGTTCAGAAAAGAATATCGAAAAGATAATCTACAGAATGCTAAAATATCAAGAACAATTTACACGTTTTTATCATTTTTGGCTGAAAGAGAGGCCGTTTTCCCATGTTTATGAAAACTAGATCTTCCACAAGAAGTAGTGCTGATTCAGTACGTACCGATCTCTGGGGCCCGGACAAGCTCTTTTCTTGTTATACATCTGTTACTGATATGTTGAATGATGTCCCGCTCAGCGAAGTCAGCCGATGGATGTCTACTCAGGAGTGACACGTGCATGTTGTTCTTGTGGCAGTGACCCTGTTTTAGCCTCTGTCCGTAACATATATAAACCAGGGCGTAACTCTTGTAGTCTGTGTCCACTACCTGGAACACGTCTGTAACACATAAAAGTTATAGACCAGGGCGTGACTCTTGTAGTCAGTGTCCACTACCTGGAACATGTCTGTAACACGTAACATATATAAACCAGGGCGTGACTCTTGTAGTCAGTGTCCACTACCTGGAACATGTCTGTAACACGTAACATATATAAACCAGGGCGTGACTCTTGTAGTCAGTGTCCACTACCTGGAACATGTCTGTAACACGTAACATATATAAACCAGGGCGTGACTCTTGTAGTCTGTGTCCACTACCTGGAACATGTCTGTAACACATAAAAGTTATAGACCAGGGCATATATAAACCAGTGACTCTTGTAGTCAGTGTCCACTACCTGGAACATGTCTGTAACACGTAACATATATAAACCAGGGCGTGACTCTTGTAGTCAGTGTCCACTACCTGGAACACGTCTGTAACACGTAACATATATAAACCAGGGCGTAACTCTTGTAGTCTGTGTCCACTACCTGGAACATGTCTGTAACACATAACATATATAAACCAGGGCGTAACTCTTGTAGTCTGTGTCCACTACCTGGAACATGTCTGTAACACATAACAGTTATAGACCAGGGCGTGACTCTTGTAGTCAGTGTCCACTACCTGGAACATGTCTGTAACACATAACAGTTATAGACCAGGGCGTGACTCTTGTAGTCAGTGTCCACTACCTGGAACATGCCTGTAACACGCTAATCATAGGTCACAGTCCACATTTATTTGAGTTGTAGGAGGATTATAATCCTTGGCTAATGGACTTGTCTAAAACAAAGAAAATACTGACATGTCCAATGAAACTTGATTAAAACTCTTATTAAATTGTCTAGAGCAAATTATGAACCATTCTGCACGGAGACACCAAGAAAAGTACAAGGAAGATAAGACCAGGTGTTCCGGAAGGAAATCTTGGTCAATGCAATTAGGTAATGTCATGTTTCCAAGTGAGAACAGGTTTACCACAATCACCAGGTATACTAACAAGCATCAGACACGTGATATTGGAAACACGCCTATGAATATGGGGTCGACTACAACCGGTTAACACCAGCAACTGGGAATGCAGTATTGTTACTATATATACGTGTCACAATAATTGAATTTTGTTATAATGGTTATTAGATAATAAGATAATATACTCAAGGGATAAAGAAACGCAGGGTGACATTATTTACAATATCTTCGCTCTGATTCGAGCAGACGTTCAACGTCGTGTATACCGACGTCGTGTAGAACGTATGGCAGGTATAGAGATGAGATCCTCCGACCCCATGTTGTCCCATTATTGCAACAAAACAATTTTTCACTCCAGCAGAATAATGCTCGGCCGCATATATACTGATGAGTCTCGGTTCACCCTGTTTCAAGCAGACATTTGACGTCATGTATACCGACGTCGTGGAGAACGTTTTTTGCCGACTGCTGCGCAGTAGAGACAGATAGGTTTAGGGGTGGATCGGTTATGGTGTGGGGAGGAATCTCACATAGTGTTAAATCACCACTGGTTGTAAAAGCGGATAATTTAACTGCCTCTAGGTATAGGGATGAGATCCTCCGACCCCATGTCCCATCATTGCAGCAAACCAACCTCACATTCCAGCAGGACAATGCTCGGCTCTATGTAGAGGATCTATCGAAACTTTCTCACTAACAACAATATCCACCAACTGGACTGGTCGCCATACAGTCCCGACCTATCCTCTATTGAGCACTTTTGGGACCAGCTGGATAGACAGGTTCGACGGCGCTAGCCTCCCCCTGTAACTCTGGCCCAACTGAGAGCAGCCCTCTTGGAAGAATGGGCCAACATCCCAACGAGGAGGATAAACTCACTCCTAAACTCCATGCCTAGGAGAATCAGGGATGTTGAGAGAGCGAATGGGGACATACCCGGTATTGACTAGCCAGCTCCGACAGTCAGTCCATTTCGATTTCAGATTACAGAGTTCTCTTTCAATTCTCTTCAATTACTTACCAGATACCAATCGTTGATTTTGCATTTTGTTCTGTATGGATTAATCTTCATTCTTATTTTAAAATATTGAACATTATACTCGACCTCCAGCCTAGAATCATCTTCAAAGCTAACCCTGCGTTAAGAACACATCAGTGTATAACGAAATTCCCATAAATAGAGGGAATGGTCATGTAAAATGTTTTAAGTGTTTTTTCTGAAAATAATATAATGCCTCTGAGACATATTTAACGCCTTAAAATCGACATTTCGTGAGGAATATGTACAAACAAGGGGAACAACTTACTATTTGTGCCCTGCATGAGGAACCTGCCTGGAGCTCCGATGTAATGTATCATCTCGTGAGAGCCTCTGGTACAGTAGTACCCAATGCTGGAAAGAAAATTTAGGTCTGTAACGACTTCATTGTTTTAACAGATCCTGAAGGTTTAGAGCACAACAATCTGACAACACAATCAGATATCATTATCAATTCCCCAGGACAATAACAACGGGAAGAAACCAAGTTAGATATCATTCTACACTATAACCTTACCTACACGAAAAGTCGAGAATACATGAATGAATTATTGATACAAAAAAGACAACAAGACTACAATCTAAATTCATTATCAACACGAAAAGACAATTACAACAAGGTTTATAAGTGGTACCCGCGCCACCTGCGGCACCCAACAAGATGATTAAGGCCAAAAACAAACTAAGTATGTCAGCAACGAACCAGGCCATTAGGAAGACATCTTAAACATAGGGAACATTATGACCTCACTGTTTTACACCTGGCTACGGTACATCGTCATGTATTCTATTCATTTATTTTTAATTCAAGCTTTTCGCACATAAAGAATATCAGTGTAAGATATTAATGAAAACCTCGGGGGAAAAGTTAATTGTAGTTCAGGCGTTTTTCATCTTTAGCGGCACAAAAAGGTGTTAGTTTATTCGACATACATAAAAAAAGTACAGTGTTTTAGATCACTGGCATGTGTTACTGGTTAATCTAAGCTGATAATCACACAGTCACTGTAACTACTATCAGGAGTAGTGATCCCTTAGCATGGAAACAGATTATCGGAACATTGCACAGATAACAACAGTGATAAAGTGTAACGAGGTCTCGGTCACTGCACGTCCCATCACTTATCACTAATCTCTACTAATCTGATGCGATATAGTGACGAACACCAGTCATACAGGGTAAAGACGTACCATAACACCGATCATATATAGAAAAATATGCTACGACATCGATCATGTATAGAAAAAAATATGCTACGACACCCATCATGTATATAAAGAATATGCCACGACACCGATCATTTATATTAATAATATGCCACGACACCGATCATGTTTAGAAAGAATATGCCACGACACCGATCATTTATATTAATAATATGCCACGACACCGATCATGTATATATATAATATGCCACGACACCAATCATGTATATATATAATATGCCACGACACCGATCATGTATATATATAATATGCCACGACACCGATCATGTAAATATATAATATGCCACGACACCGATCATGTATATATATAATATGCCACAACACCGATCATGTATAGGAAGAATATGCCACGACACCGATCATGTGTAGAAAGTATCATACAATTTAAATGGGTAAAACACTATTTGGTATTTTTAGGACTCTGCAGTGACGCTAGGATTCGAAAGTGTGCAAATCCAGTGACGAAACATCGGGGTAAATAAACGTGGTGCATTTGGAATATTGGATAATTACAAACATATGGCGGTGCCAATTTGACGAATCATGCAGTTACGGTAAACCACCGAGCCTGTAATATGTCTATAGATCACACAAAGGTGATGGACCCCTTTAAATCATTATTAATTTGCCCACCAACTGATGCCGTAGAGTTCTAATGATAAAATTTAATTCGATCACGGAGAAAACCAAACAACGTTATGTTGTCTTTAAGTTTCTAAACCTAAATAAATTAATATGAACTAGTTATTTCTTTGTATGTTTCCTGTTACAGATACTTACGACCGACCAGCGTAGTGGAACTTCATGTTATACAGGTTATGGTAGGACTCGAAGAAGCCCCAAGTCTGTGACACAAAAGTGTAATAACCAAACTTCATCTCGGTTCTCTCAATCTCGTACCAAAATCCAAAGAACTAGGTAAGGAATGGAGAAAAATATATATCTGTATTGTATTTCAAATAATAATGTAATTCAAACGTCTTTTAACAAGTCTTAGGTGGATTGATACGGCGCATAACTTTCCTTCAATCTCCACGATATTGCCGAGACCAATTGTAAATTATGAGAATGACAAACCGCGTCAAATGAATCATATTAACAACATCATTGAATTATATTAAAAAATAACCTTTGGATCAAGTGATAAACAGGTGTAGGACAAAACTACTTACCTGACCGACGTCGAAATCTCGAGGAATTAACCTATCAAAGTTACAATAGGGGCCACCAAAACTACATGGTAATGTCACCAGGAGCAGAGCGAAAATCCCTAAAGCGGCCGCCATGATGATCTGCGAAAGATGATCGGTAACAAGGGGTTTCACACGTTGATAACTTGTGAAACACTACAACACAGAGCTACAGATGTTGTCGGTAATTATCCAGAACCAAATCTTGGCCAGATCTCTCCAGGGCGATACCTAACCGCTAGCTAGATTTTTTATTTTGATATCGCTCTATATAACTATCCTCTACAAAGAAAGCAACTCTGTGACGGAAATTCTGAGGTTACACAGATGTGTGACCTTAACTTATAAATGTCCGTTAATACTGTAGGTGAACGGAAATAGTATTATTTCTACAATCTGTGTAAGGTATATGTCTTCAAATTTAAAAGCTAGTGTTATATTGACCAATCATAGTCAATTTATATGTAAGTAGGCCCGACACAAGGTTAAACTATGTTTTTACACTCAAGTTAAAATTACACATAAGTCAATCTCTAAATCTGAACTTAAGCAAAAAATGCAAACACTGCATGTTGCTGTCATTATTTTCGAGGGCAGTCTTTTCTCCGAAGAAAAAATGCAAACGAATAAGGTAAAACTGAATATCCATATAACATCACTTCGCCAGAACACCGACGTTCGTGGGTGAGACGACACCCGGACACAGGAGGACATTTAAATCTTATTTAGCGCTGCACTGAACAAAGGATGTGCTCTGTTTGTAACCTGGGTTATACTTATTCTAAATACACAAAACCAGACTCTGATTGAAATTGAAATATGCCATTTATTAAAAATAACAAATGACGACAGAAAATATGACAATTACAATTTCCTGTTCATTAACAGTACGGTAATCAACTGTACTTAATGTTATCCAATGTTATCCTAAAAATATACCCAGGACTACAAAGATGGGGATCAAATTACGCCCTCATGTAGCCAAGCAATTCCATTAATGTTGGAATAAATTGCTAGCTATATCCCATCAGCACGGAAGCGAATTTTCTGTTTTTAGATCGATAATTTGATATCATTTTGGTGATTAAAATATGGTTTATAAACTGTAGTGTTCACCCTAGATACTCATTTTTCAAGATCTAGAAGTAAAATGATAGGCAGGATTCACATTATTCGAAACTTTGATCATTGCCTATTTTTCTCGAAAGTCACAAAATGTAGTCCCCAGACAAACCAATAAGACGTTGAAGTAAGGTTTTCATTTTAGCTGATGAGCACAACTATAGAAAAGTATGTGAAAAGGGCTGAAGTCTAGGATATTATGTTAGAATTAAACTTATTCTGTACTCTACACCCGGACAAACCTCAAGTTCATGAGAATGAATGATTGCCACTTCGGAAGGAACTGCATGTGTTCGCTCTAAACTGCAAGCAAAAAGTCAAAACTTCTCAATATACATGACAATCAAACATTGTAACTCCGACCATTTTGTAAATGTATGCCAAAAAGTTCAAATAATATTGTTCAGATATAAACCTCTCATGAATGATTTTGTACATAAACACGAATTATTTTATCATACAAATGATACAACTATTTAGCCACCACTAGCACATTGGTGTTGCTATATAATCACCTTACTGATCACGGAACACGACTGATATCCGGACGATACCTCGGAACATCCTTACTGATCACGGAACACGACTGATGACCGGACGATAACTCGGAACATCCTTACTGATCACGGAACTCGACTGATGACCGGACGATACCTCGGAACATCCTTACTGATCACGGAACACGACTGATGACCGGACGATAACTCGGAACATCCTTACTGATCACGGAACACGACTGATATCCGGACGATAACTCAGAACATCCTTACCGATCACGGAACACGACTGATAAACGGACGATAACTCGGAACATCCTTACTGATCACGGAACACGACTGATATCCGGACGATAACTCAGAACATCCTTACCGATCACGGAACACGACTGATGACCGGACGATAAGTCGAAACATCCTTACTGATCACGGAACACGACTGATGACCGGACGATAACTCGGAACATCCTTACTGATCACGGAACACGACTGATGACCGGACGATAACTCGGAACATCCTTACTGATCACGGAACACGACTGATATCCGGACGATAACTCGGAACATCCTTACTGATCACGGAACACGACTGATGACCGGACGATAACTCGAAACATCCTTACTGATCACGGAACACGACTGATGACCGGACGATAACTCGGAACATCCTTACTGATCACGGAACACGACTGATGACCGGACGATACCTCGGAACATCCTTACTGATCACGGAACACGACTGATATCCGGACGATAACTCGGAACATCCTTACTGATCACGGAACACGACTGATATCCGGACGATACCTCGGAACATCTTTACTGATCACGGAACACGACTGATGACCGGACGATAACTCGGGACATCCTTACTGATCACGGAACACGACTGATGACCGGACGATAACTCGGAACATCCTTACCGATCACGGAACACGACTGATGACCGGACGATAACTCGGAACATCCTTACTGATCACGGAACACGACTGATGACCGGACGATAACTCGGAACATCCTTACTGATCACGGAACACGACTGATGACCGGACGATAACTCGGAACATCCTTACTGATCACGGAACACGACTGATGACCGGACGATAACTCGGAACATCCTTACTGATCACGGAACACGACTGATAAACGGACGATACCTCGGAACATCCTTACCGATCACGGAACACGACTGATATCCGGACGATAACTCGGAACATCCTTACTGATCACGGAACACGACTGATGACCGGACGATAACTCGGGACATCCTTACTGATCACGGAACACGACTGATGACCGGACGATAACTCGGGACATCCTTACTGATCACGGATCGACTCACGATGATGATCCGGACGATAACTCGGAACATCCTTACCGATCACGGAACACGACTGATATCCGGACGATAACTCGGAACATCCTTACTGATCACGGAACACGAATGACCGGACGACTGATCCTTACTGATCACGGAACACGGACGATAACTCGGGACATCCTTACTGATCACGGAACACGACTGATATCCGGACGATAACTCGGAACATCCTTACTGATCACGGAACACGACTGATGACCGGACGATAACTCGGAACATCCTTACTGATCACGGAACACGACTGATGACCGGACGATACCGCGGGACATCCTTACTGATCACGGAACACGACTGATGACCGGACGATAACTCGGGACGTCTTTACTGATCACGGAACACGACTGATGACCGGACGATAACTCGGGACATCCTTACTGATCACGGAACTAGACTGATGACCGGACGATAACTCGGAACATATCCGGACGATACTGATCACGGAACACCGACTGATATCCGGACGATACCTCGGAACATCTTTACTGATCACGGAACACGACTGATGACCGGACGATAACTCGGAACATCCTTACTGATCACGGAACACGACTGATGACCGGACGATAACTCGGAACATCCTTACCGATCACGGAACACGACTGATGACCGGACGATACCTCGGGACATCCTTACTGATCACGGAACACGACTGATGACCGGACGATAACTCGGGACATCCTTACTGATCACGGAACACGACTGATGACCGGACGATAACTCGGAACATCCTTACTGATCACGGAACACGACTGATGACCGGACGATAACTCGGAACATCCTTACCGATCACGGAACACGACTGATGACCGGACGATAACTCGGGACATCCTTACTGCTCACGGAACACGACTGATGACCGGACGATAACTCGGGACATCCTTACTGATCACGGAACACGACTGATATGCGGACGATACCTCTGAACATCCTAACCGATCACGGAACACGACTGATGACCGGACGATAACTCGGGACGTCTTTACTGATCACGGAACACGACTGATGACCGGACGATAACTCGGGACATCCTTACTGATCACGGAACACGACTGATATCCGGACGATAACTCGGAACATCCTAACTGATCACGGAACACGTCCTATTGATCCTTATGGCTATGACGGTTATTGTAGATTTTGAACTGACCCCCCAAAAAATAGTAACACTTGGTTAGGACCATCTCAGGATCACAACAAGCAAATTTCAAATAAATCCCACAGGTGGACATAAAAATTGAAAGGTAGAAATTTACACATAGCAGAAGATGCATGATGGCTACAGGTCACTCTGACCCGTGTTATATAAAAAAAAATATAAGATGGATTACGTTTTTCTGTTGTGAAATAATACGGTTAGTCCACCTGTACCATCAGTCTGGTTATATCTCCGCTATCAATAATACGACAGAGTATTTAGGTAGTGTTTGTTTCTTTCTAGAGAAAAAAACCATTTAAGTTGCTAAAATACAATCGTAAAAAAATGTTATTCGACGAAAAAATTGTGTTTACGTTACTAATATGTATTATGGTTTGATGATCTGTACATAAACCTGAGATTCAAACAGTTTGGAAATCTCTTTTTTCAATAATAATAGGTTTGACATCGAAGATATTCAGTTGACGTGGTTTGTTTTGGTAAACACCATGTCAATCTCGCTGTGTATTATACGTCTTTTTATAGTATACAAAGTCCCTACATGATAGACAAGATGCAGCCCTCGGAGTGTATTTATGTAAGAGTGTATTTAAATCAACACCTTTGTGTGAGATTTGTCAACAACAAGCACTCTAACCATGCGAACCACGTACGCCATCCTATCTATTGCCTGATGTTAAAGCAAGCCGCCTTTAGAATGCAGTAACGCGCGATAATTTTATTAAAATGTCATTCGCTTCTTGATCTTGTGACGTTCTGAACGTTTTGTGTATATTTTAGTACCAGGTTTCATCATTTTGTGTAAATAGAGTAGGTTATAGGCCTAGCTGAGGGTATAGAATTAGTTTTCGGTTTTACGTATAACGGTATACGGTCCGATTCAATCGGAGAAGATATATTTTTCAAGAGGATAGATCGTCTTTTTCGTATCTTTTAAGGAAAGGTGGTTTCATTTCATCGGGATAAGTTAAAGATAATCAAATCTTAAGATAATTTACGACACATTCTAAAGATACTTACTGATCAAAACATTAATTACCATTTCCTAACAAATGGAATCTATAAAAGTTTGAGGCGACACAAACATGTGTGGAACAGCATCACTGTGGGCGAAGCTAGCCCTGCTGTTTATAATTTTGTCAACTATACTGTTCATAGCTGGGTTTGCTACGACATCCTGGATGATCTATGCTTTCTCGTCCGGGGCCAAAATCCGGGTGGGTCTTTGGAAGGCTCAGGCGTGTACCTCGGCGGGAACCTGTGCGGACAGAACGGTGCCAGACTCGTACAGGACAGGTAAACTCCATATTTGTTACTCTCTTCGGTTTGTAACACAATACAAATGCAATATATAGGCTGATAATCAGCCAGGATAAAAAGGCAGAGATGAGCATACTTCAAAGGATATCTTATTGCGATATATCGTACAGAATTTTATGTAACACATTACGACGGTTGTCCGCGCATCGCGCCCTTTCTTCTCTTCTTTCAAAGACGGTCAAACCCAACTTTGTTGTTTTAACAGTGGCGGTTTTATCGTGTTCCCGCTGTCTTTCCTCTTTTTGAAGTCGTCAGGGTTTCATAGCGTTCCCGCTGTCTTTCCTCGTTTTGAAGTCGTCAGGGTTTCATAGCGTTCCCGCTGTCTTTCTATGTTTTGAAGTCGTCAGGGTTTCATAGTGTCCCCGCTGTCTTTCTTCTTTTGAAGTCGTCAGGGTTTCATAGCGTTCCCGCTGTCTTTCCTCGTTTTGAAGTCGTCAGGGTTTCATAGCGTTCCCGCTGTCTTTCCTCGTTTTGAAGTCGTCAGGGTTTCATAGCGTTCCCGCTGTCTTTCCTCGTTTTGAAGTCGTCAGGGTTTCATAGCGTTCCCGCTGTCTTTCCTCGTTTTGAAGTCGTCAGGGTTTCATAGTGTTCCCGCTGTCTTTCCTCGTTTTGAAGTCGTCAATGTTTCATAGCGTTCCCACTGTCTTTCCTCGTTTTGAAGTCGTCAGGGTTTCATAGCGTTCCCGCTGTCTTTCCTCGTCTTGAAGTCGTCAGGGTTTCATAGCGTTCCCGCTGTCTTTCCTCGTTTTGAAGTCGTCAGGGTTTCATAGTGTTCCCGCTGTCTTTCCTCGTTTTGAAGTCGTCTGTGTTTCATAGTGTTCCCGCTGTCTTTCCTCGTTTTGAAGTCGTCAGGGTTTCATAGCGTTCCCGCTGTCTTTCCTCGTTTTGAAGTCGTCAGGGTTTCATAGTTTTCCCGCTGTCTTTCCTCGTTTTGAAGTCGTCAGGGTTTCATAGTGTTCCCGCTGTCTTTCCTCGTTTTGAAGTCGTCAGGGTTTCATAGCGTTCCCGCTGTCTTTCCTCGTTTTGAAGTCGTCAGGGTTTCATAGCGTTCCCGCTGTCTTTCCTCGTTTTGACATTGCCAGTGATTCATATTTTGTTTCAATCGTTCTTCATCGTTCGAACGTTGCGAGTGTTCATACTGTGTTCGCGCCGTCTTTCCTTATTTTGACATTTCCAGTGTTTCATACTGTGTTCCTTTTGTTATTCCTTGTTTTGACATTGTCAGTGTTCCTGTTGTGTTCCCTTCGTCCTTCCTTGTTTTGACATTGTCAGTGTTCATACTGTGTTCGCGCCGTCTTTCCTTGTTTTGACGTTTCCAGTGTCCCGTAGTTTACATATATAATTTGGATTAGGATCCAGTATATATGTATTGGCTTTGACCAGCGGTATCTTCCTCACCATAAAAAAACTTCTTTAAACATGCTTAATTTTATATATTTGATGTCTAAAGGTGGCGCTCACGTGCATCCTGCATTTTTCAATTTCCTTGCCTAATGCCAATATCCTAAATTACTTACTTGAAGGGCATTTGTTAAATTCATTCTCTCATCAAACATTATTTTCGCAAATCTTAATTTTCTCATTAAAGTTCTGCAACTTTTTTATTGCGTGAAAAGTCTGATGTTCCTTGTTATTTCATCACAATGTCTGTTTGTTGAGTAGATGGTTACCGTGGCACCCAAGCTATGGAGGTAATAGCCCTCCTCATTCTACTCATAGCACCAATAGCTGTCCTCCTGTACGTCGTGGGCGAGAACCTCAGAACATGGACGTTCGCCTTCGTCTGTATGATGATGTGTTTCTTGGCAGGTAAGTCGGGTTATAAAGCTAACAGATAAAACATTGAATTACCTAAATTTACAAGATCTTCCACCTCTTTGCTTACCCATTGAATCAAATCATACTTCCTTTGTTGTCGGCTTTAATGAAACCATATGCCACAATGAAGAGTTTATCAAACTAGACAACGTAGGTCTATAATTTCGTCTTTGTTTATGTGTTGTCCTTCCGTTTAAGTAGAAATGAGATATTCTTAACATTTTTCTGATCCTCGATCGTTTCTAGGCGCGGTTTCTTTACTTTCATGTTCCCGTTTTGAAAGTAATTGTAAGTGATTTGTTTATCAATACATGACATTTTTTGTACAACAGGTCTTTTCGTGACCATAGGGATGATTCTGTGGCTGGTGTATGTGAATAGCCCCTTCTACGTGGGGTACTCCATGGGCCTGACAGTGATGGGAGGAATCTTAGCGATCATAGCTGGCCTCCTTCTCATCCCCGAGCTGGAGGATGACACCAACAACTATGACACCAGTGACACGCCCCCTCCAACCAGACGTTCTGTCACGCCTCCTTCACGTTTGCCGTCCAGAAACCTCAGATCGGAGCCGTTAAGGCCTATTGCTGTGTCGCCATATCCTATAGCGTTCAGGGCTACCCCGAGAGCTATCTTGGCACCCTATTACTAATCCTATTACAACCTAGAGGAGAATTTCCGATATGTTCAAACTTTACAAAGATCACGTTCTTTACTAGAATACTAATACTGTGATATGCAGTTGGTATTATTGACCTCGTAACTACCGATACATACAACCTAGGAGAGATTTTCAACGTGTCCAGTCTTTACAAGGACAATGTGTCGGACTAGATCACTAGACTGCGATCTATATTGGGCAATATTGACCCCTTACTATCTATATATGTAACTTCAGAGAGATTTTCAACGTGTCCAGTCTTTACAAGGACAATGTGTCGGACCAGATCACTAGAACTGCGATCTATATGTTGCAATATTGACCCCTTACTATCTATATATGTAACCTCGGAGAGATTTTCAACGTGTCCAGTCTTTACAAGGACAATGTGTCGGACCAGATCACTAGAACTCTGATCTATATTGGGCGGTATGACCCCTTACTACCAATACATTAACAACCAATGAGTGTCCTTTTTAACCAGCATGTTGTTCACAGGGACGATATATTGTACTACATAACCAGAACCCAGTGTTTAAACAACAACATACGAGGGCTGATTAAAAAGTTTTGGGCCTCATATTTAAGGGATTGAATTTTGGCAGACATATTGCATTATTTTTCAACATACTCTCCTGCAGTATCTATACACTTCGACCAGCGATGTTTGAGAGCCTCAATGCCACTTTAAAGAAGTCCCTTTCTTGACCGTTCAGAAAGTCTTCCACTGCGTGTATGATGTCATCATCTGACGGAAAGTGGGTACCGGGATTAGATGAACGTATGATGGAGCGAGATCGGGCAAATAAGGCGGCTGCTCTATCAATTCAAAGTCACAATCGTTAATGGCGGCCATTACAATGACAGACTTGTGAACAGGGCCATTGTTCTGGTGGAACAACAGACTTTTCCGCGGCGTTTGAGTTTAATATTTTCTCTTAACTGCCTAAGAATTGATGAATAATCTCTGCCATTGATTATTTGTCCGTTTTGGTGTGCTTCTGATCAACTAACTGAAGACTTAGTACCTAATGCGCTGAGTGCTTTCTCATTGCAATATCTTCCGTAAGAACGGAATGTACTCTTTCCCGTGAAATCCCAATTGTGCTCGCTATATACCTCTGTAACTCGCCTGTCAGCCATAACAATATTATGGACTTTATTGACCATTTCTGGTGTTAAAACAGTGAAAGGCCACCCAGAACAGGTGTCATCGGAAAGACTCCGCCAGTCACGCTTAAACTCCACCATCCACCTTTCCACTTTAGCAGATGAAGGGTCATCATTCCCTAGTATTGTTGGTAGACCTTTCTTATGCAAATATTGAATCAATTCTCTTCCAGTGATTTTGTCCATTTTGCAAAAGTCTTTTGCCTTGTTTAATTTACAGAGCTACCACTTCGACATAAATTGACCAAATAACAGGGAATAGAAGAGCTGAAAAGGGACATCACTGCAACTACAACTAAGGGATGTATGAGACAGACATCTAACGGATGTATCAGACAGACATCTATGAGATGTATGAGACAGACAACTAACGGATGTATGAGACAGACAACTAACAGATGTATCAGACAGACAACTAACGGATGTATCAGACAATTAACGGATGTATGAGACAGACAACTAACGGATGTATCAGACAGACATCTATGAGATGTATGAGACAGACAACTAACGGATGTATCAGACAGACATCTATGAGATGTATGAGACAGACAACTAACGGATGTATGAGACAATTAACGGATGTATGAGACAGACAACTAACGGATGTATCAGACAGACATCTATGAGATATATGGAAAGCCTGCTCAACATGACTTATTGTAATCTGAAATGTTTATTATTAAAATTTTATATTACATAACTTTCATCTTGTGTGTCCTTTGATGTATAATTACTATATTCTTATCAAGCATAAATTCTTGAGTATAAACTAAAAAATGTCAGAGATGCATGTGCTTGTACCTATTTATATTTATAAAGTATCTTTGATTTAGAGTGAGACAAAACACGACACACAAGGGTAACACTAGATACATAATGCATCTGACAAAAACGTGAAAAGTTGGAAATCTGACTATAGGGATAAATGTTTTAGTGTATCACTCTCCATGCCCATGTCATATAGGTATAACTTCAATACTACAATAAGGTAGGGATGTTTGGTCCTCTAGGACTATCAGTGATGCTGAAAACCTAGTATGAGAAGATAGTACATAGGAGAATCAGATCAGTCAAAACAAATGTTGTGTTGTAGATAGGGAGGGGCAAAAACATTTGATTCAATCAGCTGGTTTTAATATAGGGTTTACATGGGGTTATACAAATTCTTTTAATCTTACATAAATGTTATATATTTGAAATAAATAAACAAAAAATAATTTCAGTTGGGATTATTGGTGTATGTTTAAAAATCTTTTATCAAATGAGGCTTGTATGACCATTCAACAAGAGGCTCAAGGGGCCTGTATCGCTACTCTGTACATTAAGCAATACGTTTGACACCTGCGACTTTGAAAATAGGTCAAGGTCATTTCTATTTGGGTATGTGAACTAAAAGACTGATATATAACTTCATACATTATGTACTGCCTGGTAGAATCTTTACCATAACATTCCTCAAGCCACCTGTAACAGGGAAGGAATCCACTGAACTTGGTTGTGGCCATTTTCATCTACTCTGCTGTAGAGTGCAGCTTATTACTGACAAAACTGAAGTAACTAGGAAAGCAACAATAAGCCAACTTCTTTAGATATATATATTTAATTTGATTCCTCTTTCATTGAAATTTTCCATTTTAAAATATGATACACTTACAAATAATTAACACTATATCATTAACCACTGCCGCTCATATGGGCTAGATAGATACAAAATATTAGCATAAACAATTAAAGTTCAGATGGACATTTACACAATATTAGCATAAACTGTTCCACCTCACCTAGGCTGAATTATACAACATAAGTATGAACTGAAAAAAAAAAAAGAAAAATGTTGCACAAGGCAGAAAATGTTGAAGAAAATTAAGTTATATGTAGCAGCACAGACCTGGGCTGTCCTCCAATACTACCTCATGGAGCTCTTCAGCAGGTACATGGATTTATATATTATAATACACACAAATTGGCCCCTAAAAACACCTGCTCCATGATTTTGATTGTTTTAAAAAAATTACTCATTTTAAATTCAAATCATTTGGAGGGAACACACATCTTGATCACAAAAAAAGGATTAAATGTCAAGTATCTGGGCAAGGAAATAAAATAAAAAGATATTTACCTTTTTTTAGTTTTATTGTTTTTCAATGTTGTTATATATAATGAAATAATTTACATCATTTTGCTGGATATTTCCTCAATTTACAACTTCATCCCTTTAAGCATTTGAAATTAACAAACGAGCCAAAAGTATCTAGACATAAATAAAATCATCCGTGTGTATAATTTAGTTCCCTGAATTTTGTTGTGATAACATATGGCTATTTTTTTCAATTACCAATAAGTTAAGGTTTACAAACCATCAACAATTCTCTTCTGTCCTCATTAAACTCTGTTGCTGCTTTAATCATTAACAAGATACAAGCTAGATCAAATAGGACACAAAATTCAAATGTTTGGTATGTAAGTCAAACAAGGACGTATGTATTTGACAATAAAAAGTTTCAACATTTCTCAACTTATCCCAGGTAAACTCACCAGTACCAACACAATATGAACACTAACAGGATTATGTCTTAAAAGGTCTTAAATAATGAGGACTTGGACTATGAAAAAGACTTTGACTTTGTCCCTATAACTACGTGCTTCTGTAATCCAAGGTGTTAATCATGGGAGTAAACATCCTTGATACTTCTGGGTTACAACCTTTTTCGCCCTCTGCCCCCCTGGAACCATCCTCTATACTTCAGGGGTTACAACCTGTTTTGCGCTCTGCACCCCTGGAACCATCCTCTATACTTCAGGGGTTACAATGGCTTTCACTCTCTGCACCTCTGGAATATTTCATGGTAAAATTGAAGGTTCTATAAGTGACACCTTGTGGACAAGACGAGAAGAACAGTTTGATTCTCTGATGTATATCAAACAAATCTTAGGTCACATAACGGTATATTGTAATGACTTTAAAGTTGGGTGATCCTTAAACGGAGCATATCAGTCTGTGATTGGTCAGTCTTTTTCTGCTGGAATTACTTTGCTTGTGCCTTCAATTTTGCAATGAGATTTTCCAGGGATGTAGAGAGAAGATGACTGTAACCCATGGAGTATCAAGGAGGGGGATAAAATGAAAGATGGCATATAACCAATGAACAGCTTATATGGAATTGGTGGATTCATATTGTCTTTTTTTATCCAAAGTTATTTTTTCTGAAAATTCCTGCTTAAAAGTACTTGAAGTTGAATAAGATTTCAGCTTTTTGTGTATGTAGATCAAGTATTTGATGTTGAAACAATAATACAATTTCAGCCCTTTGTGTAACCTATATACCTGATGAAGTATTTGATGTTGAAACAACAGTACAATTTCAGCCCTTTGGGTTGGACAGGTGCCATAAGTACATTGCACATTTTATGTAGCACTAAAAAGTTCATATAGCGTGAGAAACAATGAACACCTCTCCATAAAACACCAGCCACAATAATTGTAACACAGGAGTCTCGCCAGCTTCATCTAATCTCAGGTTTATCATTCTGAAGAAAGTTTGTCCCCATGACAACTTAATGGCCACACATCATGCCACAGCCTTGGCCTCTGGTAAGAAGGCCTCCCAACACTTAATCACCTGTAAACACCAGCATAGAACTGTACAGTTTTAGACAACATAATTATACTTATAATTATCATCTATTATCCTTTCTTTCTGCACAACTTCTGACTTCCTCTCTAAATCACATTTCCAGTGACAAGATTTAAGTTAGACAACTTTATTGCCAGAAATAATTTGCAGGTGCGCCGAATTTGGAAAAAATAATCACAAAGTTTTACAGTAATCTAAATTCTATTCAAGTTACAGTGAAGATAAATGTACTTTCAGTGCCAACCTTTTCCTTTAAGACTTATTTAGCATAAAATCCTTCCATATTATTCTGGTGAAATGTTTATTAAGTTGCAATATTTCTACAAATATAACTTACTCGTTGCTGGTTTTCCATTAAATACTCTAAATATTTGATGATGCTAGATTTGAAATCTTCCACGCGTTTCTTATCAAACCGAGCAACCTCCTTCCGTATCATTGCTGACATCTTTTCAAAATCATCCTTCCCTCTCTCAACCTTCAGTTCCCACTGGAGAGGAAATAAAAAACAGGCTTGGTGTATAATTCATCAATCACCAGGAGTAGATTAGTAAATGTTTACATGTAGGACACCTGAGATAAATATACAACTGTTTATACTCACTGTGAGTGACATTTGTCTTCCCTATCAGAAGTATGTGTACTAAAGATACCTAAATATTTCATTAGTGTCAGTTGTAGTAATATAAAATATTCCTAGCCATGAAACATCTCCCAGAGATTTAGTTGGTATTAGCAGCAGTAATACATAAGATACTCCCAACTACGAAATCTCTGGCTAGGTCTGGGAGATTTTGTCAGTGTAATTAACATGAACATAACTAGGACATTCCCACCTCTGAAATCTCTGACTTGGGACATTAGGACATTCTTACCTCGGAAATCTCTGGCTTGGTCTGGGAGATTTTGTCAGTGTAATTAACAGTAACATTAGGACATTCCTACCTCTGAAATCTCCTGCTTGGCCTGGGAGATTTTGTCAGTGTAATTAACAGTAACATAAGGACATTCTTACCTCGGAAATCTCCTGCTTGGTCTGGAAGATTTTGTCAGTGTAATTAACAGTAACATTTGGACATTCTTACCTCGGAAATCTCCTGCTTGGCCTGGGAGATTTTGTCAGTGTAATTAACAGTAACATAAGGACATTCTTACCTCTGAAATCTCCTGCTTGGCCTGGGAGATTTTGTCAGTGTAATTAACAGTAACGTTAGGACATTCCCACCTCTGAAATCTCTGACTTGGGACATTTGGACATTCTTACCTCGGAAATCTCTGGCTTGGCCTGGGAGATTTTGTCAGTGTAATTAACAGTAACATAAGGACATTCTTACCTCGGAAATCTCCTGCTTGGCCTGGGAGATTTTGTCAGTGTAATTAACAGTAACATTTGGACATTCTTACCTCCTCCTGCTTGGCCTGGGAGATTTTGTCAGTGTAATTAACAGTAACGTTAGGACATTCCCACCTCTGAAATCTCTGACTTGGGACATTTGGACATTCTTACCTCGGAAATCTCTGGCTTGGCCTGGGAGATTTTGTCAGTGTAATTAACAGTAACATTAGGACATTCTTACCTCGGAAATCTCCTGCTTGGCCTGGGAGATTTTGTCAGTGTAATTAACAGTAACATTAGGACATTCCTACCTCTGAAATCTCCTGCTTGGCCTGGGAGATTTTGTCAGTGTAATTAAAAGTAACATTTGGACATTCTTACCTCAGAAATCTCCTGCTTGGCCTGGGAGATTTTGTCAGTGTAATTAACAGTAACATTTGGACATTCTTACCTCGGAAATCTCCTGCTTGGCCTGGGAGATTTTGTCAGTGTAATTAACAGTAACATTAGGACATTCCTACCTCTGAAATCTCCTGCTTGGCCTGGGAGATTTTGTCAGTGTAATTAACAGTAACATTTGGACATTCTTACCTCGGAAATCTCCTGCTTGGCCTGGGAGATTTTGTCAGTGTAATTAACAGTAACATAAGGACATTCTTACCTCGGAAATCTCCTGCTTGGCCTGGGAGATTTTGTCAGTGTAATTAACAGTAACATTAGGACATTCCTACCTCTGAAATCTCCTGCTTGGCCTGGGAGATTTTGTCAGTGTAATTAACAGTAACATTTGGACATTCTTACCTCGGAAATCTCCTGCTTGGCCTGGGAGATTTTGTCAGTGTAATTAACAGTAACATAAGGACATTCTTACCTCGGAAATCTCCTGCTTGGCCTGGGAGATTTTGTCAGTGTAATTAACAGTAACATAAGGACATTCTTACCTCGGAAATCTCCTGCTTGGCCTGGGAGATTTTGTCAGTGTAATTAACAGTAACATAAGGACATTCTTACCTCGGAAATCTCCTGGCCTGGGAGATTTTGTCAGTGTAATTAACAGTAACATAAGGACATTCTTACCTCGGAAATCTCCTGCTTGGCCTGGGAGATTTTGTCAGTTTTATTGGCTAGCTCTAACTTTGCTTTGTTTTCCCGTTTCTTTGTCAATGTTGCTTCTGCTTCCTTCCAGTTTTTGTAAGATTTTACACGCTCATGGAACACCTCCTGTTAAAACAAAGTCGGTAGTTATTAAATTTGATTTACACCAACGAATGTCTCAGGATTCAAACTCACCAAAAATATTAGTTTGTTCTCAAAATGGCACTTGTCTAAAATAAAACATTGATAATCCTTAAGTAGCTCTATCAGTGCATTTACAAGCTGGTCTCTACCTTGACAGCCCCTAACAAGGCAATGTAGTCCTTGAGTAGTTCAGCCATGACATAGAAGTCATGGTCCGCTTGCTCCCTTTGGATCTGTTCAATCCTCTCCTCTGTATCAGCTAGCTGGGACAAGGCACGAGACAGGGCGGTGTGCTCCTCTGCGTTTCCTAACATGGCAGCACTCTTAGCAAATGCAGCAGTATTGTTACTCAACTCTGGAAAGGAATACATAAAACACATAGTAATAACAGGTATATACACAGAGGAACAGTACTATAGTATTTAATACTCAGTTATGATCTGACCTTTTGACTAGGCAATGACCTTTAAAGCAAATGACCTACCTTTTCGGTGACCAACCACTGACTCCATACTGGAATGTAATTTTCTTAACTGGGTGTCCAGACATTCAACTTGTTGTTGTTTCTCTTCAAACCACTGGAACATAAAGTACACATATACTAGTCATTCATACTTGCACTGTGTCTCAGTTCAAATAAGAAATATCTATTTAAACATATCTTCAACCATTTTTATAGTCTTAACCATACAAGTACACGTCAATCAGTTTAGTGATCTGACTGAGAATTTCAAAATTATAATTGTAGTTACTAATTTCAACATCATGATGGTTTCACTAATTTCAACATCATGATGGTTGTCACTAATTTCAACATCATGATGGTTGTCACTAATTTCACCATCATGATGGTTGTCACTAATTTCAACATCATGATGGTTGTCACTAATTTCAAAACAATAATTGTCACTAATTTCAACATCATAATTGTTGTCAATACATTTTGTAATTTCAAAATCAGGATTGTTGTCATTAATTTCATAATCATGACTTGTCGACAATTTCAAAATTATGATTGTAACTAAATTAATTTCAAAATAATTCCAGAAAGACAGAATTGTAAGACTTTGCAAAGCTTTGTTCTTTCAACAAATGAACATGACACAATTATTCTACTGAAGCCAAGGTCAACATTTAAGGTGCACACGTAGTAAAGGTCGTATATCTGATAAAAGAGCTAGGTAGATTCTTCTTTCTGATCACACAGATGGTGTTTAACAATACACAGTACAGGAATCTCATGATTGTTATGAAAGGAAGAGTCTGATCCACATCTACACGTTTCTGCACTAAATATAACAGCTGCATCACATGCTACCACTACACAAGGCCAGCATCTATCAACTGAAACCATATAAAAACGCAACAAAAATTAACAAAATTTATGTATGCATAACAATCTACTGCAAATGAGTCTTTATTTGACAGCATTACCTGGCAACTTGTATGTTGCTGGTGAGTTAGAAATCTGTTTCTCCATATCAACTGGGGATTATATCAATGGCTTGAAATGGGAATTTTAATGTAAGTATACCTTAAAATCTATAAAATTGAAATCTCTGTCCTCTGTATCATTATCATCTTGTAACATCCAGCAGCCTTGTATGTAATTTAGAAATTAAACACCTGACTTCAGTAACAGGGTAATTGCCTTTACATAATGAAACTAATCTTTTATGATAAAATGACAATACGACAGTTATCATCATTATAGGTGACATATACCTGGTTATTACAGTGCGGTATTTACATATAGTGTTAAATAGTACTTAGTCACAATCATGCAAGGTGTTCCTTACTTTTTGTCAGGCTATACAATAACTCTGTGAGCAGTTATGTGTTTTGTAAAGACTGTTCCTTAAAGTCTTCTCAAAACAAATTCTGGGAAACTGAGGTCATAACACAATTTCTATACAATGACTAATTCTGAAACAGATTTTCTTGTATTGTACAATCTATTGAGGTATCACTATACTAACTGGATTCTCAGTTAATGAATTTCAAGTGACATTATTTCGAGAAATTTTTCGAAGAAATATTTTGGTTTCAATGAATCTGACATCCTGGACATGAAATCATTTAAAGAAATTAAAGTTTGATAAAATCAGAAATTCTGTTGCTAAAGTGTCCATGCCTGGTAATAAGTATAAAGGGAATGGTAGATGCTTAAAACTGTGAGAAAACTTTACATCTGTACCACTACATGCCAGGAGGCCTACCACTACATACCAGGGCCTACCACTACATACCGGGGGGCCTACCACTACATACCAGGGGGCCTACCACTACATGCCAGGAGGCCTACCACTACATGCCAGGGCATACCACTACATACCAGGAGGCCTACCACTACATACCAGGGGGCGTACCACTACATACCAGGAGGCGTACCACGACATACCAGGAGGCCTACCACTACATACCAGGGGGTCTACCACTACATACCAGGGGGCATACCACTACATACCAGGGGGCCTACCACTACATAACAGGGGCCTACCACTACATACCAGGGGGCCTACCACTACATACCATGGGCCTACCACTACATACCAGGGGGCCTACCAGTACATGCCAGGAGGCCTGCCACTACATACCAGGGCCTACCACTACATACCAGGAGGCCTACCACTACATACCAGGGGGCCTACCACTACATGCCAGGAGGCCTGCCACTACATACCAGGGCCTACCACTACATACCAGGGGGTCTACCACTACATACCAGGGGGCGTACCACTACATACCAGGGGGCCTACCACTACATAACAGGGGCCTACCACTACATACCAGGGGGCCTACCACTACATACCAGGGGCCTACCACTACATACCAGGGGGCCTACCAGTACATGCCAGGAGGCCTGCCACTACATACCAGGGCCTACCACTACATACCAGGAGGCCTACCACTACATACCAGGGGGCCTACCACTACATGCCAGGAGGCCTGCCACTACATACCAGGGCCTACCACTACATACCAGGAGGCCTACCACTACATACCAGGAGGTAAAATAAATGTTATATCCCTACCACTACATACCAGGAGGTAAAATAAATGTTATATCCCTACCACTACATGCTAGCGGTAAAATAAATGTTATATCCCTACCACTACATGCTAGCGGTAAAATGAATGTTATATCACTACCACTACATGCTAGCGGTAAAATGAATGTTATATCCCTACCACTACATGCTAGCGGTAAAATAATTGTTATATCCCTACCACTACATACCAGGAGGTAAAATAATTGTTATATCCCTACCACTACATACCAGGAGGTAAAATAAATGTTATATCCCTACCACTACATGCTAGCGGTAAAATGAATGCTTTATATGACATTAAAAATTAAGAAACACAAATACATGTGGTGTTATAGTATAACTCTTTGAAATACTTTAATTCTAATGTGATATAGTTTAAATATGTTAAAGGCAAGGGAGATAATCTAAACAGTGCCAAATGTCTGAATCACAACAGGTAACATCCAATATGTAAGTTGGTACTTCTATCTTCTGTGTGTTAAAATCTTAAAAATCTTTCACATAAAACTCCAACACAGAAAGATGTATGCTCCTGGTCAGAATACCAAGGAGATTAACCTGATAACTAAAATAATGACATCTACACAAAATCTGTTTTACAGCAGCATGCCAGTGATGCCAACAGAAAATTAAAAGCAAGAAATAAACCATACAAACTGATTACAAACCACGACACAAATAGTTTTATATGCTGGCTGTAAATTCTCTGATCTTCCAACATTCATCAAAACTCCAGTTGTGACACAATCATAAAAAACTATTTATAAAAACAATCGTTGTTAAATTTATGTTTTCCCTGGCATATCTTAGATTTTATTTCAGTAACGTCTGTTGGGAGACCATATTTAACTTTTTATATCAGGTAATTGATCATATTTAAATATGTAAGGTGATATATCATATATACATTCTTCTTGGTCATGTGATAAACTATGCATAAATTCTAGGCCATGTGACAAACTATATACAAATTTTAGGTCATGTGATAAACTATATATGAATTCTTCATCATGTGATAAACTATATATGAATTCTTCATCATATGATAATCTATATATGAATTCTAGGTCATGTGATAAACTATATATTAATTCTTGGTCATGTGATAATCTATATATGAATTCTAGGTCATGTGATAAACTATATATGTATTCTTGGTCATGTGATAAACTATATATGAATTCTAGGTCATGTGATAAACTATATATGAATTCTAGGTCATGTGATAAAATATATGAATTCTAGGTCGTGGGATAAACTATATATGAATTCTAGGTCATGTGATAAACAATATATGAATTCTCCATCATGTGATAATCTATATATGAATTCTAGGTCATGTGATAAACTATATATGTATTCTTGGTCATGTGATAAACTATATATGAATTCTAGGTCATGTGATAAACTATACATGAATTCTAGGTCGTGGGATAAACTATATATGAATTCTAGGTCATGTGATAAACAATATATGAATTCTCCATCATGTGATAATCTATATATGAATTCTAGGTCATGTGATAAACTATATATGTATTCTTGGTCATGTGATAAACTATATATGAATTCTAGGTCATGTGATAAACTATATATGAATTCTTCATCATGTGATAAACTATATATTAATTCTTGGTCATGTGATAATCTATATATGAATTCTTAGTCATGTGATAAACTATATATGAATTCTAGGTCATGTGATAAACTATGTATGTATTCTTGGTCATGTGATTAACTACAGGTATATATAATTTAAACACTGGGTATGTCTGATGCTAAACCCTTTATAAATTCTACCATGTCAGGTGATATTGGAACCTTATCAGTCTTTTGTCAGTTTTATATATGACATTCTCATAGATTTCAAAATTGTTATTTTTGGTATTTACATAGGAGTAAATTGTGTTCAGGCTAATAACAGATCAATGAGCCAGATATTTCACATTATCAGTAAAAATCATTATTGGTTGGTATTCTTTCAGAATTTATTCACTGAATTAATTAAACCAATGAAGAATTTTGAAGAAGACTTGTGATACAACATGAATTGGGAACACAGAGAATTTACAGCATATAAAGTATAGCTTTACCTCCATGTCATAATCCCACTGGTCAATGGGCGGGAGCGGCACAACAGTACAGAGGTAAGATTGCGGGTAAAATGTTAGCCAGCTCATCTGATGGAGAAGGACATGACTGACTTATCCACTGTCACATCTCGTCACAGTAGTCTGGTCTTGTACAGTCACCATACAGTCACATCTCCTCACAGTAGTCTGGTCTTGTACAGTCACCATACAGTCACCATACAGTCACATCTCGTCACAGTAGTCTGGTCTTGTACAGTCACCATACAGTCACATCTCGTCACAGTAGTCTGGTCTTGTACAGTCACCATACAGCCACATCTCCTCGCAGTAGTCTGGTCTTGTACAGTCACCAAAGTTTCACACCTGGTCACAGCAGTCTTGTATTATTACCAGTCACATCTGGTCACAGCAGTCTTGTGCAGTCACCAAACTGTCACACCTGGTCACAGTAGTCTCATGCAGTCAATCACTCAATAAAGAGGATTAAACTGGACAGTTACAACTTGTCACAGTAGTCCTGTACAGTTACTGTCACAGTATTTTGACTGACCAGTCAAACCTTGTAACAGCAGTCTTCTCCACTCACCAGCTCATTCTTGGGGATTGACAGACCTCTCACACTTTGTCACAGCAGTCAAGTATAGTTCAATGTTGAGGAATGACTAGACTGTCACATCTTGTCACAGTAGTCTTGTACAGTCACCATACAGTCACATCTCGTCACAGTAGTCTTGTACAGTCACCATACAGTCACATCTTGTCACAGTAGTCTTGTACAGTCACTAATTCAATGCTTAGGATTGACTCGTCATAGTTATCTAGCTATTGTGCATTTTTAATGTAAATCTTAGAACCTACACAGCTTCATACCTGTCTTCCATGCATCTTTAAAATCTAAGGGTTCTGGCCTTGATGAACCCTCTTTCTACTCTGTGACAGAATTGAAGCCTTTGAGTGACATTGCAGATAGTATGAGTCGACATACTGTTACAGAGTCTGCCATGTCTAGGGTAAGTTTGATAACGAAGATTAAATGTGTGTCAGCACATGGGTTAAATTAACTCTTTTTATTGTGATGTTGCACATTTGAAATCTTCAGCCAAATAATATGTCACATATTTCATGGCTAGATGTGAGCCGTCAGTTTTACTACGAGATATTTCAAATAAAGGATACAGAGATTATAAATACAGATATCTATCAAGAGTCAGGTAATCAGATTTTAAAGCTGTTCATATCAAAGTTTGCTACTTTCTCCTATGTCAGAGTGGAACTTTCAGTCAATCATGTCATCTCCAATATCAAACCAATAAACACAACAGACAATACGATATATGTGTTCACTTTTCCATCTGTATACAGGTAAATATTTTACCCTAAATATTTTTTTACTAAGGCATATTCCTGATGTCAATAACATTCTCATTCATAATATAAATATTTATGAAACCAACAAAATATTTCAATAAATGTTTTTTTCATGTTTTTGCTGGGTTAAACCATTAAAGCTAAAACGAACATCAAATTCTTTAAAAGACCTAAACCAGCACTAGATTAGCCCCTTGTTGTATTGGGTGTTATCAACAGAGACATCTCAACAATTACATTGTATATGATATCAATACTTGAATACCAAATATTTATGTGACTGTTTTTGTTTTTTTTTTCCAGTAATAACAATTTTTAAAGTAAGAAACAAACTGAAATTCTACTTTTTTTTTTAATTGATTAGAAATTAGTCTGTGACATGAGAGGATGTCAACCCCAAATATAAAAATATGAAAAAAATTAAAAAAAAAAACAAAAAAAAAAGACAGCCTACACTGAAATCCTTGAACATCTCAACATCTTACCGCAAATATGACAACATAAGATAAGCCATAAATTGAAGTAAGAGGTGAAACAAAAGAAACATCATAGCAAAACTTAAAATAAAGAAGCATGACAACCCTGGTATACAAGTACAGAACTTATCTCGAGGTATAGATCTACGCCTGGAACTAAAGTCACTTTGGGCGCGATTGTGACGCATAAGTGGTGGTATGTAATGATTTTCTGTCTGTATATATGATCATCTTAAACCAGAATTTAAAAAAAAAAAAACTTTTCTATGCCCATTAAAGCTACTCACCTAAAAAAAAACAAGAAAACATAGAGCAGTTACTCCTTCCTGTTATTAAGTATACTAAAGTTATCATAGTCTTTTAAACACTTAGACAGAATCGTCCATCAAATTATAATTTCAAACAATCACTCATCATCTCAAGCCCTCATCCTGACTCATATCAAGATAGTGAAAGTGTGCTAAACAGAACTACAGGACAGTGTATAATGCAAATTTTGTATTTTATGGAAAAAATCCAAGAATTAACTTTAAAATGCTTGAAATTATCATAGTTAAATGGGAGTTGCTTCCCTTACATCAAACATGTGTTTTGTCTTGCATTACTTAGTTTTCATGTTTGAGGACTTAAAACAGGCTCTGTCTGACATCATGTCCTTTTGACATGTGTATTTATCAATAAATATCAATAAAACTGTTTGAAATTGAAATGGGTAACAGAATGAATAAAGCAACAAAATGATATAGTATGAAGATCAGAAACAGTTTTTATCTGGTTTTACTTCAAACAATATAGACATGCTGTAGAGTTCTATTGTGTATTTGTGTGTAGCCATAATTCATTCTGATTTATATCTTAGATTTTCTCTAGCAGCCAAATATATAGCTTCATTTTGAGTGTTTGATTACTGTACAAGTAGGTCGCAGAATTCAGTGTCTTGTTGTCCACATTATGACTCAATAAAATGGAACAGTATCCAGTTACACAAAATTAAGACCTAAAAACCAGTTTCATATTATCTGATAACACTTTTCATTGAAGGTTCACATTGAATATGAGATGAAAACCGGATACTGATCTGGTTTTTCCTGGTCCTGATTTTAAGTTGTAAATCTCAAGATCTACCTTAACATCAAATCATTGTAGTACTGTGACATCAAATCATTGCTGTAGTACTTTGACATCAACAAAATACTTGAAATAAAGAACACAAAATAAATTCCAATATTTATTTCTGTTCAGATAAATAACTCAATCTTTTAAGGGAAACCTGTCATAAACATTGCAAAATTAATCCAATTTAACAAAAACGATCTGCTCATGTGGAATATTGGCACATTCTGAAGTCAAGACGATCAGATATTACACAGGCACTGCGGCGACGTAAAATGGTTGTACATCATGATCATGAACCATTCAATACAAGGCTGAAGTATTTTCTCCAGGACTTTTGATTATTAAACATGTTCTTGATATAAACTTTTAAACAACGCCATTACAATACACTTACACTTAGGATAATCTATGCTGTATTACTTTGATTATGAATGCTTTCAGACGATGACTTAATTATACTCTGATTGGAATTGATGACAGGCAATTCTAGCTGATCTTGGGATTAGATCTGGTTTATACAATTAGCATTAAAGATCAGAATGCAGGGGCGTCGACAACACTTTTCTACAAAACATAATGATAGGGTTTATTTTCTTAACTGAAATTGACTCATTTCTATATACAAATGTGTAGAGCTCAACTACAGTGTATAAGCAAGTGTACATGTAAAATGCCTTTCAATATAGAGTGATATATGATCAGCTAATACCTACAGCAGCACTGTTTTTATTCCAAAACATGTAATTGCTTGTGGTATGGTGTTGTGAGAAAATCTTACTGCTAATTTTTGTCTCTCAAATAAAACAGGGAGCAACAAGCATAATCCCACACTACACATGTGTAGAAAAACTATCCATAAATAAATCAAAAAAAGGAAAATATCGTAAAATAAAATGTCAAACTGCAAGACTTAGTATTATATAGCAGTCTAGCTGTGTTAGTCAGTCCAAAGAATAAACAACATGCTGATAAAAAGAGGAAAACTCAGGAAAGGGAAATGAGCAAACAAAGCAAGAGAATAAATGGCAAATTAAAGGTTTGGATCACCTCTTGTTTACAGAAGATAACTTACTTTGTGGGGTTAGTAGGTTTTTTGCTTAATTTGTGTAGCATGACTGATATAAACACTTCAACCACTGTCAGGAATATTTCTATATACCTGATGTATATAACTGCCCTCAAGTTCTATCTCTATACCCAATACTGAAACTCTAACCAACAACAATATCAATTAATGTAATCTCACCTCATCTGCTTCCTCCATTTTGTAGGATATTTTGTCAACAGCATCCCCAACCTTGTGGAAGAGACGCTTCATTCCAGCACTACTGAGAGCTGATGTATTTGTAGCTCTTGGAAGTTCTCCTTCACGCTCTAAGAATTCTCGGAAGTCGGAATCCTTACGAAGCACTGGGTGCTGAGCTGTTCTCATCAGGAACCTGTCAATTTACATTATGCTGTAAGACCCAGTGAAATCTATTCTAACCATCATATGTTAGATATGAAATACAGTCACTCTGAGATCAAACAGGATTTGTAAATCTAACTATCACAATTTAAATAAAATACTTCGATACCAAAACAAGGACGAGACCAAATTTTCAGTTTTGCAGACAGCTTGATCATTACAAACATATATCTAATTGAACTGTGAATAATTAAGACTGATTGTAATAAACTGATGGAGACCACATGAAGACAAACAAATTTTCAATATACTATTGCATATGCCTACCCTGTGATTTCTATTTAGTCGTCCGATGAATGTTACAGGTGTTTATTTGAAATGTCAATTTACTCTGTATAATTTCCAAGATTTTCCTCTTGTTAATACTAATATAATAATTACTTGTTTATTGTTTTAATCAATGGTCCCGAAAGAAAATGCTTCCTTAAGTCTGCTGGGAGAAATAATTATCATTAGGATGTGTCTCACATTGATCGACGTCAAAAAATTGAATACTAAGCCTACATGAAAAGTGTCCAATTTACTTTTCGCTCACATACGTCACGAAAGTGTCACGGAATAACAAATCAAACAACAGGAAGTTTCTTAGCCTGTCATAAACACTTTCTTATCATCACACACTGTGGCACTGTGCTGTATGTCAGAATAAAATCTACCAAAGCATGTTAATCTGCACAGTTTCTTAGCTGTATCATGCTTCACTTGTGTCTAACTACTGGTGATTGAAGTGTCTGTAGGATGAAAATTAGCAATCTATAAAATTAAAATGCAACCCCACAAAATCTGGAATATTGATTTTTTTTCTTTAAGGAGTGGTATTTTTTTGTGAAAATATTTTCTTGACTACTTATTTCAATATCAGTAATTTCCGGGGAACTACTTTTCAAATTGGTGTGACCTGAAGATTATGACTAATTTTGTGAACATTTTTGAAGAAATATCTAAAGAAGTGAGTCATGATAATGTAATTATGTTTGTAGAATATATCAACAGGTATGGATGCTGTTGACAATATAAGGAGATATGTACTACAGTAATACCTTTGATATATTAATTCCTTCTATGACCAACTTTTACCTTTCTAATGTAAGTCGTCGTCGCTCCACAAAATCTGATGATCCCGACTCTTCCTTCGACATTTTAATCTTTGTCATACCTACAGAAAAAATTTTAAATGAAGTTTTAACAAGTAGTCATCAATATCAGATTCTCTACCATAGAAATGTTCCAGTCATTACAACTGTCAGGGCCTAGCCTTGATACAGCTGTCACATATCGATCTATTCATATATCTTCAGTTCGTCTGTCTTATTGTGTTTTAGCAGTGTTTAGAGAGTTTTATATTAGTGCACTTTTTTTCCTCGTTAGTCGAGTCCAAAGGTGTGCATGTGTGAAAGGTAAGCAAAAGTAGACAGGTAAATAACAGCTGGTGTTAAAACGTGGCTCAGTACCACGCTTAACTTACAGATTGGGGCGAGCATTTCTATCCAGTTCATCCCAATAATCCTTCATTACTTTTTCAGTAGCATATCTCATTATTTATAACTTTATAGTAATTGATAGTGTTTATATGGTCACTAAATGTTATCTGTATTGTTAGGCCACACCTAAAATAGCTTAGGCATGTGCATTGCGTTATAAATAATATTTTGGTAATTGATAAAAGAAAGGTATATTATGATTGCTATGGATGTTGGATCCTTTTCTCGTCTTTCCCAATATGTTCTCTTACTAATGTGCTATTTGGGAGTACTAAGTATCTTTTCAGAAAAAAGTGACAACTATCTTTAACTGTCAATTTAAAGATAATTGTCTAATGGCTGTTTTGCTTCTTTATTCAGTTGCAAAATGGACAATATACAACTAAAACAGGGGCCAAGTGAAACATACAAGTAACATCAAGGAATAATCTATCCAGATATAGTGATAATGAATATTCATCATGAAAATCCAAGATGGCCACCCTTGACCAATCTTTTTATCAGTCCCAAAAGTGACAAAGCAATACAAGGGACCAAGAGGACCTCCATATAATGAAAACTGAGAATGCTTTATCTAATACTTCTCAAGAAATAGCGAGACAAACAAATACTTCTTAAACCCAAAATGTCTGTCTGTCAGCAATTTTGTTTTTCAATCTCAAAATTAAAAGGGCACCATTAGTAACTCTTGCAGAGGTACCTTTAGAAGAAAATGCATCCATCCTGTGTATATCAAGAAAAAGTAAAAACCAACAAACATCCATTTATCAAGATCCAAAATGGCCGCCTTTCAGCCATTTTGTTTTCATGATCTCTCTCGAAATTATAACAGCACATCTAGGGACCAAGGCAAACCTTCATGTGAAATGCGAGAAAGATACACCCAGTTCTTATTAAGGAGTAGCTTCTGATTCTGATAAACTCTGATGATGGTGGATTGATAAACAAAAACATGTTACACATGTGCTAATGGAATCAATACAGACAAAGTAATTTTCTACCTATCACACTTTTCTCTGGAGCTGGTGGTACAATTCGGCCTTGGTGAAGGTATCGAGTTTGAAGTTTCTCATGAAGGCCAAGAAAATCACTGAACCGCCTGAACACTGCCATTTCAGGTTTACGGAATTCTGGAATGCTGGTCTGCCAATGTAAAGTAAATTACATATTAAATTAGTATGGAATGATTATATAACTCTTAAAACAATGTAGGATAGGCAGTGCTAATTAAGGGAACAATAATTATGTAAATTTTCTTTGAAGAACTAAAGAACTAAAACTCATTTTATTACAAAACTGATTACACCCTATGCCTATTTACCTTGTTGTAAATAAGCATTTATTTTTATTCTTCCTTTCCCTTAGATTGCCATCCATTTCAAGAGGAACAATTTCATATCAAAGTGATTTTATTTGTTTCACAGAACAACAATATGTGTAAAATATGTTTTCTTAAGAAAGAAACACTTGTGTGATATCTGTCAATATATCTAAATTAAGACACCTGAAACCAATAAGAATATAAACATATACATACAGTATATAAGATATGAGAAATATTATTCCCGCTTACTCTGTTAAGTCACTATCATAATCAATAACTATCTGATTCAATAACAGCTGCCTTTCAGTTAACTTTTATTATTATGACATTCTTAACGGCCCATCAACACATAAAAGGTCATTCGGGCCATCAACCAGTAAAACACACAGCAATCCAAAACAGAAATAACATCAAACAAACTAAATGCTAAAAAAATAAAAGGTTATATTATCACAAAAGATTAAAATGGTAAGTCATATTCTATAATACAGACCAACATCTTTCAGATAACCTAGAATTTAATTAATCTCGACAGTTTCAAAATGGGTCTTTATGCTTGAAACCTTACAATAAAAAATCTCTCAAGTAGACAGAAGGTCAATGCAGTCCAATAAAAACTCTCAAACAAAAATAAAATAAAAGCTAATCATAAAGACATCAAGAAAAATCTTTCAGTATTTCTAGAGAAGAATGCAAAACAATACCAAAACTATTAAAATTTAAGATGCCACCATGGTGACTACTTTGTTTTCCTGCCACCATGGTGACTACTTTGTTTTCCTGCCACCATGGTGACTACTTTGTTTTCCTGTCACCATGGTGGCTACTTTGTTTTCCTGTCACCATGGTGACCACTTTGTTTTCTTGCCACCATGGTGACTACTTTGTTTTCCTGACCAATTTCAAATTTATGTATGACCTAAGATCAAACAGAATGGATTTAATGAAATTTGAAAACAAGAAAGATCAGGTAACTGTGTCAAAATTCAAGGCGACCACTTGGTGACCATTTTAATTTGCATGATTAAGTACTATATATGAGGAAAATGTAACATTGTGCAAGGTCTTACCTTAGTGATCACCTTGTAAACCATGTAAGCACTCATACCATCTCCCATCTTCTGTGGTTCTGTGACTTTTATCACGAGAGAGTACTGGTTATCTTCAACCTACACCAGTACACAAAACAGAGTCAGTACACAGTATACAGTGTCAGTGTGCAGTATACAAAACAGAGTCAGTGTGTAGTATACAAAACAGAGTCAGTGTGCAGTATACAAAACAGAGTCAGTGTGCAGTATACAAAACAGAGTCAGTGTGCAGTATACAAAACAGAGTCAGTGTGCAGTATACAAAACAGTGTTAGTACACAGTATACAAAACAGAGTCAGTGTGCAGTTTACAAAACAGAGTCAGTACACAGTATACAAAACAGAGTCAGTGCACAGTATACAAAACAGAGTCAGTGTGCAGTATACAAAACAGAGTCAGTACACAGTATACAAAACAGAGTCAGTGCACAGTATACAAAACAGAGTCAGTGCACAGTATACAAAACAGAGTCAGTACACAATATACAAAACAGAGTCAGTGTGCAGTATACAAAACAGAGTCAGTGTGCAGTATACAAAACAGAGTCAGTGTGCAGTATACAAAACAGAGTCAGTACACAGTATACAAAACAGAGTCAGTGCACAGTATACAAAACAGAGTCAGTGCACAGTATACAAAACAGTCATTACACAGTATACAAAACAGAGTCAGTACACAATATACAAAACAGAGTCAGTGTGCAGTATACAAAACAGAGTCAGTACACAGTATACAAAACAGAGTCAGTGCACAGTATACAAAACAGAGTCAGTGCACAGTATACAAAACAGTCATTACACAGTATACAAAACAGTCAGTACACAATATACAAAACAGAGTCAGTGTGCGGTATACAAAACTGAGTCAGTACACAGTATACAAAACAGAGTCAGTGTGTAGTATACAAAACACAGTATACAAAACTGAGTCAGTGTGTAGTATACAAAACACAGTATACAAAACAGAGTCAGTGTGTAGTATACAAAACACAGTATACAAAACTGAGTCAGTGTGTAGTATACAAACCAGAGTCAACTATTACTGTTACGACAAAAGTGCAGGGTATGTCTTTCACTATTACCCATTCGGCCAGATACAATTCCTGATGCCAGTTTGAACTTACATAAGAATCTTCAACATAACTGCAGCCAATTTCTAAAAATTACCTCTTCCTTTGTAGTTTTTGTAGCACTAGATGCTTTGGATGTTGAAGTGACTGTTTGGGTAACTGTTAATTTGGGCATGTCTGTACTTGGCTTCTCTTCATCTGAGGACACAACCTCAGTCTGGGCAGGAGCACTGGCAGGAGTTGGTTCAAAAGGCTCCAAAAATGGTGATTTCCCTGTGGTTTCTTTAGTATCATTTTCACCATCCGAGTCTAACTTAATCTCATCACCATCATCATCATCATCTGATAATAAATTGTTCTCTGTTTAAATGTCCACATTTAAATCAAATCATTCTACTGGATTTATGTACTTTTTATTTGTTTCTTGTCAAAACATATGAAAAAGTTTTTTCAACATTTTCAGAATTGTCTTACATTTCATATGTTTAAGACTTGTCATCTTAAAGTATCAATGTGCCCACTAAGGGTGTGACAATAGTTTTAGCATATATATTGTTATACACAATGACCATTTTGTAATATATACTACAAATTGCCATGATCATATTTTGCCAGTACTATTTAATTGATTGTTTTTACATAATACAGGCCTGGCATAGCAATGAAACAGTATACCGGTATACATTTACATCCCTATACATACAAATGAAGAAATAAGAGCTGTATATTATGTCTGAAATATTAAAAAGTAAAACAAGTTTTCCTTAAGGTTATCTGTTCTTACTGATGAATACAAAAGTACTTATCTACTCTTATAATTACTGAAGGGTAAAAAATGTGAACATAACATTACCACTATAATGTGTTTTGGAAGTTTCAGTACAACTGCATTTAAAATTGTGTCTGAAGGACGGTCATTCAGAAATTGGTAATGAAATAAAAGATACAACCAATCTTCTAATGGGATAAAAAATTCCTGATGAAATGAAAATGTCCATTCTTTTAATAGTGCCTCAGATCAGATTCCCCTTTAATAGTGCAATGATATACATGTACACTACTGTTATGGGATTAGCTCTGTGATGACCATAGTACCAACATAAATTGACAATCTGATAGTTAACCTCCAAATAGATCCTCTGCATCAATATCAGGTTTTACTGGTTTGCGAGTGTTTTCGATAACTTCCGATTCTGCCTTTTCTGGTTCAGTGTCAGGTGTTCGCCCCTTTAATAACAAACAACAAACCATTAAATGTTAGCACTTTAACGTTACAACCCATACTAAACTGTTTGTTACGAAGAATGTACAAGTTTCTATAGCTTTATGACAGATAGTTTATGTATGTATGCATGTCATATTAAAAAGAGATCCAATACGGATTCATTTATTGATTTTTCACCATTCTAACACTAAAGTACTTATAGTAACTTGTTTTATAAAGCAGTTTTCCCATAAGAATTTAAAAAAAAAACACTAAGAAATAATTCAGTTTGTTAACTGGTCTGAATAATCAGGAAGCAATGGGTAAAGTACTTTGTAGATGTTGTTTGGATTGTGACAAGGTGGGGTGGAGGAAGATCTGTGGCAAAATAGCTGAAAGGCAGGGTTAGACCATGGTACAGTACCAACCTCAGAAAATATGTAATTTTTTTGTTTGACACAAGGTTGAATTAACTTTGTACTAATTTGAATCCATACATACACTTACGGCAAGGGGGTAATGCAAGTGTCAGCATGGTGATTTTTTTTTAAAGTTTTATTATTTCAACAAAGTGCAGTTGCATGGGAGAACACTTTAAAACCTCTTTACCTCATCACTTAGGTCTATCTCCTGATCTGGAGGAGGAGTTTCTTTCTGAATAATCATACATCAGTATATGTCAAGAATATATACGAAACCATGTACATGATTAAAAATTTACACCCACCCACTTCCTACCGACATCATTGTTTCATACCATCGTTTTATACATTTATATATTAAAATATTACATATTATCAGAGACGTCTCTGATGTCATCGAAACTTTTATCATTGATATCATTTCTACCAGTTTATTGGACTTCTATATGAAATAAGGAAATCAATAGCTAAATAGATCCCGGTACGACATTAATCGTTTGCCAGCTTTCGGCGTCATAATGCTATTTTGAATAAACGGCAAAAACTGAGAAAAATATGTGAATATCCCCAAAAGAAAGTGACTTGTTGTAGGGATACATAGAATATAAAAAAATGAACAATATTTGACAGCAATTAAAAATAGCAATTACAGTCAGCTATATCATATCTGGTGTGTCATAGACGTCGGTCGTGCCTCCGGCAAATATTGTACATGTCAATAGCTATGTTTACGTTTAAGTGGTCGCACGACATTAATAACATAAAGTCGTATCTCATATCTAAAGCAAATGTAAAACTCGCACCTCACTAGCTTCTGTAAATAAATCGTCTTCATCTTTTTGACTATCCTCCTCCTCAAACGGGGGTGGTTCTCGTCCGTCAGCCATTTTTAATGTCACGTGATTATACTCCCGGTGTTGTTATAAATAATTTCCAAGTTAACAAACGAAACGAAACGAAATTTCAAAAGGCGAGGAATGATAAATGTGAAAAAAATTAAAGCTTTAATTACACGTTTCTAAACTTGTCGGCATCGTATCAAATGAAGAATATACTGCTGTAGAAACTGGACACCAGACGAGACTCACAGAATTAATTGTAGATCTTTTTTTCTTATTCAAAAGTATTCATTACTGAACATATGCTGCAAACAAAAGACATGGTTCATTCAGTGTACATTATGTTCGCTACAACTAAATTATGAAAAACCAACTTTAGCACAAAATTGATAGAATTTGATTGAATAATGAACAAAGACTCAAACCCTCTAGGTCCATATAACAAATATTTAACAAACAGTTTATAGGATATCGAACATAGCCTTATTGTCTTTTAATTATCATAAAATGTAATTCCAACGCCCAAAATCGTTCGAGCATTACTAACATGTGCAGGTAGGTTATTCCACACACCATCTACTCTCATAGTGAACGAGTTCCTCCTTAACTTCGTGTTACGTCAGTGTTTGTACATTTTGTAACGGCGTCCTAGTGTTCGTCCTGTTTTATCAAAAGATGATAGACTGGGTGTTCATCAAATAAATGGTTAATTATTCTAAAATTTATATCATGTTCCACTCATTCAGTTTATTTAATATTGGGAGTTGCAATATTTACAGACGTTCACCATCGGAAAGCTATTTTAATCATGACACAAGGTTTGTCGTTATCCGCGGAACATTCTCAATTAGCTGGAAGTGCTTTTAATTAGTGCGGATCCCATACTCCAAATATGGCCTTGCTAATGACTTGTACACATGTTTAAATATGGACCCATCCATAGACCTGAAGGACCTTCTGATAATGCCTTTATTTATACGATTTTACATACTGGTACTAAAGTCTAGCTGATTGCCCCCGGTTACACCTAAATCGTTTTCACTAGTACTACTTTTTAATATAGTGTTGTCACCGCTCCGGTCCATGAGATTATATCTTCTGATATCCACGATCCTTGGTACGCAGTACTTTGTGTTAATTAAGCCTGAATTTTACTAGTCAGTCGTCTAGCCATCTCTGAAATTAATGTAAATCCGATTGTAGAATTTTAAATCATCTTTGTTACTACATTTCCGGTAGAGTTAGCTATCATCTGACAGAAGCAGACGAGGAGACAATGCATTTTCTAGCCTATCGTTTATATACAGCACGGACAGAACGATTCCCAGCACACTTGTTTAAGGAATTCTGCTGCTAACGCCTTGGGACCTTGATAATGACCCGTTTACCAAAACCATTTAATTTCTAACATTCAGGGAATGTTCTTTATCATTTTTCAAAATCACGATTCCCTATTCGTATAGATTATGTATAAGGTGTCGATGAGGTACCTTATCGAACGCCATCATGATATCCCCATATATCACATACATTTCCAGTCATCTAAAACCTTTAGAATATGAAGTATTGTTGATCTTCCAGGTAGAAATCCAAAACTGGTTTTGTTAATTAAATTTTTTTAACTCATATTTTATTCATTTTTTTTTCAAAGAACATGCGCACATGACAGTAATACATAATGTACAGAAAAAACATTCATTCCAGTTTTCTAAACATGCATAGACATTTTACATTAATCAGCCACATTCATACTAGTTAGCCTATATATTCCTTGCTTACATAAGTTCACATCCCGATGATCATGCATGTTTTAATGAAATTAAAGTGAAGTGAATATTCCATAATGTCATGTGTCATGTTATATGAAAGAAAATAATAGAGACATACGCGGACAGTTACAAGTAGCAGACAGACAGACAGACAGACAGACAGACAGACAAGACAAGACAAGACAAGACAAGACAAGACAAAACAAAACAAAACAAGACAAGACAAGACAGACAAACAAACAGAGGGAGGGAGATACATTGACAAGACAGACAACAAAGACATATACAAAGGCAAAACACCCTGGAGTATAAAGAGATATATCAAACATGTGTAAGTCATCAGTTACGGTAAGGTAGAGACATGATAATGATAATTTTGCGTATGTTACACCATGCTATCACGGATGACTTTCTGCGTGGTATTTACAATTACACTTGTGACACTCACAAGGCAGTAATTCCACCTGTCCGGGATTCGATGTGAAAAGGTATGGGGTCACCTGCCCGACCACGTGGGTTTTCCAGGGGTACTCTGGTTTCCTTTCACAGTAAGACCCCTTGCGCGCCCTATTCGGACCAACTAGAGTGTTCAATATAAGTCGAAAGAGCTTGCTTCGCAATTGTTGTGAAATGAATAGATATTATAATTATTATCCTAACCCCTAAATATCAGTAATGTGTGCCTCCTTCCATGATTGCGTTTACCTTCCTCCAAAGATTTCGATTTCTGAAGCATGTTTTACTTGGTGATTAATTTCCGTATAATTTCCTGAGATTATCTTCGTTGCATTTTACGGTTGACTGACATTGGTGGAGAAGTTAGCTAGTGGCTCTGATTTATTGGTATCGATGTAAACAAATTCTGTTTAGTCACCAATCTGCCATTTTAAATTCGAAATTCCGTTTTTGCCTTCGAAATCGACTTCAACGCAAACTTAGCGAGACACTTTCAACGATTTTTTCGTGAAGGACGATTTTATATACAGTGTTATCACACCGACTTGACATTTCTGAACATTTTTTCAGGTTGGTAATGTCAATAGAAAAGAAGTTCTCACAACAGAACCAGTAGAAGATTTGGATGTCTGGATGGCTAAACGGACACCTTCAGACAAATGACCTGTGTGAGGCGTAGTAGCAGCGACTTGTGTAATATACGAGATGGTAATGTCACGATGAAGTATTATGTTGGCTGTGTTACAAGAACCTCTATATTTCTAATACTGAGTTGACATCTCAGACTATCTCGACCGGTAAACAGGCCACCGTGTTATTGTACAAAACGACAAGAAAATGGAACTAGTAATGAGCCTGTCTCGGCGTTGGAACATCCAGTATCCTCTCTCACATAGGTATTAATTGGCTGGTACTCAACTGAAATGGGTTTTATTTTGTAAAATAGCGCTAGTTAAGACACCAAGGAAAAAGTCAACGATGATAAATGTTTTAGAGCAACTGTTCAATCAGTTTATTCGTAAATACATCATTAAAATGATTAACAAGAGAAATGAATATTAATCGCAACACAAAATAATGTTACCCTTTTCAGTTTTACGGAGTATATTCTTCAACAACATTTAATCCAATTCTTGTATTTTCACCGACTTACAAGCTGTTTGTCAGTCGTTTTCGTTTCACACACAAAAGTTCAAAAGCCGTTGCCCCAACATTTTTGTAATGTTCATTGTGTGGTCCAACTTTATCGATGCTTTCTACGATGAATGTTTCACCAAAAGCCGATCGAATTGTCTCGATGGAAATTGCTTCCGGGAATCCATGTACAATTTCCGTGAAGTTGACACATTCTTCAGTCATCAAAGGTACCATTACGGAAGCATACCTGGCCACATTGACCGAATCCATAGCGTTTAATGCACCCCTGTCCCAAACGGCATCAAAATCGTGTTGGAGTTCAGGTACCAGCTGGAAATAATCACAATAATAAATAGATAGATTCAACTGGTCGTGAATCGCTTTATAGATGTGTCCATTTACATGAGAATTCTGGATATCTTCTTTTATGTATTCCAAATTATTATCTAGAAAGAAATTTTTGCAAGCAATATCAGAAAAATCGACGCCGACCACAGTGTGTCCCTGCTCAGCCAACCATTTCATGGAGTCGTCTTTTCCACAAAGGGGCACGAACACTTTCATCGGTTTCTTGAGTGAGAGTAGAATATGTTGATGTTTGAGAAGTAAAGGATTAACTCCCCTCGTGTGCCACTTCGTGTCACCCTTAACCCACATATCCTTGAAACGATCCAGGCGGGTTTCCATACTAATCATATTGCTACGATATGTACAATCCGCCATCTTATAGTGTTTTTGCTCGAAATGGTTCAAACAATGTTTTGGTACCTGATTATGGTTGAAATGTTAGAAAGTGGCAATATCCTTGTATACCAATCGTTCCAAACACATTTGCTACGTGTCACAAGCTGCCATAACCACAGCGTATACGAGTTCTAGAGGTGACCTCTTTTGTGTATACTCGTCCTTAGATTCTACGGGTATCAGTACAGCCCATCTGCTCAGTGTAAAAGTATAGGCCAACCACACAAATTATTAAAAGTCTTTTCATTTTACCAATTTACCTTTTCATGTTAATGCAACTTATCTGCAGTGATCGTGTGAGGCTTAATATTAAAACAATCTCTGCCTAGTTCTAAATTTGAATTTAACCAGAGACGTATACATCACGCTTAAATGCCTATTGTGTTTTCCCAATTCCTAATTTCGGCCTCTAATATTACTTTAGGCCAGAGACGGCGTGATACAGCTTGGCTTTAATATAACGGTTGGTAAAATTCCAGTAGAAAGACACCTTCCCACCTACCTACCAAATACCACTGACTCAAACTGTTGTTCAACTGTTCAAAAAGTCATCAAGCCTATCAAGTTTGAAGGAGATTTTTTGAAAACTCGGGGAGGAGAGATTTCTGGGCACGTTTAATATTATGAAATCAACAAGGGGCAGTAAGTCTTCCAATTATATTCAAATCGAAATGCCGACCAGAAAAAATATTGTTGTCATAGTCATTAAAATGGTAAGAGATCTCTGGGCAAACAAACGATCACAAAGAGATCCTGGCGCCCAATATTGGTTTATCTTCAATTGTACTTCTCAAGAAATAGTGAAAACAAGCAGTGAATGTCAAATTCAAGATGGTCGCCTGTCCGCCATCTTGTTTCTCCAATAAGACTGTAACATAAATAGCGTAACTGGGAACAGAGAGGAACAGACATACGAAATTTGTGACAAAGCAATTCCCAAGAAAATGGAGTCTATATCTGAAATTTGAAAAGGATCCATCAAGTACTTGCGAAATAACAAGAATTGTTTAAGGTCAGATGAACTACAGACACAGGGTGATGATTTTGGGCTAATAACAAGACTTCGGATTCCCTTCCTTAACATTCCCACTGATTTTCAGCTCACTGGCAACGGTGGAACTTAAGAAGACGTGTAGAAATGTTATTTCAAGATTGCAGTCACGGCGACCATAATTGATTTTGGACCAACTCAAAAACACTATAACAATATTTGGTCAAGACCATATCAGGATCATTTCAGGCAAGTTTAAGTGGGTATAACTTAATAAGAAGTTTAGAATGTAAAAATGTCAGATACAGCGTACGATGACGTACGGAATACAATGGTTAAGGGTCATCCTGTTTTGATGAGAACTGTAAAATTACTAACCTTAAGAAATTTTATACGAACATAAATAGCATAACACTTATTGATCTTATTCATTTTTTCTTCGCACTGTTGCGCTTGCTGTGTTTTGTAACACACAAATACAAGAAGTTCAATGGACTGAAAATGAAACTTTTTGTCATTGATAAGCTGTTTGAAGATTTTGACATAATTGACTCTTGTGACCCTGAGCATGTCAATGTCATTCAGTTCGTAGCTGTTCATTCCAGCATAACACAAGCTTAATATCAGCACCTCGGACCCTTTGTTTGATATATTTGAACCTTGTCATTTTATAAGTGGGACAACGTAATTTATTTGGACAAAATTTGGTAGCCTTACATTACACCATGGTACAAGACTATCACACCACCCTGGGTTTTTTGGCTTAATGAAAAGATTTTAATAGATTCGGTACCCGTGAACTTGAGAGTGTATAAAGGTTTTGAACAAACTTGGCATCCCTCTATCTTAGCATGCTACCGTTCCAACGTAAGTACCATTCGGTTTCGGAATAGGGGTCGTTAGAAAAGGCTGACGACGGGTGGACGAACAAACTCCGTGCCACTGTAAAATATCATGTGAGCAGGTGAGCTAAAACGCACTTAGACATATTAAACATATCATTCATTACTATCAGAAAATGATAGTGACACTATTCAAATTCCCGTTGTACAATATAGTACTGTTAGCCTTTACAGCTACTTATACAGAAACTAAGGTACATCCTCTATACCTTAGTCACATATACTTCAGTCACATAAAATAGTGTGTAATAAAAGAAAACGTCCTAATATCATCACATTGACAGGCGTTTTTAATATAAACGACCTTTGTGATCAATGGAGGTTAGACATGTGATACATTTTGCAACGTTGTCCTAAAACTGACATGTCTCCTCTGTATTTTAATTACATATTTACCAGTGAAATATAGAAATTCTTTAATTTGGCATTTCATGTCCATTTTTACGGAACGAACTTTTTATTCACATCCTTGTTTACAGATGCGCCGAATAACACCGAGAAAGTTTCAGGGGACAGGGAGTGGTGACGACCGATTTAGTTTTCATTCCAACCCCAGTCCTCTGGCTTCAGAGGACAATGTCTATGTAATCACACTTGTAAACACACTCTTAGTGATGAATATGCGGCATGTTTAACACTAGTTGTAGAAGTCTTTTGAATGAATATATTTTCACGTTTAAAAACAAAATAATTAAATTTTTCAACTAATTGAATGAGCTTTGGCAAAATGGTTTTATTTTGTTATTTCGTATATGAAACCATTGTGTTCACCAGAAGTGTGTATTATACATGTATTAAAGAATGGAAGACAATACGTGCCATATGTTGTCGGTAAAAATTGAAAATGTTTGACTAAAAATAAACAACTTTCCACACAAAGTCAAGGAATTTGTTTTCTATTTTGTTTCTTGAGTGATGATTTTACATGATCAAAAAATGATACTGGACTCGCCTATGAAAATTTAATTACTTGTTTGCCTTAAATAAACATCAACATTTAAATATCATGGTGTGCTTATTTATAAAAAATAATTTAACGATTATCAACGATGTAAAAACATCCAAACAATCGCCAAGGTATCACTAATATAAATATCAATCAGATGTTTAAGGATGTAATAACGACAGTTACTGAATATAACAAGTTTGATTAAATGAAATCATGTATTGCAACATTATATAATTCCAAAATGAAAGAGTCAATGAAGCACATTATCGTTTTAGAATAACTTTATTCCCTGTTGAGTTAGAAGAATATACGAAGATTTAGACAAGTGTAAAACAAGGTTCAGCAATCGTCAGGATATTTAGAAAAAGAAGCCGTATCGAATTTAGACACAGAGATTACCAGGATAATGCGTTTTAAAATCTTTCCTATAAAACTCGCGAATATTTTTCGTTAAACATCACATCCCAGTATCCAGGAAGAAGGAAAGGTGAAGATACTTAACCTTTTGAAGATAACATTTCTCGGAGGTAAGTCAATCTTAAAAATGAAATGAAAGCCGGTGATATTTTATTAATTTAATATTTAATTTGATTTTAAAATTGTTATATGCATACCAAGAGACAAATCTGTACTGCTATAAAGTCAAACCTCTGAACAATTATGCTTTGCAAGCGGAAAATACCTTACGATTTGTCCAAGCGTGACAGCATGCAATGACTTTTAAATTACATATAACCAAATGTACAATTTTTTTTTGGAGTTCACTACCCTTGAAAACCAGTATGTCAGATAAAGTAAGTACAACAGAACTATTTCAATATGTATCAAAATCAAAAAAAGATTTTATCTAGCAGTAATGCTCGTATAAAATATTTCAAAATTGACAATCATATGGTTTATCTATATTTCTTTGATTCAAGTAATACGCCAACATTATATAGACAATGACAATGAAGATATTGATCAATATAACAAACTATTCTAAACTAAAAATACCATACAAGAAAAAAATAATTTTATTTAAAATTAATTATTAAAAGAATTTCGATATCCTTTGGAATGATGCAACTTCCGAGCAAAAAATGAAAGAACGCTTTGGACACGAAATTTGTCCAGGGTATTAAAACTGAAACTTTTTATCCGAAAGTGTTTGGTAAGTTCATATTTTACTTTAACAGCCCATTAATATATATATGTGTATATTTGTATTCAATATTAAAAATAGTGAACGTATATTTAATGTATGGAAGATTTGCGAGAGCGCTAGACCTTAGAAATCACTACTCTCCGAAAAGACATTAAAACTAGAATCTGAATTATCATTCTGTGATATATTTCCATATTAAATGATCATTTCGTTAATTAATCAGAAGAAAATATAAATTGTCTAGATAACAAAACATCAACGGCATTCTACAGATACTCATTCTGCATTTGAACAATGACATGACATTTTGTTATTTATATATTTACTGTTCATGTAAACAATGGTGGAGGCATAAGGAGAGCAAGCTATAAGTAGGATGGGACGAAAGGCCCCTCCACCACTACTTAAATAGTAGACCGAATTTTTAACTTTGCAATCAAGTTGATTGAGTACAAATATCGCATAATGATACATCTAAGAAAACTGACCTAATTTTACAGTGATATTCGTAAAGGATTTATTACTACAGACACTGGGATTTGTTCATGCACAGAAGAATTCCAGCAACCTTTGAATTAAAATGTTATCATAACTAACAAAATATATTAAGTGTAAAACTATTTTCTGTCCACTTGTGGCCCAAGTACACAATCAAAGATCTCAGACAAATGGTTGATACAAGCGGAGTTTCTTGACTTACTGATATATTCTTTCACTTGCAAACCTTAAGTTGTAAATATCGACTTCAAATTTTCAGTTACTAATATCTTATATCACATTAATATCTTATTTTGTCATTTAGCATGATCATGTCGAAATATTTTGTTTTATTCTAGCCTTATTATCACCTAAACTGTATGTCTAAAACATCTTAGAAGTTGTTCATTCAGCCTTGTCACATCTTACAATTTACTTTTGATTTAGTCTTATCATTCCATTATTGTATTTTTTCATTCAATTTTCGTAATTGAATTTTACCACTTATATTGAGATAGACGTTACAAAGATTCAGTAGTTCCAAATACAGAATTAGATTACATCATACAGCTGTTTCGCTCATTTATGACTCGTCAATGGCGTTAAGAGCCTAGAAGTTTGAAACCTAGGAAACGACTGTGGAATAAGTAAAGTGTATGAAAGAAATGTCAAAATCT